ACATTTTTTCCTCATCCTCTTCCATTCGCCGTAAGGTTTCATATATAAAATAGGAAGGCTAGCTACTCGTCTTTGCTGTATAGTTGTTATGCAGTTTGTTTTCTGTCCAGTCAGAAGCGGTTTTACTTCTTAACAATCTGGATGACGTCTTCGTGCTCCATGATGTGCGTTAGGCCCACCCTCTGAGGACTGTACTTGGTGCTGGTTCCCTGAAACGACGAGAGAGAGCGGAGTCTGAGTGAAAGGTGACCGCAAGGAGAAGAAAAAAAGACTCTGATTCTCAACAGATCTGGTAAAACACAGAAAGAGAGGAAGTGTGCAGGGGGTGAGAGGGTATTTGAGTGACTCATAAATGAAGCCTTCAAGAAAATCGTGCTTAAATATAATTTTATCAATCAAATCCAAACACTTTTCGTCCGTTTACTGTCGAATTATGTGAGTCAGTCCCTCCAGTTTGTTGTGGAAATTCTTACAAAATCCACACATACTGCAATTTTTTGCGCAAGCGAGAATTTGTGAGTTGAAGTGCTGACTCCCACCTGCAGGTGGCAGTATTTCATTCTGTTGCAGAATGAAATACCTTGTTTGGTGTCACATTACCATCCATTGATCAATGTGGCGAGTAACAAAAAGTCACATTTACCGTCGTACAGAAACACAAATATTTCTCAGTTGGCTCCACAAAATCAATAACATTTATTGGAAAAAGAGAAAAAAGTAAAGAGGACTTACCCACACCAAGGCATATTTGAACTGGCTGGCTAAGGTTCTGTGGATTCTGTGGCACTGCAGGTTACAAGATAAAAACACTTTTCTCACTACTTATTATAACACGTGAAAATGTTGAGGAAATATTTTGAGGGAAACTGCTGCCTTGAGGAAATATACACTGACCACATGCTCTACTGAAGCTCCTCTTCTCATGATGATGGCGTCACCAAAGTCTGGTCGCTCTAACGTGGAGGGGAAGCATAAGGAGGTTCGTTTAGAGATCTACAGTACATCCACAGCGAAGCAGAAGTCGTCTAAATCAACCGGAATACCTCCTCTTTTCTTTGTATAAATGCAAATAAGCGCCAAGTACTCCCACAACGTCTCCAGAAGGTAATCCAAATTCAGCTTCATTCCACAGCTGGGACAAAAACATGACGCCAGAGATGAGATTCAGAAACGTATCTGAACACATACGTCGATGGAAGAGAGGCGCCTGACCTGATGACGACGCTGTGAGGTCTGCGTGCCAGGCGGTCCACCTCCTCGATGGAGATCTGATCCACCTTATTGTACACCTGAGGGCACAGAAAAACATCAGGGAACTCGCGTCTCGCAGTCGCTTTCTAATTTCGAGCGAGGGAAGCTGCGGCGTACGTAAAGGCACGGCATGTAAACTCTGTTCCCGACGATGACGTCGATGAACTCGTCTGGCGTGCAGTCCTCCCTGAAGAGCACTTCCGCGTTAAAGATCTCTGAAACGGGAGGTTAAGGACGTAAGCCGGGCGAAGAGGATGAAGTGAGTTCGGACGTTTGAGAACGCGTCGCACGGCTTTTGTTTTCTGCTCGCCGTCTCTCGAAGGATACTGTACTCGTGGAGAATGAGCTGGACGAGCTTCTCCGAGCACTGAGTGAGCGGAACGGTGGAGTTATAAGAGAGGCCGCCACCTTTCTTCGGCTGCAAGGAGAGAGAGAGAGAAAAGAACATTTTTTATCTGGCGACACAAAACTAACACAATCAATTGGTTCTACAAGTTTTTATTTTTCCCAACTTTGCAGGAATTTTAGTCCTTTAAATTCTTGTAAATACAACATACGACAGTTCCTCATGAATCTATGGCTGCTGTTTCTACAGTGGGCAAGATTTTAATGTAAAATCAAAAAGCGCAAGGATGGAAGGAGAACCTCCATCCTTGGAGGATTGGAAGATGTCGACAGATGTTTCACGTCTGTGTTTGTCGTCTTAGACCAAATTGTTCAAATGGCTTCATTAAGCTGAATGGGTCAGTTAACTAAACGGACTCAACAATTTTGCTAATTAATCCAAAACAGCAGATCAGCCTGTTTTCATCTCAAAAGCGAAATAACTTGATCTGAGTAAATGGAAGTGGTACCTTGAAATAAATATTTGGCTTCGTTCTGTTCAGTCTGATGCCCACTGACTCCAGCTCCTTTTCTAAGAGTTCTCTGCAAAACAAGCAACACAAAGTCAGTGATGACGGCCTTCCACCCTTTAGGCCTTTTTACACACACATACACACACACACACCTACCTCTGAACTTCTCCTTTTGTGGCGTCCAGCATCATGATGACGACGTCTGCTGTCCTGGCGACGGCGATGACTTGTCGGCCTCGACCCTTTCCTGCGACAAAGTTACCCGTCAGTACAACATCTCTGACAAAAATCTGATAACTAATAAACAATAATGGCATCTAGTTCGGTTGAGTTTCTTAACTCAATATTTCTTTCTGATTTGAATCTTTTTCTGATTCACTGTGAAACTTATTGCACCTTGAGCGGCTCCCTCTATGATTCCTGGCAGGTCGAGCAGCTGGATGTTGGCGCCTTTGTACTGAAGAGCAACAATTAACAGCAGAAGACAAGAAAGCGAAGTGACACTTTGTAACTTTTATCAATTCCACCATTTAAAAAAGAAGGGGACGTTTCCTGGGGGTTACCTCGATGACCCCCGGTATACAGGTGAGGGTGGTGAACTCGTAGGACGCAGCTTCGCTCTCTGTCGACGTCATCAAGCTGAGGAAGGTGGACTGCCCAGAGAAGATCAATGTTAACATTTTAGGGATTAAAAAGAAATAATAAATCTTCAAATGCATCTCTCATTGCCTGTAACTCCATAACTTGTGACTGATGACAATTTTGATGCCAGGATGAATGATATTAGAAAGATCCCTGCTGCCAAAAGCATCTAAAACTGCTCCCAACCCGGGTTACGACCACCTACCTTACCGACTGAAGGGAACCCGATGAGCGCAACACGAGCATCTCCCGATTTCATGACATCGAAGCCCTCGCCTTTGGCCCCTGCCGATTTGGAGGGCTCCAGGAGCTGAGCTCTGTATTTGGCTAGCTTGGCCTTTAGCAAACCCAGATGGTACTCTGTGGCTGCAGAGATGAAAGGAATAAAAGGCATTTAGTAAAATACAACTCGTACTCACGCGAAGCTCGTACTCACTGTGCGACGAGATTGACGGTTTACACCGGATTCAGTGGAAGTGCTTTGAAATGCAACTCAAAATAATAAAATGAGAATTTTGCAAATGTTTATTGTTGGAGGCTGGATAGAGAAGCACGTTAACGGAACGGCTTCTAACTTTGCCTTTTAAACGTGATTGTTACATAAAAACAAAAATATAAATACAAATTTTATGCAGAATTGTTAAACGAGGCCATGATCTGGCCTTTGCAATCCTGTTGAATCCTGATGATTTGAAGAACACACACATACACACACATGCACACAGCAGAAACAGTTTCTAGAGCAAATATCTTTGCAAACTTACAAGTTATAGAGGTTTGCTTTAAGTAAAGCATTTCTTAGTATTGATGACAATTGATGTTCAATTGGGAAATTATTTCACTTACAACAAGACATGTTTCCCATGTTATAAGTAAATTTATCTCCCAATAGAACTAGTACTTTTTCATCAATACTCAGTAATTATTTAATTGAAACAAGCCTCCATCTCTTCCTGAAAAGTTACTTGTAAGTCAGTTTTGACTTTGACATTTGTACTACAAACTAGACCAAAACTACTTGGCAAGATTCCGTGTTTTTGCAATTCATGTATAATACTGAAACTCATAGATAAAATGACATTAGTTGAGCTAAATCTGATAAATGTCTTCCTCCCACAGCCCAAGGCAGTAGCTGTCAGGTTGATTGATGTGTCTCAATTAACCAAACCTGGCATCCCTCCACTAACATTAACATTAACATCAAGTCATGATCCTAAGCAGACATGTAAGGCATATTTTAGCTTTCCGGAAAGCTGTCGGTCCTCATTAGCACGGTGCTCTTGCAGTTCCTAGACAGAAACCTCAAGCTGCAGGCTGCAGCTGGCTCTAAGTTCGTCTGTTGTGCGGCTAGCAGCTAGCAGCCCAGCTAACCCCTCTGGAAGCTTCTGTTACCTTTGTTTTTTTGTGTCCGAGAAATTTCTTTCTCTATTTCCGAGATTTTCTCCAAAATACCCATAGTAGCAGTCCAGGGGTTGTGCAGCCAATCTGTCGGGGAGAGGGAAAAAAATAAAAAAAATCACAAGAGAAACGTGTCAACTTTGCTAGCCAGCCGGGGCTAACTACAAACCGCTAACAGCTGAGAAACAGCATTACAAGCACTTCCTCAGGCGGGTGTAAACGTAAACAAACATGTGACTAGAAAAAACAACAACACATTGCCAGTGATTTGCAAAGTTAAACTAAAGGAGGAATTTACTTTAACAGAGGGTTTACTCAGCAGCATGAACACTCTGCTGGCTGGTGGGGTGAGGAGCAAAGTTCCACCATCAAAATGTGTCCCCGACCTGTCAAGTCATTGCGCCTCTACACTGAGGTTTACGGCGACGTACAACATCCTAATGGTGCGTTTATGTACACCTCGTATACTCGATTATTTTTATTTAAATAGATCTAAAATAAGTCACTAAATTTTCTGAGAAAAACAAGTATTATTATCAAATACAATCAGTGTCGCTTTTATTTAAGTAACTTTTTTAAAGCATGAGGCATACAATAATGTTATATATATACATATATAATAAAACTGTAGTGAGTTCAGAAATACATGTAACTTGTTTCTTTTAAGTAACTTTAAAAAATGACCAACTCTACATTTTTGTTTGAATGCACCGTCAAGTTAAAAAAAAAAGAAAGCGGCCGTAAAAAGTCGTGTATACGCGCATCTGGTGGGTAAACTCATTTTGTTGGGGGACCCCTTACTCGACACAACACCAGGAAACAGTTCCGTTCTCGTAAAAAGTCCGGTAGAAACAATAAAATTCGCGATTACGACACTTGACCCCTTCATACATTACACGGCTTAACCGTAACAATGTGCTCATCGCGCAGATAAAACTAGCACCCGGCGATGTCTCCAGTCGTGACTGCCTTAGTTTCGTCCAGCAGTCGTTCTTGTTATTCATCGACCCGGCAGGTCTGTCTGAAGTCTTAACCGACGCAAACATGGCAGAGGAGCCAGCAGGCAGAGGAGCGTCATCCGCCAGTCCGCCTGGGTTTGGAGGTTTTCCCTTCCCGGTACCGCAGCAGGACGGCTCCGGGAAAGGACATGAGCAAAGTGGGGAGGTAAAAAAGAAGCCGTGTCGAGCCTGTACGGACTTTAAGTCCTGGATGAAACTGCAGAAGCAGCAGAGCACAGCAGCTACTGCACAGGTGGGTAAAAGCCTGTAGGTGGGGGTTTCAGTTTTGAGTGGAGTTGTCTTGGGAGAAATGCACCGATATTAGTGACATTAGCTCAGTATTGCAGGACTTTACTAAACTTTACTTTTCCTGCTGAAGAGTCGTACCCCCAGCCCATACTGCCACTACCTCTCTTATCACGAGTTGTTGACCTCAGAGCATCGCTTCACCCGCTGATAATTTCTGCTCAGTGACTTATCTGGGTTTCACTGTCTCTCTCCTTCTGCAGCAGAAGCATGGTCCAGAAACAGAGCACCCAGATCCTCAGTGCCCACTGGACAGAGAGGAGTTGGGACGGAGCACATGGTCGTTCCTGCACACCATGGCGGCGTACTACCCCGACCGTCCGTCTTCCACCCAGCAACAAGACATGGGGCAGTTAATTAACCTCTTCTCCAAGTTCTACCCCTGTGAAGAGTGTGCAGAAGATCTCAGGAGCAGGTCAGAGCACGATGCACAGGGGAATTTACATGCTCTCATCATGGGCAAGAATAGAATCTGAATCAGATATTCTTGCTAGTAAAGCTTCAATGAAGAATGTTGGGTACATAGTCTCAAATTTGTGTGTTTACTCTCATGCAGTCTGGATTTCACAATTCGACTCGTTGCAAGTTGCAGAGAAACCACAAACGTCTTGTCATCTCCAAGATTATGGCAAAACCTCATCTGGATTTTTAACTTTGCTCTTGGCATGACTGGTTCGTTTAAAGGGGAATTATGTGAAATAGCTTTGAGCCTCACATCACATTATGAAGTCAAAAACATACCTGGATGATTTCTTTAAGGCATGTTAGAGAAATCTTTTCTTCTCCCGTGGCAACCATTCGGCTGGGGCTCCAGCAGCCGACTCCTCTAGACTAGCCAGCAGCAATTAGCAAACGCCTGGTGAAACTACGCATCCGCCGAGTCAACTACGTCTCAGTGAAACGCTGGTTAAAAGCGTTGCTAAAGGGTTAATAGAGGAGCCACTTTGTGACGACTTCCTGAAGGTGGAGTTTCAGAAAGAGCAGGAGTTTTTTTTAAAGAGACAGAGGCTCAATTTCAAGCAATTTCAAGTTGCAAAGTCAAATTTCTTTTCAGTCGTCTTAGTTACATGTGTAGCATTTTTTCATAACAACTGAAGTCAACACAGTTACTTGATTGGGCTATAAAACATCTCCCTGGGGGTAGAAGACAGATAATGCTGCCTCTTTAAACGAGTTTGCGTTGAGGTCATCCCAGGAGCTTAATGTTTACCTTCCTTATCCGTTCTTAAAGCCAGTTTAGCTGTATTTGGCCGGGATCATTGAACATCACATCCATCGACACACTCGGCGATGTCATGACGTCCATCACGAGAGCATAAAGTGCGCAGTCAGTGACGACTCTAATCAAACCCCCCGTTTCCTCCCCGCAGGCTGAAGAGCAATCGTCCGGATACGAGCAGCCGCCACGCTCTCTCCCAGTGGCTCTGCCGCCTTCACAACCAGGTCAACGTTCGGCTGGGGAAGCCCGAGTTCGACTGCTCGCTGGTGGACGAGAGGTGGAGAGACGGCTGGAAGGACGGCTCCTGTGACTGAGTGTGTGTGAGGCAGACGAACCTGAGGACAGGACCTGCAAAGACGCTAATATGAAGGAGCAGTGAATGACCAATTCTACACCTTTTGTTGTTTTGTGTTTAGTTTGTGTGACAAGTGTAATTCTAAAATAAAAAAAATAAAAAAACAATAAAAGACATGTAAAATAAAAAAAATAAAAAAACAATAAAAGACATGTTTCATTTTTTTTTGTAAAAGTATCAAATTATACATTTGATATAATGTATAATCCATTCTTCTCCTCTGTGACGGCGGCGTCTGAATGCTTTACTTGGAAGAACACGGCTTGGATTCGTTTAGGTTGGCTGACTGGGAAAGTTATGAACAGTCAGTATCTTACCTCCAGGTCGATTGAAGAGAAAACAGAAAGTCTACTGGACGAACCCTTTGGTACCAAAAGCCTCATAAAGCTTCCCTGTTCCCTCACATCCCAACTTGGAGAACTTTCTCCTTAACCAAGGAATAATTGTTGGGACATGCGTCTGGTATTAATTAATATACTAACTACAGAATCATACTTTTTAAATAAAAAAAAATAAATCAAAACAATTGTTTAAAGCTACACTAATTTAAACACAAATGAATACATTTACATCTGGCAGCTCTCCCTCTCCCCCCCCTCTCTCTCTCTCTCTCCTGTCTTTGGGTCCTGCTCGTCCCCGCGCCACTGGGAGCGCGCAGGACCCGTCCCTTCAGCACCGCTTCCATCCATCCTGACGCGGAGCCGGGTGATCGTGGAGCCGCACAGAGCACACGCACCGAGAGAGAGAGAGGAAGAGGAAGAGAGAGAGCCAGAAGATGGACGGAGTGGGATCGTTCGGAGCGGGCCGAACCGGGACCGCCGTGGACCCGATCGCGTTCGCCAAGCAGCCGCAGACCATCCTGAGAGCGCTCTCCTGGGTGAGAGATGTTCCGTTTGCGCACTGCATGTCAGCCTGCGTTTAGTGCGGATAGAAACGTAAAAAGAAATGAATTGCTGTGTGCGTGTGAGTGCGTGTGTGTTCGAGAAATGCGGTGCAGGGTGTTACCAGGCCCGCTGTTTGGCTGACAGCGTCCTCAGCCGCTTCCACTACAAATGTTTTCCGGGGTACAAACTGACCTATTGTTGCCCGGTGTTGTTTATTTCCAGGTTCCACCTCACCGGGCACCGCTTCAGAAACGCGCGCGCGCGCGCGCACACACACACACACACACACCACACACACACACACACACACACACACACACACACACACACACACACACACACACACACACGCACGCACGCACACACGCACGCACAGCAGATCGGACCAGAGAATCAGACATTCAGGCTGATTATCCATCAAATTAACCAAATTACTCAGATGTTATTATTTCTGGATTCTCTCATGGTTTGGTCCATTATTTGTTTATTATAATTATTGTTATTATTATTATTATTTGCGATGTAATGTCCAGCTGATGGTTTCACTGATTTACCCTCCACGGCGGTGGTTCGCCATCTCACCTGTGATTGGTCCGCCAGCATCGTTACGCACGCAGGGACCACGGAGGCGCGTCGTGGTGTGACGTTCGGGTTCCGCGAAGGAAGCGGGTCTTGAGCGGCGTGGGGGTTTGTGGGAACAATGCGGTGCGTTTTCGTTGTCTCGCGTCTGCTGACGACACGGTGTCGAGTGTGTTCGTGTTTGTACGGATGGAGCAGGACGTTTAGGTTTAAGAGCAGCAAACCCGTAGATACTTTTCAGCAGATACGCTGAAGGTCAGTCAAGATAGAAACGTAATGAATCCAGGGCCTGCAAAAGGCTGACTGGAGCCCCGGGCAGAATTTAATTTGGGGGGTCCACCAAAGATTTTTGTGTTGTGTTTATAGTTGGTTTAAAATGAACAATTTGCCAAAATATATATATATATATATATATATATATATATATATATATATATATATATATATATATATATATATATATATATATATATTTGTGATTTTATTTGTTTTATTATTATGATTATTTATTTTTTGTCCATGTCTACAAAGGCTTTACCGCTTTTTGAGCGACAGTAGCTTATTTTGTTGGACAGGTTCCGTTTAAGTATTTTTTTTTTTTGGTAAAAAAAAAATAATTTGATGAATTCATAATTTAGCAAGAGGAATGCATTTTCACATTGTTCCATGTTTGTTCGGGTAGTTTTGGGTTTTTTTATTCAATTCCTCGATAAAAAAAATCCCCACTCAATAATTACTTTTTGGCTTCTACTCTGGTTATGTTTGTATAATATATAAAATTCTTTAAAAAGAAAGAAGCAAAAACAGAATAAATCTGTTTCGTTTTTTTATTTTTTAAATCATTTTTATGTTTGTTGCTTTGTAAAATATATGAAAGCTTTTCTAAAGAAAAAAATTAAGATAATAATTAAGCGAGAAAGGACGGGAAACCTGAGGAAACCGAGGTCTTGAACTTCCAAAGATGCACCGCGGTGACGCTGAACGCCGCTTCGTCCCACTGATTCACCCAAAGCTCCTATCTGCTCAGATTACGTCCGCTCATGTGATTAGGTTAGAATGTGGGCCCGACATTATCCCATTGTGTGTCCTTTCTTCATCATATGACCCAGACCCCCCTGGTATGAGTGCATTTTTCTCTCTGTGTTGGTGTGTCACATGGCCTTATTAAGCTGAAGACTGCTGGTCTGCTGATGCATGTTGGAGTTTAGGTCCTGAACAAAGCGAAGAGGCTGGAGGAGGAAAAAGGCGCCTCATGGTAAAAGCCTTAACTCAACAACTCGCTGGCAGCGGCCGCAGCAGCCGATGGCACACTTCTGTTTCGGTGTTTGGTTTTCCTGTAGAGGAAGTGAAGCGTCCTCATCTTCAGTCAGTCAGAGAAGAAGAAGAACAACAACAAAAAAGCCCAAGCAGAAATTAGGCCAATGCCAAAGAGGGGCTTTTAGAGCACGATGCCTTCAATGTGGCTGAAAAAAACCCCAAAAGAATGTTTTTAAGCATGACATGATTTTTTTCATACAATCTGCATGTTTAACTCATCCAACCCCTGTTCTACAGATATTCTCCCTGGTGGTCTTCGCCTCCATCGTGAACGAGGGTTACGTCAACCTGGGCAGCGAGCGCCTCCACTGTGTCTTCAACAGGAACGGTGACGCCTGCAACTACGGCGTGTTTGTGGGCCTGGTGGGCCTGCTGGCCTGCTCCTTCTTCTTCCTACTCGACTACAAGTTCTCCTCCATCAGCTCGGTCAAAGACAGGAAGAAGGCTGTGATGCTGGAGATCGGCTTCTCGGGTGAGAAGAAGTCAAATCGGACGTTACGGTTCACCACCAGATCAAAGCCGTGCTGAACGTTGACAGCTCTGTTTCCGGTGGAAGACAAATACTGCCTATAGAAGAAGAAAACCTGCTAGAGTTAGCAAAGTATTTGAGACTATGGCAGAGATTCACCCTCACATTCATGTCTTTCGATGGCCCAGTCAAAGTCCAGACCAAAGTCCAATTGAGAATCTGTGGTAAGACATTAAAATTGGAGGTTGAGTTATTTTGCAAAGAAGAATGGACAGAAAAATGCAAAAGCCAGTAAAGACCCCAGAAATTATAACCCATGTATCATTTTTCAGTTTCACAAACAAACGTTACCTGGGTTTGTTACATAAGGCAGGAATAATAAACATTTATGTTTGTAGTTGTAGTGCAACTAAATAATAAGAGTTTCAAGAGATATTAATCCCTCCTAATGGAGTGTAAAAGACAGTAATAAGTGTTGCTTTTCTCTGAAAACAGTGGTGAGCATTATACAAATTCAATGAGAATTTATGGAACCTCTCCGAAGCTGCAACATCATGTAAAACATCACATTTGGGAGAAATGAAACCATCATCTGGTTGCGTCCGTTAGAGAAATGAGAGCTTTTTTAATTCCAAAAATATTTATTCTCAATTCAAGGAAGCAGGAAACGAGAAATGATGGACCACAGGTCGTTCCTGTCAGGAGAATCAAACGAGTTTCCTTGGAAGTAACATTTCTTTGTTCTGCTGGTTTTCTGCAGGTTTTTGGACCTTTCTGTACTTTGTAAGTTTCTGCTTCCTAGCCAATCAGTGGTCTCGGACCAAAATCGACGATCTGCCTCTCAACCAGGGAGCAGATGCAGCACGAGCAGCAATCGCCTTCTCCTTCTTCTCCATAATCACATGGGTAAGGCTAAGGCTAGGAAACCACGCACGCACCGGAAGAAAACGCCAAAAAAATGCTTTTGAAATTGATCAAATGGGCTCTATAAACAGGGTTTGGAGCAGTGCTGACTGTTTCCTGACCGATATCACGTCTTCAAGTCCTTGTACAAGCAAAGCAAGAAAAATCGGAAGTGTTGGCCAACAGATGCTGCTCCTTTCCACTGATTCTATTCGTGGTGCTGATCGACAAGATCTCAAGTCTTGGAAAGGAGGGAGCCTGGTTTGGCTTTTTGTAGATGATGTGGTCCTGCTGGACAACACGTATGACAGGACAGTAACACTTATTATGTCTTAATAAGACATATCATTTCAAAGGAACTGCAAGGTACTCTCTCTGGAAAAAAACAACCTGGAAAACAGAAGACACCAGTTTGCTTATGTTTCGTATTCGGCATGATTTAGCTCAGCCAGGCGTGTTTAATGGATTTTCTGAAATCCTGGCCATTGATTGTGATGAGCTCACTCTGACTGTGCAGCGTCTTGAATAATTTACTTTATTGTGATGCCCTTTGCAGGCTGGCCTGACAGTGCGCGCAGTCCAGAAGTATCTTCTGGGTACAGACATGACCCTGTTCGCCACTGAGCACATGGACGGCGCCGCGCCCACCCAGCCGTACCCGTCCAACTCGCCAGGCGGCGGCCCGACAGAGACCACAGAGGCCTACCAGAGCCCGCCCTTCACCGAGAACAGCACGGCCCCCACATACCAGGTTCCCATTTACTAGGACAGACGGACGTGACGGTGGGAGGATTGCAGAGGAAGGGGGTGGGGGAAATAGCTTTCTGTGATTTTTGTGTCAAGTGAAGCTGTTTTATGAGTTGATCCGGGGCGCAGTTTTCAGTCGCTGTTAGAAAAAAGCAAAAAAAAAAAAGATAATAGTCAGGCGTCTGCTTCTTTGTTTCCTCCTCTCGTTTCCTGCCCCCTCCTGAACATTCCAGCTCTATCTGCCTTTTTTTCTAGACCTGCAGAAAGGACTTTCCTCCTGCATCGACGCAGATGAGTCGAAATCAAAACCAGAGGAGGGAAAGCAGAAGCGTTTCAAAAACGCTGTTTTGTCGAAGGAAGAGATGAAGTTCCACCGCAACAAAGCTGTCTTAAAGGCGCTCTCTTGCAGCACCTTGATCTTTCATTCCTTCAGGTGTCCCCCCCACCCTTTTTTTGTGCAAAAAAACAAGAGCATTCCCTTTTTTTTTTTTTGCAAAAAAGAAAAAGGGAATGCTCTTGTTTTCTTTCTTTTACCATCTTTTTTTTTTGAGCTGCACTGATAACTCCTCCTGAGCTCCCAGCTGGTGATCATCTGCACTGAATCTGTACGTTTCTAGATGTAGAGGTCATCTAAGTGCCATATTGTTCGGAAAGTGACTTATTTTTCGTTGGCTTTCCTCATGCTGCACACGACGGCAATGTTTGGTGACCGAGTGCAATATCTCGTATTCTCATGTACTGTGGAGTAGGCGCACACTGTACTGTACTGGAGGTAGAGAGGTCATAATCAGGGCAGGTCAACTTTAGGTTCTGTCTCAAATAACATGCTTCTGAATTTCCTGTGACATCCTTACATACTGGAAAGGTTCTGATACAAACGTGCATAACAAATGAGCAGCTCTCAAAATCGAAATGATCATTCCCAGAATTAGGGTCTTTCTAGGAATCATCAAAGGTGAAATTGCAATGGAGAATATTTCTTCTCTGCTTTGTCCCTGTAGGTGAATTGTGAGACTTTATTTTATTCCTGTAGGCAGTTCAGTTTGATTACAACAATAACTCAATTCACAAATGCAGTTTTTTTACTTTTCTGCAGAGCCAAGCAAAATCTGAATCAGGCCTTGGGCAGAATTTTCTCTAGGGGAACCCTCAGGTTTTTTTGTTTGTTATAGATTCACTTCTTATTTAATTAGTGAACCAATTATAAATTATTTTTACTTTGTGATACATTGTGCTTTGGATGACCAGCACATTACCTACTTTGAATTGTTTCTTATAGACATTTCTGGTTAAGTTCTCATTTGTATCATTTTCATCAATTTAATATTCATTGATTTTGTTCATATTTTCACATACAGTGATGAAACGATAAAACTATAAACATCTGACATTTACACACAGCTGTCCAATACCTCAATTTTTCACATTTAAACAAAGATCATGACATAATCCTCTAAAAAAAATTACTTGAAAGACCTACAGATATGCTATATGTTGAAGGAAAAACCAAAAGCTGCAACAACATGGATGAAAAAAAAAAAGACAGAAGAAGAGACACTTTGCTGAAGCAACTTTTGTGTCTGTTTCTGCCTTCGGAGTTTGTGAGCACAAAGTGTCATAATCCATCCGCAGTGGATGTGAATGTAAACGAGGTGTGTGATATGAGACAGCATCCTATGGTATGAGTGTAAGACGAGGTGCGAAGGGGTTTTCTGGAGAAATTGGGCCTTTTAATGTTTCCATTTATTTTCTTTAAAGCTTCCAAACTGTCCTGTGTTGCTACCGCTCTGTTAGTGTCAGTAGCATTTTCTTTAGAGGTCAGAATGCAGGTGAGTCTTTATTAACGTCGGGTCAAGTCTCAGGCAAAAGAAAGAAGGATGAATCTAAAGTCGATGTCCGATCCGTCAATCCTCCAATTAGATCTGAGTGGGTTAATTGTGACATGTCTCGATGTCGGGAGTATGTGGGTCACCGTTTACTCCGATGTATATGGTACCAACACACACACACACACAAACACACACACACACACACACATTTATCGATCTGTCATTGTGATGAGGGGTTCACATGAGAGCAACTGAGCGCGTGCACACAGAGATCAGCATGCAGGAGAATCACTGATGTTTTCAAATAAACCTTTTGTTTTTCCTCCACATGTTTTTTTGTGACAGTTTTGTCTTGTTCTAACTTGGATCGTTTATAATTTTTCCTAAATTGTACTGAAGTTATCCCAAGTCCAAAGCATGAAGTCGAGCGCTTTGTTAGTTTTCAATAAGCGGCACCAAATGTGAAGGTGGTCTTAAAAAAAGCTTAAACTTCTTGTAAAGAGTTTATTGAATATAGAAACTGAAGTCATTTTTAAGTTGGCTCCCAGGTGTATTGCAGAGCTTTGCCAGCAGAAAATGTAGAGTTAGAAAATCTGCCCCAACTCCAAAAAAGAGCAAAACTCTGGCTCATGTAATTTACACATAAAGCTGAATGAGTGTTTAAATGTGTAAAACACTTTCAGGTCGCTGATACTTCTGCATCAGCAGGTTGCGAGAATTTGAAAGCTGAGTGGAAAAAAAAAACGCAAACAAATTTAAATGTCCATTCTGGATTAAAAAACAAACCCAACTTGTCCTTCAGTTGAATATTTTCTTTTTTTATGAGTCTGTTTGGCCCAATTCAATGGATTTAAACTTTAAAAAGTAAGGTGAAGGCATTTCCACATGTTTGTCTTTATGATCACTCTCAACAGAAACCCACTTATGACGTGTTGGTGGGAAATGATCATAATAATAATAAAGAGGGAGAGAAAAAAAAAGCATAACTGTTTTCGCTGTAAGTCCCTCTTGGGTTAATGTGATGAATTTGGGTTGCTGTCAGGTCAGGATGTTTTATCGTTCTCAGTGCTTCAGTCTCTCATTCAGTTAGTGTGGTAGATGATGATGATTATTAATAATTATAATAATAATAATGGTACAAGCATTCTCTGTGTTTTGTGCTCTGCCCTATGTACACTACTGTGTTATTGGTTGATTGTAAAAAAAAGTTAAAAAGTATTTTAAAAAATCAAAATAAAGTAAAAAAAAAAACAAAAAAAAAAACCTCAGTATGTTCATGAAGTTAATGGTACTCTTGTGTGATGCTGTCCAGGGTCCGGTTTGTCCTGTGCTACTGAAAATAAGAAAATATTATCAATAAGAGTTATTACCAAGACTGCACTCCTTTTTGCAAAGACTTTGTGGGGAACTCGTTGAACAGGGCCGACGTTGATGTTTTACGCCATCGTTCTGTTGTTTTGTGAAGCTGAAGTGATGAAGAGGCCGTTAGATGTAGTTCAGCCGGCGCCGTCGGTGGTACCAGAACAGTACATTGCATGGATTTCACAACACACCCTTCCATACCGCCCCTCGCCTTTAAAATAAACCTAGAAATAATACTGACACTGACTGACAAAAGCGGACGTTGGTTTTTGTAGCCCTTTAACATGTTTCTAAGTCGTTTCCTCCTGTTCTGAAGCTGTATGGCCTCTTCAGTGTAATCTCGCTGTGTACAGAGATGTGTGTCACTGTCTGTTACCTGGACTGCAGTCTGACCATCACGCCAATAAAAGACAAAAATGGCTTTTGGGCTGCCTGTGTCTGTCGTTATTTCAGCGCGATCCGGCGGCTGCACTCAGAGGATGTGAAGTTCAGCAGCAGACAGACATTCTGTCATGTTTTAATTGGATGTAATTAGGACACTTTATTTTGTTGTTGTTGTAAATGTTTCCTGAGAATCCAATTCTTAAAAATGCAGCGCGAGTGTCTCCACACTGTGATGCTGCCACCGTGGGTCTCTTGGCTGCTTCTGTTATCATCGCTGCCACCTCTTTTCCCCAGCTGAATGAAAGCATCCCCACAGCATGACGCTTCCACCACCATGTCTGAGCACTGTGTTGAGAGGAGGCGATGCTGTTTGTTTCACTTTGTATCTTACTACTAGCTCACAATTATGTATCTGACACCATTTTAGATCAGCAGCAGGAGACAGTGATCTGCGATCATACACTTTTTCTTGGAAATTGGTCTATGATCGGCACACCTCTAATGCAGCATATTTATAACGACAGAAATTGCACTATGTTCCTGGAAAAAGAAAAAAAAAATATTACACATTTAAATCTACAACCATTTTTCTGTTGCAGGTTTTTCTCTATCATAATGAATCTATTTTATTTTTTTTTTGGTTCAGTCCAATACAGCTGGAATATGACAGACTGAACTAGAAACAGTGATGAGACAGAGATGTACAATGCGATCAGCTTTATTGGAAGTGGATGGAAAACAGTGCACTGATGTACGACTTCCGGGCAAAACCAGAAACCTCGAAACAGAAATGAGCGCTGGCACTTGTGTCGACACATTAAAGTGCTTTGATGGAGGTTATGTTTCTTCAAATTATAGTAAAACGTGCAATAGTTTAAAGCTGGGATTGAAATTGAATGACGTCAGTCTCATTGCCCAGTGATTCTTAAGGAGAAGCAGAGGGTTGAAGGTGAAGCCTTGTACAGTACAACGGCCCTGGTGATGATCATGCCAAGATTACGGGACGGGGATACGAACGGAATGAGTGTGAATGTTAAAAAAAAAATTCATAACACTTTAAATATGAACAGAAATTTGTTCCAATGTCAGAAGCAGCTTATTTTCTGTCACATCATGACAAAAAGAAAATCCTTGCACCATGAGCTGGCAGACCACCCTCTGAATTAAGCAGCAAAAAAACCCCTAAGCAATCAATCTGTTGTATTTAAATAAATATGATGTTAATTACTGGAACTGAATTGCCTAGTTGTTCAACCAAGCAGCACCGCTGCCATGCATGCTCACATTGACTCATGTCACCAAGACAAAGTGCAGTTCTCTGTTTACATAAAAGCAAAAAAGCAACGTAAAAAAAAAAAAAAGTAAATTATTTGAATTTCTTTCTTAGACAGGAACCCAGTTCCTCCATTATTATTATTATTATCATCATCATCATCGTCACAGTTTTGATTACAGACACTCTCAGTGAGTGCCGGTTGGAGACATCCTCAAAGGAAGCGGATCCAAGTGGAAAACCATTTGGACCGACCCATCTATACAATCTGCATCAGAGGAAGGCCTCAGGCTCTCTCTGTTTGCGTAAACGGTAAACTGGCTGCTGCTGTCGCCCGCTGGCATCTGCAACGCCTTCACAGCACGGCAGCTGAAATGTTGCCCGGCAATGGCAAACGGACATAAACTGACAGGGGGGGGGGTGAAGGGGCTAGCTGATGATGCGGCTGATGGACTGCAAGGAGGGGAACTCCTCGCTTTCGGTGATGTGCAGGGTCTTGTGGGAGTTGAAGTCCTTTGGGGCCAGAACCTGTCGGCAGGTGGGACACACCTGGCAGTCCAGCTCGGCCGCCGTGGCGGGCGTCTCCCAGGCGGTCTTCTTGTTCTTGTTCTTCTTCCCCCCGCTGGCGCCGGATTGCTTCTCCTGCGCCTTGCGGTCGGCGTGGGCGGTCAGCAGCTCCTGCTGCTTGCCGGTGTCCGGCAGCAGGACCAGCAGCTCGTTGAAGATGCTGTTGAAGTTGTCGCCCAGCAGGTCCTTGCAGTTGCGGTGGTACTGAGCCGCTGAGATCACGCCCTGGAAACGGAGAGGAGACGGTTAAAAAAAAGAAGGACAGCAGTCGAGTGAGGGTTATCTCACCTGTGACAGTGCAAAAAACACAAAAAAATGTCAAAGCACTTTTTCTTTGGTTTCTAGTTTCAAGTACACTTGAAATAAAAATAAAACTAACTTACAAAGGAACTTTGCAGCAAGACACAGGAGACTGTAAATAATTCCTTAATCTACCAGTGGAGTTATTGATCTATACTGCTCTTACACCTTGCTGAATGGCTACTTGTAAGTTATTCAGCAAGGTGTATAACTTAATTTGAGATATTTGCGCTAGAAATTAGACCAAAAATACTTGCTAAGATTTAGTATTTTTGTGGTGAACCGTACCATCTACTGTGTTGTTTTTGTAACACTGAAAACACAAATGTCATGTTTTTATTTGGGTTTTATGAGACAGATCAATATAATTAGGGTGCATAGTTGTGAGCTCGGATTATTTTTTCTCTCTTTTTTTGTCAAAAATCTAAAAAGTGTGGCGTGCCTCTGTATTTCAGCCCTCTTAACTCCAGTACTTGAATGTATTACTCAGTTAAATTGAAGCATATGTAACTGAGCAAAAGTAATTAGTTACAACTCATAGAACATTCAGGCAAAATCCCAATAAGACAACTTAAAATTACAGGTGGAAAATTTGAAGGACGTGAATTCTTCTCAAGTCATTTCACTTGTATAATCTATTGATTACAGAAAGGGGAAGATGCCGACGTTACCTGTCTAAACTGAGCCGAATAATTTTTGAACTGGTTGAAACTGGACTCGTCATGGTGGAGGTACTTTTTAATAGACTTGATGAGCTCCAGGTTTCTCTGCTGGAAGTCGTCCGGCACCAAATAGCCATTAGTCGGCATTTTGGGGGGTCTGAAAGGAGAAGGACAAAACATGAGACAATAAAACAGAACTATGACACTGAGGAAGACGAGTTCAATGGTTCTTATTGTGCAGGAGAAAGATTAAGCCTATACATGTACAATTATTTATTTATTTTTTTACAGTTAGCTGGTGCAGCGTACATTCAGGTGTGCTAAATAGTCCAGATATTACAGTAACCAGACTCAATATACCCAACAACTACTCACAGGCTGACTGCAGGCTCCACCACGTTGCTGTTGAGGGGGATTCCTGTGAAGCCCGGCGGCGGCTTCGGGGCTGAGCTTCCCAGTCCAGGTGGAGGCGGGGGCATCGCAGGGGCTGGGCTTGGCGCTGCGGTTTTCACCGGGAAGGAGGTCTTGAACCCTGTCAGACAAACACAGATTACAGTCGCAGCTCTTCGGGCCACCTGAGGAGACGGCGTCAGATCCGAGGCAGTTTAAGCAGCCTGCCGAGGTTTTCTGTTGACATCCGTCATCAAAATAGAGACGTGCTTACCTATTCTACGTTGACACCAAGCACTCAGATTTAGTCACATTGGATGGTTAACCAGGACCAACCGTGTGGTTATAGCTGTGATCAGAACAAGCTTTCTTTTGCTTCTATACGTTGTGTGACGCTTCCAGCTGTTTTGACCGATAACCCTGCATGTGACCGCATGCAAACAAACAACGTGAAGAGCAAACACTGGGCTACTTTACAGCTCAATACTGATGAACAAACTGCTTCAGAGTCGCCTCTCTTATGAGGTTTGACTTATGAATGAAAAAGATGATGAAGAGCACAGAAGTTTCACCCTCAAGACTTTGATTGTCCAAACTTTGATTTAAAAAAAAATCCCTTTAGTTGCCCTTATAAAGCCTTTCGGTACACAAAAATTATGATTCAAGACAAAATGACACAAATATATGCAACATGGGAGAACAGGTATAGCCACTGAATGGATGGATGATATAAGAATAAAGCAAGTTGAAAATGGTGATTTGCTGCATTGTCAATTGAGCAAATTGGAATTGCAAAAACAAATCTGCTTAATTCAAACAAGGAAATTATTTTAAAAAGAACTTGTTTTTGATAAAAAGCTTCTGCAGTTGGATGACGTGTATTGAAACTAGTGTATTTTTGCAAAACTACAATGGAAACACTTTTCGCGTCTGGAGAGTAACGTGATCAACAATCGGCTGTTAGATGATGACAGGAGGATTGCAGTGCGCCATGTTTGTAATGAAAACACACCTGGTGTTGTTTTAGATTTTGTTCTTTAAGAACACTATGCACAATTTGAGAATATAATAAAAGATTTAACGTCACTTTGACGATAAGTTGATATCAAGGCATCCCAGTATACGAGACATACATAAATACATTAAAAAAATCTGGTCAGAGAAACCATTACCGGTGCGCTGTGTAGCGGTATATACCGATTGATTTTTGTTTATTCCTTCCAAATTTGTTAAAACTCTTTCCAATGTTTCACATTTTGTCAAATGGCAACCACAAACTTTGGTGGGATTTGCTCTGGTACAGCAAAGCGGAAGACGTCTGTGAAGCATAATGGAAAAAGACACTGGATTTTAAAGTTCTTCATCCCGCATCCATCTTCCTGTTCTCAAGGAAGGCATCCCCACAGCATGATGCTGCTACGACCATGTTTCTCAATACGGGTGAGTTTTCTGCCACACACGGCATTTGGTGTGTCAAAAATGTTAATGTGGCTGTCAATGTTTCTTCTTTGATTAGTGCTCTCTTTTGCCAACCAGTCATTTAAGATGGACGGCCACGTCTTTTCATTTTCAGATCCTCACACCTTAAATTGTTGAACAAACTAACGACATTAGTACTTTGACTCAGTGGACGAATAAAACCAATTTTTAAATGTTCCAATTACACAAACAATCTTTGTGTCAAGATTGGACTCATTTTGGTTGCTTTCTCTGTTTTTAGTGACCTTTCAGTGTTTAGAAACTGTATAATTGTTTAGGTTTGTATATTACTGCTGTCAGGAACTCAGATTCTGAATCTCACTTTTTGTGAAAATGAGATAAATTAAAATAAAACACAATTAAAATCCAGATAACATGAATTGAAGTTTATAGTTGCTTGTTTTGCAGACAGACGACTTTAACTAGGCTACTAAGTTTCACCTGGAGGAGGTTTCTTGGTCATGAGAGCGGGGAATTCCTCCTCTGGCTCCGGCGTCGGAACAACAACAGGCGTCGGCATTGCCCTCGAAGATTCTCTGCAAACGGCCGATGTCGTGTCAGTGGGACCGCTGGCCGACACGCTGGTTGCTGTGACGGCGCCGGACAGCGATTTGCTCCAGGTTTTCTCTGGGACGTTTTCCTTCTGCGCAGCCGTTTCCACTGAGATCACGTTCATCGGTGCCGTCGCGCCCGAAACGGCGGGCGCCGACGCGGAGGAGGCGGCCGAGTTTTTCTGCTTTTTCTTCTTGCCGGCTTTGGAGGAGGGCGGGTCTGTGTTGGGGGGCGGATTTGCAGAGGATGGGGTGGCGGAGGGCTTGGTGTTGGCTCCTTTGACGGTGAGGAGGGAGGAGATATCCAGCATGGTGGGCACCGAGCGGAACTCCTGCTGCGTCATTCCTCCGCTGTCGTCGTCGTCGTCAGACAGACAGGGAGGCGTCGCCTTTTCTTTTTCCCCGACTTTCTTCTTCTTGCGGGAGGATGACGAGTTTGAAGAAGAGAGGAGCTGTGGCCCTGAGGGAGCGGCTGAGAGAGGAGGCGGAGCTCTGGAGGAAGGAGGAAGTTGAGCGTTCGGTTTGGCCACAGGAGTGCTGTTGGACCACGCCGAGTTGGCGCTCGCTGCGGGTTTGGGAAGCCGAACTTTGGGCACCAGAGCGGGGAAGTCCTCCTCTTGGAAGGAGGAATTCTTTTTCGGCTGTCCGGAATATGCAGGGGTCATCGGGGAGGAAACCGCAGCGCTGGAAAGACTCGGGAACTCCTCTTCCTTCAGTGCCGCGGCAGAAGCTGCTGCCGGACCCGGCTTCGCGCTGGAGGGACGAGGACACAAGGGAAACATTTCAGCACAACAACTGACTGTCATGAGATGATGAGTTAATTTGGTGAGCTGAGGATTACATCGGCGCTACGGCGGGGAAGTCGTCTTCATCTCCTGGATTAGAGCTCTTCATTGTTTTTACTGTAAAAAAAACCCCCAAAAAAACATTGAAGATGAAGTTGGTAATCTGAAGAAGATAAAGTTACTGTGATTTTATTTTTCTACCTGGAGGCTTGTTGCTCAGTTTGATCGGTCCAGTCAGGTGTCTGGGCTCGTCAGGCTCTAGTCTCTCGTCTCTAATGTGTTTTGAAGTGATCCTCTCTTGCATCGCGGGTCGATCTGTTTGCCTTTGTGTCACCGGTCGCTCTGTTTGCCTTAGCATGGCGGTCCGCTCCGTCTGCCTCTGCATCGCCATCGACGCTCTTAAAGCTGCTTCGACCTGCCTGTCCTCTTCTTCTCTTTCCCTGCACAGATAAGATGAACTGGAGGTGAAACGTGAAGACAGGAGAGTCTGAGTGCAGCATCAACTCGGGATGCAAATTATTGATTAATGAATTAAAGCTGACTGACTTATCCATCCATTAAAGATTAATTCATAAGTTGCCATATTCTTAAAACCTGAGTTGCTAAGAAAAATATGATTGACTGTCTTTTCATAACATGAGAAAAAGGTATAAATTTTTTCATAATATGCTGAATTAAATGAAAACACATTAAATTTGAACATTATTTGTGTGTGCTGTATTAAATACTGACTGGATAAACTGTAAATTGTGGTTCTCAAATTATTAAACTTAGACATAATTATAAAATACAACAAAACATGAATCTCTTAGGTTGCCAGATAGAAAACTGGAATGTATTTGTTTCAACATCCTCAAACCGACTTGGCTTCAGGATGACCAGCGGCGCCCTCTTCTGGGTTGCGGCCAAACTGCAACACTAAGTTCTGTAAGCGGACATTGTTAGTTCATCGATTAGAACTAATTTTAATCTTATAAATTGTTTTCAACCCTAGACTCAACTGAATGAGCTAAAAGCCAATGGAGAAAAAATGGTTTTTAAAAGAAAAAGTATATTTTCATCTGAGTTAAGACCAATCAATGGTAGGTAAAGCTGATGCAGCACAGGCAAATAAAGGGGGAGATTATAAATAATAAAAAAAAGAAAGAAAGAAGAAATAGACAGAAAAGAAAGAAAGAAAAAAAACCATTTAAAACTTAATTGGAAGCCAGTAACGAGACGCTAAAACTGGTGGTATGTGCCATCATGCAGCAGCGTTTTGTACCAACTGGAGAGGGAAGCTAACTTAAATCAAAAGAGAGTTGCAGTGCTGCTTTGTGTTGGTATATCATATGAAATGCTGATAAGACGCAGCACACGTTTGATCCAAGTTTATGGTTGAAATTTGCTCAAGTTCCAGGAAACTTTCAATGGATCCCAGGGCCGATCATGCAAACTCACCGGGAGTACCTCCAGCTCTTCTGGCCCATCTGCAGTCTTCCCCGACCTCCTCGATTATGCCGCGTTTCCTCATAGTCCTCGCCTCCAACCATGCCTAAAGAAGCATACGACTAATCAAGCTCACCGCAGCAGGTGCGTCTTTTTAGCTCGACAAGGCCACATCAACCCACCGTCGTTCCTCCTCTGCTGCCTCGGAGCATAGTTGAACTGCAGGTCGATGTGGCGGTTCTGCCGGGCCTCTGCTCGGTTCTTGCTGTGCGCCGCAGCCTTGTGGGCCTTGTAGTCGATCTCGGAGCGGAACGCGTGCGTGAACTGCTCCGTGGCGCAGCGCCCTTCCTCGCACAGATAGTGGCTCTCTCTGAAGTGCTCGCTTAGATACCGGTAATCACTGAGGACAGACGGATCAGTAAGAAACAAGTAGGAACGCGATGAAACACACGCGTCACGGGTGGATTTTCTTCTACTGCGAACACCTGTAGTATTCCTGTGAGCCGTCCGCGTCGCAGAAATGGCAGAAGTAGTGGTCCCTGCGCAGGTGCTTGAGCAGCTCATCATTGTCGAGGTAACGCTCGTCGCAGAACTTGCAGAGCGGGTGTCCTCTGTGACTCGTGTCGTCTGGATCGCCGTGCGCTCTGTGCCGCGCCAGTTCCTTACGGTTATACCACTTCCGCTCATAAGAGAAGATCTGGAGAGGTGGCAGGTTTTCAGAACACAGTTAACATTTTAATGCATCTGATCTCTGGATAAACTTTTCACAACCAACAGCAGAAGTCTACTACAATCACTGAGCTGATTTTACAACAGAAATACTGGACTTCACTGGATCAGGGAGGAGCTCGCATACCTTGAGATGTTTTGAGCAGAGCTTGCAACAGAAAAGCTCATGCTGCTTCCTCATGTGCTGCTCCAGCTCCTCAAATCTGGAGAAAACTTTAGGTTCTGGACATCGGACGCACTCCGACAGCAACAGACGCCTGATTACAAACAAAAAAACACATAAAAAAAAAAAAGCCAAAAAAAAAAAAGCTACTCTGAGCACTAAAAACAAATTATTTTAATAGAGTTAAGTACTGTTTCTGCAGCAATTAATTTTTTTTTTTTTTAAATCAGTGTTGTCTTCCTGCAGCCTCTGAATCCGCAGCTTGAAAACTCATCGCCACCTTGTGACCACAGAGTCACCAGCTGCAATATTACAGTCACTAACTAGAACGCATGGGACATAAACCAGCTTCTTCATCACATCAAGCTTTTAGTCCCTCTGGAAATAAGGTATTTCTAACAGATGACACCTCATATCATTCCAATAACAGCTGTAAAAAAATCTTTAATCTCATAAACCGTTGTAAAAAGTTTAGTTTGTCATTTTTAGCCATAGTTCAATGTATTCAATCAAATGAGGGTCAGTCTATACTCTGTTATAATTTCAGCTGCTGCTCCAGTTAGACTAACAGCCGCATTTTGCACAGATATTTGTGTGCATGGTCTGCAAAACTGTGCAACAGACCGTGCCCGTTATTTAGTTGATCCAATAACTCAAACTCTTCCAGTTCCATTTACAGTGAAATAGAAACTGTCGATGCTGCTTCGTGTCTATCTGTGTCATGTGACCTGACTGTAGAAAGAGAAAGCCCTCGATTTAGAAGGAAGTGCTTAACAGAGAGCAGCTGAAACACTAGTCTCAAAATATTACGACATTCAGAACTAAATACTAAGGTTGTGAAATATTTTATGGTACACATACTAATCCAAGCCTTGACATTCAGCAAAAATGATCTGCATATAAACATAACCAGCAGAAGCAGCGCATGAGTTAAGAAGGACAAAACTTTCATTTTCATTTGGCTGTAATTTAAATATTTCCAGTGAAAGCAAAACCAAAGTCAAAGTTTGAGTTTGTGTGCACAAACCTGCCGAACACAGCTGATTCTAACATGGACACGTTAGTAAACAGAGACTTTCTGCTGCCTTTTCTGAGTCAACAACCAACAACTTTTAAAAGGCAAAAATGCTTAATAAAGTAAGAAATGTTGGTAGTTTGTCTTTTTGGTATCTGCCAGCTATCCAGATACTACTACAAAAGAAACATTTTCTTCTGTGGGAGAAACTAAATCATCAGTGAAGCCGTTTCCCCCTCCCAATCAATTATCCCAGTTGCAGCTACTTTTTCAATATCTTAGTTACCAAATTGTCAGGCATGCAAAACACAAGCATCTTATGTTTTAAAACATCATAATAACCTAAGGGATTTAAAACGGTAAGAGCAGAGTCTTTCCATACCTGTACTGAGAGTGGGTCATTTCGTCTACAAAATATATGTCGTATCTCTTCTCAAAGGGAAACTGCTGATAAGGCAGAGACTGAAAGGTCTTCAGCTTTTTAACAAACACCACCTGAAAGAACGTGACAGGAAATGATAAATCAATGACACCCAGAAAGTGACATCTTACTTTAAAAAAAAAAAAAGAGAAAGAAAGAAAAATGCTGTTTAAACTTTTAACTAAAAACTTAATGTTCACGATGCTGCCAATACAAAAGACAATTGATTTTAAAAAAAGATTTCTGAGGTGAACTGTAGCCATGACATTTGCATTTAAATTTTTCCATTTTTAAAACACCAACTTTCTTGTAACAGAAAAGCTACCAGGCTAAATCAAGTTACAAATCATGAAATGCAAATTGTTTAATATCACAATTTGAGAAGATTGAATGCCTTTATATTGCTTAGTGTTTTAGTTGACGTGTAAACTGGTGTTTAGCTTTTTAAACTGTTTTGAGTTGTTTATTGTTTTTCCACCTTTTTAGGTCCCCAGTCACCTCAAAAGAAAGTTGATACCCTGAATCTTCCTATATACTGATATTGTCCATTTAAAGCATCTCCATGTATTTAAGAATAAAGCTACAGCCTGAACCTAACATCACTGTGTTGAAATTTCTTACATTTGTCCAAAATGTAAATGTTTACTAGCCGGGCGTTAGCAGTTAGCAAGTTAATTACAATATTAGTGACGGGACGCTAAATTAAGACATTGCTACCAATATTAGATAAGATTTTCAGCATGTCTTCATTCATTGATAAACACTGAAGCCAATTTGTTACGTAATAGCCCCTAATTTGACAAACCAGCACCTACTGCTGTGCTGATGTTAGCATGACCTGCTCTGCCCGGCGAGTGACAGCAACAAGCTGTAATTTAAAGCACAATAAACTACACTATGTCATTCCCTGTCAGTCATTACCTATTGTAAATTCCCTTAAGATACTTTTACACAGAAGCAGCTTTTTAATACTTAGGGAGGCTAAAATGACGTCGAGGCCTAGCTAGCTCGAGCCCCGGGCCAGAGTAGTGGATTGATCCGCACCTTGTCAAGCTCCTCGCGGCAAACGGCGCAGTACTTCTGGTCGCAGAGTACCCTCATCTTGGTGGAACAGCGGTAGCACACCGGGTGATCGCATTTACCCAAAGCGAAGATGTCGATGTCCTGGCAGCACAGGACGCATGTCTTCTCAGACTCTTTTACGGCGGTTGAGTTCATGTTGACGGGGGGGGAAAAAAGGAGCTAAAGCCTAGAACTGCTTGGGAGCGTCTCGACAGTGAAGTGCTTACGTAACGACGAAAGTGTGAAGTACCGCCGGTTATAGCGTCACGTAACGGTCGGAGGGCCACAGATCTGAATAGTATATGGATGGGCCGAGATCAGGACCACAGCACGTTAGTTACGACTTTTTTAGATGTGGGATCTGCGCATGCTGTCATGGCTGATGCACGTGTTTGTGCTGTGGCGTTCAGCGGCACGGCGGGGCTTCCGTAGAAACCTTTCACACGCCGGGGTGAGCGTTCTGGAAAACCGTACTGCAACAATAACAATCTGAAGCCAAATATGAACTTAACTTATATAGGGCCTTTCTAATTTTGTCGACCCCCTTGAAGCACACTATTTTAAACGGATGACGTTTGGCAATTGTCTTCCAATTGCCAAACGTGAGATCGATATTTCCAAACAGAATAATTCAAAAAATATCTGTTTTGTGTTATTCTTCAAACTTTTGTGATTCCACGAGACATGTCCAAGACCAAGAAGGCTTACGTACTTGTTTATATTTCATCACATATACGAAAGGGGTATGAAAAAAAGCGCTACAATGTTTCTTTATGATTATTGATGGAAATAATAAAATCTGTCAACAGTCCACCAGGTGGCGGGGGGCGGTGGGGATCTTTGGTTCATTTTCAATAGCTGCTGTTTACATTGAGTGAAATATACCTTTAATTGTATCTATTGTCTAAAGGTATTAATTGATTCTAAGGTTTCCAAAGGCCAGTGACCGTGAAGCAGTCAAAGTTTTTTTGTTGTTGTTGAAAGATTCTTTAATTTTGCTGCCTTATAATATATTGGGAAAATACTTTATTGTCCCACAATGGAGACATTATATGGGTTTAACAGCAGCATTAAGTGTACATTTAGACAGGGACAGATATGGATAATCAAGGGTTTATTAAAAATTGTAATAAATTCTTAAACCTGAACTAAGTACTGTAAAATTATATCAGATGCTCTTTAAGCTGTTCATAGTTTTTCACACTGAATGTCACATTTTTTGACAGCCTTTCAATTTGCTCTACAGTAGCCAGATAGAACAGTCAGGCAGTTCTTCCTTTGTCGCCACTTAAAAATATATATTTTAAGGTTATAATTTGGACTTTGATAGCTTTTCCACACATTTTATATGAAGTTCATGTACCTGATCAAGACAGCATATTGCCCAGTGTTTTTTTTCCCCAAGTGTCACCCCAGTATTTTTGATCACATGAACAGTTTCTGCAAGGAGAAATAGTACAGAAAATAAAGAGAAAAATCTGAGGGAATATGAATCGTTTTGAACAAATATGTATCCAATTTTTAGACCTTCTGGTGTTGATAAATAACTTAGATTTTCTCATTTTAAACCTTTAAAAGTCTTCTGAGACATTTGAACCCTAACCCTCAGATTATGAAGATAACCATCAACAGAGTTCATGTCTAAATATGAAAAGATACTGAAAAAATGGTTAACAAAGTTTCAAACATTAGGTGTTGACAAAAAATGTTCCTCCTTCCTGAACAATTTGATTGCTTTTACAAAGTCAGTATCAACGTTTATGCTGACAGAGCTGCTGAACAAATTCATTAACCACAAAGACAATCAACCTTGAAATCTGATTTGAACCAGTTACTTTTACTGTAGGATGACAGATGGAAAAACCTTTGTTCACTGTCTCTGATCTTTATTTCTACATTATCAATTTGACGATGAAAAGTCAGTAAGACTTAAAGCCAATTAGCTAAAGCAGATACTTGTGTTATTAATGCTGAAGGAAAACTTGAATGAGTGTAGAGACACTTAGAGGAGGAGATCTGATGTACAACATTACCACACTTCTTAAATCATCATTAATTTCTTTTAAAACTAAAGCAGTAGAAAATCACCATAAAACATCAGTAGTGGTTTATCATTAGTGAAATACTCTTAAAAATCAAGTCCCATCCAGTCATCGTCACAGTGCATCTCTGTTGTTAAGTGTCCAGGGTTGCATTTCTGGTTGCTGGTTAGCGTCTCTTGTAGCGGTCGCTGTTCAGTCCCATAACTCTGAAGGTACTACTGGCAATCTTCTCATAGAGAAGGAACATGAGGGCAGCAGTCAGGACGGTCTGCAGCAGCTTGGCCTCCAGGCCTTTGAACAGACCCAACACGCCGTGTTTCCTACGGCAGAGAAGCCGGTTGAAGACACAAAACGGGACTGAAGACTGATAATGACCGTTGAACAGCGAACTAAACACCAAAATGCTTTTTAACGATGTAAAATGTTGTGGTAAAAAAATTCTTCTTGTTTTAGCACACAAAAATGTTTCAAATAATAATTTAACCAATTATTTATTTATTTATTTAATTTCAACATTCACAGAATGAAATAAAAAAATATAGTGAAGATCGGGTAGCTGCAATTCATGACTGACACAACAGTCTGTCGGCTAGTCTGTTAGCGAACAATTACGATGGTTCGCAAAGTCGTTGACACTTGTTAAACTTTTGCATATTTTGTGTGGTGCTACAATCACAACGGTTAATGTAATAAAAAATACATATGTGTAAATAGAAAGATGTTCTTAGCTCCCTTTCCTCTGACGGCCCTAAATCAAATCCAGCGCAGTTTGAATCAACAGATCAAGTGAGATCATCCGTCGACTGGAAAAGTATTAATCATGTTAAAAACAAAGCTGGTTCTTATTGAAGAGTGGCAAATAGAAAGTTACCGCGGGAAGGATTATAATCTCTTCACTTGAAAAAAGAAAAAGGGACATAAATTCCTGCTTCCTACATATCGTAACCTGGAGGTTAAGATTTGTAACCTCCAGGTTATATATCGTGTAACCTGGAGGTTACGATATATATTGCTAAAACCAGTTCTGGACTGGTAGTTCCACCTTTTTCACTTTTCCTGAGAAATTTCTGGTAATTCCCTTGCAAGTTCATGCATGTGCTCCATCTCAAAATAGTGCAACAAATCATCACATTAATTCGTCCTTCTAAAATGATTTTAAAGTAATCTTTAGATGTGTGATATTTGGGAAAACTCACCTCGCTCTGTTCACCAGTAGACCCTGGAGGGTCTGCAGGCTGGACAGCAGCTTCGACTTTTTTGTCGGTGTGTTGACCTGACCGAACTGTTGTTAGGAAAAGTATGGAGAAACACACAGTTGGCGCTAAAATGTTCTCCAATTCTTTCGAAGAACGAATGTTGGACATAAAAGTGAGACGTACCCTGAGGACGGACTGTATCGTCTGCAGTGGGTACGTAACAGTGGTGGCGACGGCTTTGGCGACCGCCCCGATGATGAAGACCTCCAGAGATGAAAGCTTAGAGGAAGAAAAGATTGGTCGCGTTTCTTTTTTTATTACCAAGCCTCTTTCCATTCAGATATTGTGAGAATCCTGCTACCACCTTCCAGCTCACCTCCTTGGAAGCCCCTCTCCTCAGCTGCCTCTTGAGGCCTTCGTAAATCATGAACTGAATGGCGGGGTTGAGCACCAGCAGCAGGGATGGGAAGGTGCCGTTCCAGAGGGCGCCAACGCCTTCTTTACGGACGATCTGCTTAAATGCATCTGCGGGAATCATAGAGAAGGTTATGCCAAATCGCAAAAATATTTACATCCCTTGAAATTTTTCCATGAGCTACAACCTTTAACATCAATGCTGTATCAAAGCATTTACTGAGGTGGACCAATACAAAGTACTAGTGCGGGTAATTGGGAACTGAGAAGACATTTTGTAAATGTCAAAATTATAACGTACATTTCAAGAAAAAGAAGGTGTGCACTGGTCAGATTAGACAAAAAAAGGAACACACAAAAAACATTTGGTGCTTTATACAAACTTACTTCACATACTTAATTCTTGGCACACAGCTAAACACAGTGTGGGAACAGTTTTCTTCAGCAGGGACAGAGAAGATGCTCAAAAACAAAAGGTGTGTCTAAAACTATATTTGTGCAAAAGCATGCCAAACTTTAAACTTTTTTTATTAATACATTATAAAAACACATTAAATCTTAACAAAATGCACTAAGGTTTGTGGTGGTAACTGAACAAAAATCTGAACAAGTTCAAGAATATAACTGATTCTCCGTTGAAATGAGAACTAAGAGCAAATCCGTTTACCCAGGATACCAGAGTAGTTTGTGGGCCGGATGTCAGAATTGCGAAACTTGGAGCCTTGGAGCTTCAGCTGGGTATTGACCACCCACAGAGGAGTGGTCAGCAGGACGTTAATAACACCTGAAAAACATAGCGATAAAAAACGTAAAGCTAACCACACTGTCTGTCGTATTAACCAGTGCACAAGAAAGCTTTCTGTGGTAAAGATGGAGATCAGTTTACCTGCAGCAATGCCTACAATGAGGTCAGTGCTGGGGGTTGACTGCCTGCTCTTCAGCCAGCTCGCTTTCATCCAGTGGAAGCAGTAGAAGTAGACAAAGTTGGAGCAGCAAAGACTACAGATGACAGGAAACCATCCTCTGTAGGGAGCTAGTCTGCAAAAAAACAAAACAAAAAAACAAACACCATTTCATTTCTCTCACAATTCAGTTGTGATTTGTTAAAACCATTTCACTCACAGCCCTTCTTCTTTCACAATGTCAGCCAAAATAGCAGGTGTACATTTGGCCTTCCTGTTTTCATCCACTGAACTCAAAGAAATAAAAAATTAAATGTCAATATCTAGCATTTAAACTCAATCTGCAAAGAAAACCCACACGTCCACATCTCACCTTGAAGCCGTAGCCTGGCAGTGTCCAGAGGGAAGAACACCGTCATCGCAGTCACACTTCCCTAAAACAGACCGAGGTCAGCGTTCTGGTGCTAGACACCGAACTCCGCTAAGAAAACCACACATTCAAAGCGACGCGAATTTCTATAGCACAACGCCAACTCAAAAATCAAACACATCATCACATCTTCATATTTATAACATTAGCTTTAATTCGGCTGGGTTTGACATCACTCTAGGCATCTGACAAGAAAGGTTCTGTCGTAGTGGGAGAAGCTAACTTACCACGGCTCCTGACACAGCATGAACCAAACTCTCATAGGAGAAAACCTCGGCGGTCATTTCCAGCTGTCCTCTTAACTCCAAGCTGCTCAAACGACGAAAACCTCCTTCTGTTTTACCGCTAACCAGCCGTCAACTCGCTCCGCGACCCAACGGCTCGCTGGTTTTCTGTTTTCACTTCACGCCTCCTCGAAGCTCACAGAAGGGGATTGTGGGTACTGTAGTTTTAAGTCCGCTTTTATTTAATCAGGATAATTCATGAGTATACGTTTCTCACTGTGTTATATGAATAGCTTCCTTAGCAGAGATTCCTCGCTCATTGTTTATCTGTTTACTAATCTATTATTATTATTGAATACTATAACTTTGTATTCACAACCAGCCGTTTCTTCTTGTCTCATCATTTTAAGAGTGGTGCCTCTCCACTGCTTCCACTTGTTTGCTCATTATTAGGAACTGCTGCAAAGTCAACAACTAAAGGCTAATAGCCAGGCGAATTTAGATGGAGCAACTATGAAATATTGTAAATGGACAGGAATGGAATTGACTGGATTCAATAAAACTTTTTACAAATTGGACTTGGTTGACGTGTAAAGTGTTTTGAGAGGATATTTTTTTGGTGAATTCATAGTAAACTGGAAAAAAATGAGAACAGCCTGAAACTGTGTTTTTATGACGGCAACATCAGCATCTTCTTTAGGTGTTTATTGTGATGAATACAATATTCAACTGCTTGTTTAGACATTGTCTTAAGATGCGGTGACCGCTTAACGCTGTCAGTAAACGTTTTCAATCTTGTTTCTTCTTGGGCAGCTTCTGCAAAGAGACTTCACAGTTGCTGGCACGTTTAGCCTAAATTTATTCATAAGACAGGTTTCAGGTTTCCTCAAACATGCGAGCAACCAAGACGGGTGTTAATAATTTTTTAATAGACACAGGATATCTAACAGGTTTTTAGTTGGGATTTACTTGACAAGATACATTATACGACAACAAACATGGACAACAAACAAGAAAACATCTATGACTTCAAACCTGCATGACCAGAGCAGCAACCAAAATGCATTTACAAGGGAGTGAATTTTCATTTGATTTTTAATTGTTGAACATAAAAGTAAAATAAAAACTTCTTTAAAATAGGAAGTTACGATCTTGAGGGAAGGCACGTTATTTTTGGCTGCAGTGAGGTAATTAAGTTTCTATGACTTGATGGTTGACCTGACAAAGATCTGAGAATGATTATTTTAAGTGCATAAAATATCCTTTGACATGCCTTTTAATGACACTTATTAATGTTTCATGCTCTTGTAAGCACTGTCTGTGGTCCCTCATTTTTTAAGCATGCTCAACATGTTTTTTTTGTAAATAAATTAAACCAAAACAATAAGAATCCATCAGTCTCCGGCCCATTCACTCAGCCACTCCTGACAAACCCTCCTCTGCTCTTCGCTCTCCTCTCTAGTCCTTCGTTGCTTGGTTTGCTTCCTCTTCTCCCTCTCACTTCTCACCACCACTCGTTCCTTCTCCTTCGTCTTGCTGTGCTCCAAGACGGCCTCAACAGTGGCCTCCAGTGTCCGTAGTGAGCGCTGCGGGACCCATTTTGGGTCCACCGCTGGGATAAAGGGGTCTCCAGCAGTGACGAGAAGCTGCTGAGGCTCCAGGGGAATTTGGAGGAGATAGGCGTGCAGCATCATGCGATACGGAGAGTCATCTGCTCCCAAGCTGTAAGTGAAGTCTCCGACAATGGGGTGGCCAATTTCGCTGCAGTGGACCCTCAGCTGGTGGGTACGACCTGAAAAAACAAAGGTCAGGGCACACAGTCAGAGAGGAAGTTTCTTTAAAAACAAATTAATGCAAAGTTGTAAACTTTTCAAACTTTTTAACAAAAAACAAAAAAAACAAAACCACACTTGTATTCAGCTTCCCTAAATCAATACCAAATCAACAGTATGTATTTTGAGGTGTCAAAGTAAAGGTCACTGAAAGACACTTTTTACATTTTCAAACAATGCATCCTTTTTGCTTCACCTCAAAACTGCACATCATTTTGTGTTGGTCTATCACTTTAAATACCAATAAAATACATTGATTTGTAAAAAGAGTAAAAGAAAAACAAACAAATAAAAAGAATACTTTTCCAAGGCTTTGTAAATGATTATTATTAAAAGAAATAAAACCAGGTACCTGTGAGGGGCTGCAGCAGAACCTTAGTGACCGGGTCTCCGTCATACACCCCGAACTCTAACACTATCAACTCAGTTTGGGAAGGCTTTGGATTTTCACAACCTGTTGAGTGAATATGAGAAAATCCTGTAAACCTTTTAAAGCTAGCTGCTGTCCTTACATTTCCTGTAGGTTGATTTCAAACCAATCAGGCTCCTGTACCTTCAGTTCCTTCGATGCACATCATATGCGTTTTTCCCTCCATGGAGTTCTTGCCAATAGCGAAGTCCAGAGTTCGTGTCTCATTTTCCACCCACCCACGAAGCTGGAAAAGAAACTCACTGAGACAAAAGGAAAGGAGCAGCAGACAGCAACGTTTGTGGGCCAAGCTGTGAAGCTACTACATTCAGAGAGAAAACATAATTATTGAATAAATTGTAGATCATTATCTGTATGATCTTCTTTTTTTCATTTATGTATAAATATTATCTATAAAGTAAATCTTATGTGAATCAAAACTAACAACCACTTTGATAGGAGGAGGTGACATTATCTTTAAATATGTTAAATTTGGTTTTCATCAGTAAAGATACACATTTTGGGAAAAACAAAGCAAAAAAAAAAAAAGAAGAAAATTTTAACTTTACCCTACACTCCTACCAGGAAGGACCTGTGGTTTTGTTGCTGTTTCATGTTGAAAAAAACATAGCTTGATAAAACTTACAAATAGTTAATAGCTGCTGCATTAACAGACTCTGTGAAAAAAAGGGCTTGGTGTTGTTGTTCTTCACGAATGGTCAGACTATGTTTCAAAATTCAGCTATTTCCAATGAACCAACAATAGAACAGAGTTTGGAAATGTGTGTTTTTTTTTTTTGTTTCTTACCAAAGCTAAGTAGGCCTTAGTGACAGTGCGGTCCTTAAAGCAGCGGTAAGCCCGTCCAGCAGCAGCCTTATTCAGAGCGACACAAAGAGCTCCGCTGGTGGAAAAATCCAACTGGTGACAAAACCTGTTGGAAGAAACAAAAGCTAAAATGATGCAACTGTTTATGAGGCATAAACTGGCTGCATGAATAAATGCGGTTGCTAACCTGAACCCATAGTAGGTGCTGGGGTCTGCCAGATGGGGGAAGTGATGCTGAAGCTGCATCTGCACGGTCTGCTTTTCGTACCACATCTTGCTGTCTATACGGATGTCCCAGTGTTTGTCCACAACGAGATAGTCATCGCTCTGGTACAACACGCGCAGGCTCTCAATGCTGGCTGGCTCCGAACTCATCCTGCGGGGCTGGCAGTCAATCCAACCCTGCAGAGACTGGACCGGGACTTCTGACCCGAAAGGAGAAAAGAAAAACAATCCACATTGAGTTACTAAAGTTTTTACTCGACAGGCTTTTTCATTTCGGGCTGCATTGAGACTTTGCCTCCACAAACTCATGTCAAAACTCATGTCGCAGCAGTCTGAATATCGATAAGTACTCAATAAAATGTTTAACCTTTCATTTTTCATTGTTTAATAAATGAGCAAGAGTGTTTCTAGCTGCGTTAAACCGTCAATGTAATGTAGTAACTAATAGTATAGTGGTGGGGTTTATGAATGCCAAACAAATAAATACATTTCAACGGCACTGCCAAGATGCAGTGAAGTTTTAGTTAGCATGTTATTAGCGCTGTTGTTTCACCTTTAAATGATCAAACAATTCACAGCTACAAGCCCACCCAATATGGACATTTGCCCGACAATACAACACGTTGTTACATCGCTTTAAATAGTTATTTACCTTGGCTCCTAATGAGGTTAGATGTGAATAGCTTATATCCGAAATATGTAAACAAAACCACGTCTCAAGGATCACTTGTGCGCAGGCGCGTGCGCTTCTTTTCTCGTTTTTGTTCGTCCGTCGGGGTTATGTCGCCACCTTCAGGTTATGGAGCCCTACAACAGTCATGTGAAATATTTAAAAAAAGGAGAAAAATAGCGCACTTCGCTCTATTTTATCATTTCCGTGGATCCACACAAAAATGATCAAATAGAATAGTGACTATCTCCAGAAAAATAAATAATGAACATGGAATTAGAATGACATATCATACAATTCAATCGTCTCCATTTGTTTGAATTGTTTTTGGGTTTTTTTTGTTGTTGTTGTTTTTTAAAAAAAGGAAGAAAAAGGAATAAATCAATTCATTTGGCATACTTTTATAGTCTGATATTTTAATCCTGATATACTTTTCTGTTTGTTCTTAGAATGTTGATTATTTTATGCTTATTTTTGATAGATCTCTAGTGTATTTAATTTCTTAAGCATTTTGTTGTCCCATCCTGATCCAGTGTCCCATCCTGTGTTTTTTGACAACTGTTTTTTTCAATTAGTGGCCAGTTTTTGTCTTTTCAAGTCTTAAATAAAGTCAAAGCATTATATGCTACATTAATGTCATATTCTTTGCAAAGGAATTCCCAAATCTGCATTTGTAAATTAGTTTTCCAAGCATTCCAAGTATTTCCTATTCATTTGCTTTCAATTTAAATGACCTGTTTTTTCCACAGACACTATTATGAATTCCAAAAAATAGAAAATAGTCAGTGACATCAGTGGTCAGTAACCTGCTTTTCTAAACTACCTTTCATGTTAAATTTGTGAATATAGTGTCAATTAGTGTAGCAGAGTGTGTTGTTCATATGCCTGGCCTGGTTATAAATTGGTTTCAACTCATGGTACACAGTGCTAATGAATTTTCTGTCAATTTAGGATTCAGTAAATCAATGTTATAATTATCACAGATTAACTTAACAGCTTTGTTAATTTTTGGCTCAATATTTCTGCCCAGTATCCTCTCTGCAGGTGGTCACCTATAGAGAAGATAAACAAAGTGATCTCAGTCCTAGTCATAGTGTGAATGACCTCACAAGAGATTAAACACCTGGAAATAATCTGCAGACAGTTGGGACTGTTTGCACAAAATCCCATATGTGTGTATGTGTGTGTGTGTTTTTGGTTTTTGGTTTTTTACATAAGCTGTTAGGAAAAAACATAATTCCAATGTCAAGCGATGACCTCACATGGCCCAAAGCTCATAGCAGACTGTTCTGAATCACCAGAGAATATCCAGCACACTCCACCTGCGGGTAATCCCATTACGCTGAAGGTATGGGTCTGTTTCTCCAGCTAAGATCATTATCATTATATAAGCCATAAGTCATTATATAAGCCATATTTCATAACTCAGTTTGGTCTTCTGTGTTTGTGTGTGTACATTCATCAGAACTGAGTTCTTTGTCATCTGTGTTTTTGTCTGTTGTTGCGTAATGTTTCACTGGCACGTTTGTCTGCGGGATGCACCTGCAGCAAAGCTCTGCACTTGCAGAAATTAAGAGTTGCATGTGACTCGGCATGCCTACGTCATTACTAGAAATCACAAAAGTTTCAGTTAGATGACAGACAGAGGAGAAGGTGACAGGCGCCACACAACACCTATTCAATCCAAGGATGTAGTTAAATTCTACCTCAGTCCTTAATGAGGTAATCAAGTTGTGTAAATCTCAGACACTAACTGGACCTGGAACAACTTTTTGTGAGAGATTTTCTCTTTTTTTTTTGTTGCCTTGCTACCTAAGGAGAGTCATTTTTGCTTCACTCTTTGGATCCAGAACTTGCTGGAAGAATCTTCTGATGCAACTTTGTATATAAATCGTGCCTTTGTAAGAGTTCACCATGCCTAAGTCATTCCTGCAGGCTCGTTGCGATGAGCCCATCATGATATCGGACTGGGGCCTTCCTCTGCTGCTGGCACTACTGCTGCTGGCTCTACTCTACTCCTTCCTGTACCTTCCTGCTGCGGCCCAGCGAGCCCTGCTGGAGCAGGCGCTCAGTGGCAACAACACCACCGAAGCGGCTCTGAAATGAGTGATTGACAAGGACACATTATTTGTCAATGGACAACTGCAGGCTTCTTTGTCATTGTGTGACCATCCTGTGGATCAAGTAGGATTTTTTTTTTTTTTTAGACAGATAAGAGTTCTATCTGTCAGCCAGCTTTCATGTGATGGAGGTATCAAACCCTTTAGTGTTGATTTTCCTGAGCTGAAAATGTGAGGAAGGCCTTTGTACTTAAGTTGTCACAGATTCACTACAAATGCAAAGAAGTATGACCTTTGCAGCTTATCTTGTTTGATTTCATTTCCCTCTGAGCAGATTAGTCATTTCTGTATTTTTTTCCCCCATACATGCAATGTAAAAAAAAAAATCTGTTAGTTCGTCTTTGTATGTTGTTGTTTGATCCTCCACTGTGCTCTTCTGGTTATTTGATAAGAAGAATAAAATAAGAAAAAAACTGTTTTCACTGTTTTTATGCTCAAAACAGAGGACTTCAAACTAGAATATGGTGCAGCATATTATATATACAGCTTAATGTAAGGCATTAAGCTGTGCATATGATCACATTGTCTTGGTGCATTACTGTGAACGTTTGTGTACAGTGCCCCCTAGTGGAGGGCTTCTGGCCTAACTCATGTAGAGTCGCTCAGGGATTTTAACCGAGGCTTTTAATTTTTTTGAAAGTATAAGAAAATATTAGTTGACTTTATCAAAATTACAATCCATCCATCCAGGACTTATATTTATAATTACATTCTTACATTTAATGGCTTTAGGAAAGAACGATGATGTAACGATATTTCTGCTCTATTCTTGATTCCAAAAGGACAAACATTTCAAACAAAGACACCTGTTTTAAATTACCTTTATTAAACAATACAATAATGGAATTTGACAGCAATGCAGCTCTGGGTCGTTAGCTACAGGAGGCAAAAAGATACAAAGAGTTTCCAGCTTTCTGTGTCTTTCAACCTAACCTTGCACCAACTATGCCTGCTTCCTTTAGCAGGTGCTGACATCACAATAAATGTGCTAATCGTTTTTCTTCTTCATTTTTGTGTGACATTATACATAAAGGAACTAAAGAATCTCGCTGACTCATGCAAAACCCAACAAGCCAACATTTACAATTAGTCTCAGACCACAACAGTTCACTCGAACGGAGCTTCATTTATCAGTAAGTTCAAATATGTTCACCTACAATGACAACAGCATACTCAAACACGGCACAGAAGTGTTATTTCGCATATCCTACGAGGTATCCATGTACTCCAAAGATCTCATAGGCTCAAAGCAAAACTTTATTTACATCTCACATCCATGATATCTACAAGAGAAAAGAGGATTTGGTTCAGAATTTTATTGTTTTTTTTATGTGAATAGTATCAAAGGACCTACATGCATTTCTTCCTACAGTATACACAGTTCAGGTACAGGTTTTCACCCGTGTGCTCTTTCAAAAAGTGCCAACCTCTTCCCTCTCTCAAAATGAATAGGAATGAAAACAACTAAACGATAATTTTAGAAAGAATCTATTCATCCTGTTAGCTTTGTTGGAGAAGACCAAACATTAAACATGGCAGTTAAAAGGTATTTATTGTCATTTTGAACATTTTTCCTCTTCAGTTGTGCTAAGGTTTATAGCAAACGCTGATTATATTAATTTTTATGTTTGAAACTGAGAATTTTGTGAAAAGATACGGGAATGAACACACAGAAAGCAGCAGAGAAAGCAGAAAATGCCAAAGAATGACGATGCCACATTTGATTGTTGGCATCATTTCTTAACACAAAGTAACAATTCCAAGGACTCTTGTGCCAATTCACTCTAAAAAGTGACAATTTATGTAGCAATTTATCAAGTGAGGATGAGGGAATCAAAAGAATTGTTGTCTAAAAGCAACACTTAGGAGACTTAACAAACCAGCACCCTACAGGGATTTAAAAGCACTTCATCTTATTTTCAGTTTACCTTTAATTCAACAAAAATGATCACTAACTTATTCTTACAAAAAGTGTAACTGGAAAACATTTTTATTTCATTTCATTTAGATAGATGTCACATCTGCTTATCTTGTGACAAGCATTGTTACTCTGACATACTCGAGCATTCATCAGCCCTTTCCTGAAAACGAGTCTGTCGCAAAACACAGTTTATTTCTGTTTTATTTCACAGAGGTGTGCAGTCATTGTTTAAGTCTCGCTGTTCTCCCTGTTAAGTCTCAAAGATCAGAAGAGGAAAGATCAAATGTAACATTATTTTATATCCAGACCTTTTTAACAAATACACATCTGTTAATTACTAATGCATTAACTGTTTTAGCAGTGGCATAAAGTTGGCTCAGAACTTTTAAAAACTTGAAAATAATTGTAATTTTTTTTTAATGTTTTCCAGTTGTGAAATATATTTGCCTTTTAAACTGCAATTCAGCATATTGGTTGAAAACATATGTGCTTTATAATCATATTCTTTTGACAGCAAAAGCTTAGAACCTCAGAGTGATGGAAAGTTATGAAACCACAAGTGTTGAAAAGTCATTAAAGTGCGTTTAAACAGCTGTCTTTGCTCCAGTGTTCATGGCAGCACACATGTATGGGACGGTGAGCTTCACAGTGTTCAGCTCGGTGTTAGATGACTTAGGAAGTTGGAAATAGTCTAATACTTGTCTTTGTAGGGTGGAAATAAAAGTTTTAAGTTTCTATAATGTTGACTACATGGAAGATGCTTGGAAAATGTTTCACACCCCTCGAAACCTTTCAGGTTTTAGCGTGATAGATTTCAGAACTATGACAGTCTGAATTGAAATCCAGTCGAAAAGTACAATTAGAGAAGAGCACATGTGCTTCTACCAGCTCCTGGCAAAGAAAAAATATTTGCCCCCCACCACTGCTGATCTCCATATTTACCACAAAGGTGTTGGGTGGGGTACCAGGATTACCGAAACAGTTTATGCTAGATGTCCATGTCCAGTCTGGATCACTTCTAAGAAACGTTTGTTGCCACTGAGAATATCTCAGACCTTCTACAGCAAAACCCCCCCAAAAAACAAACACCATTATTTTTACGTCACAAAAACATGGAGTCAAACAAAACAACTCATACAAGTTTTTGTTCTGACCATAATCAAACCCTACCAAAGACTCTATGTACACCAGTTACAAGACACGGGAAGAAACATGATCACAGAAATATCACGGTAACTCCTTTCCTTTCTCGCGGTTGAACGTATTTAAATGTAAAGCGCGTCGATGAGTCACAAAGCAATTAACAACTGAAAGGAGCTCGTCTTTTTCCTGCAATCATTGTGTGCGCTTGTTTGGGTTTGGCACCGGGGGTGATGTTGTTTCCATGAGCTGTGGCCAAGCATCTGAAGCTGGACACTAATTACTGTCCAGGGTTCCTCCTTGATGTCCAAGAGGACTTAACTGGATCAGCTCCCCAGTTTTAAGCAGCATGTTCGCCTTCCTGTTCGTGCTTTGCACTGCCTTGACTGTCCCAAAAACAATGTTTCAGTAAATCAAAACAAGCAGATCTTGTAGGTACCCACAGCTTCTATAGCTTTACACCGTCCCATGTTCAATATCCTTCCGCCATGTTTCATGATGTGCTTAAAACTGACCAAACTGACTTTCTGTGACAGGCCACATGACAAGATAAAGCAATTTTGTTAATAAAAAGCATAAACCTCTTTAGGATTTATTCAGATAACCTAGAAAAGAAGAAAGCACAAAGAAAATGTGAGAAGACACCTGCAAACAGAGCTTCCTGTCTGAGCAAGCGCAGTTATAGAAAGGAAGAAGATGACACAGCGGCAGGATATGGTAAATAAAAAGCAGGAGAGGAAGAAGGGAAAGCATTCAGCATCATCATCCTCACACTCCCCCGTTAATTCCCATCCTTGCTGATGTTGAGGATCCATTCCCAAGATAGGTAGACGTTCTTGTCATCGTCAGTGAAGCAGGACTTGACCGCATATTGACCTCGGGAGATGATCCCCTTAGGCGCCTCGTCAGCGGGACACAGGAACTCCTGCTCTTCTGCTCGTGGGCCGTAGCTCCCCATCATGCACACCGCGGTGTTCTCTGCGGGACAAACACAGCACACAGGTGAGTGTTTGAGATAAAAATATAGATTTGCAGTAAACAAGTCAAACCAATCTGAACCTACTTCGTACTCCTTTCTTGTAGGTCACTTGACGATACTTCAGGCCAGACACAATATCTCTGTTCACCTGTGAAAATAACACACACACACACACACACACACACACACACACACACACACACACACACACACACACACACACACACACACACACACACACACACACACACGCACACACACCCCCACACACACACACACACACACACACACACACACACACACACACACACACACACACACCCCCCCCCCCACACACACACACACACACACACAGATTTAGACGGTATTAGCTAGTTAAAGTCTGATTTATGTTATTTATTTATTTTTTAAATTTATTTTCTCTGTCCCAAACTGGCTCTAAAGAAAATTTGTAAAATCCAATTGTGGGTTTTTGCAAAAGGCTGTTTCTGTATTTGTCCAGCAGAGGTCCCCACTGCACAGTTTCTCTTTGATTTGAGCAGTGCTCTACACACTCACACACACACACATGCATCAACCATGGGTTTTTGTTTTGACAACCTCAAAGTGGTTTCCCTTCAATGTTACTGTTATTAAAATACATTTCTGTGGACTGTCTCAAAGCAGAGGCCAACACTGGTAAAATAAATAAGCCTGCAGTGAAGCAGGACTTGACCCGGGTCCGGTTTGGGCATCACAAGCCCGGTGGTAAACAACCGATTCAATTTTTTGTAGCTTAAAGAATGTCCTTGAGGCATTGCACAGAACAGCCTCCATTTAAAAAAATGTTTTATATTAATACCGAAACTATACTTCAACAAGACCTAACCATATCAGATGAATGGAACTGAACCAAAATAAAATCCTAAATATTTTTTATTCGATCTGGATTGTTTTAACTTGTTTCTCTCCAACCAATAAGCACTCGACCTCCTCTTTCCCATCCACACACAAACAAATGTGAAGAATCCAGCTTACCTTGAAGTAAACCTTCAGCCTGTATTTGGCTCCTTCCTGTAAGGTGAAGCTGGTCTCCTTCAGAGTGCTCAGCTCTCCTGCACACAGACACAAAGTCACTAGCACCTTGCGGTTTGTGTGTTGAATACAAAATGTAAATGCACGTTTTCTCTTCTCTTTTTAGCAAACTCCAGAGAAATTAATTATAACATGCGATTCCCCTGCTCCCCCCATCTACCTTTTTTTTCCTTTCTGACTAATTTTACTTTTGTCAGGTTTACTAATGCAGCAAAAAAAAAAAAAAAAAAAAAAAAAAGAAGAAGAAGAAGAAGAAGAAGAAGAAGAAGAAGAAGAAAAAAGCATAATGGACCACTGGAGGGAAAAAACACACACACCACAATCAGAAACACATCCACCATCTAATCACTTTATATCTCAATTTAAAGCCAGCCCCGAGTCTGGAGTGCTCCCTAATGGAGAGATAAAGGAAGGAGAGGAGGAAGAGATGAAGGAGATATGAAGAAATGAGGGGATAGAAAAGCAGCAGGGATCTGAAGTGAGGAAGAAGAAAGAACGTCTGCTGTATCCTAATTTTTGTCTTCACATTTGAAAACATAAATATAAACACAGACATTTAGATTCCGGCAGAGGAACTGTGTCCCAATATTGGGTTTCACAACTTTAGCAGATGCAGTTTCAGTGAGGACAGACTAAACTTAGTTACTTCTGTAAGATGATCAGATGTGGAATTAGTCATTTCCAATCACATACCAAAAAAAAAAAAAAATATCCCAGTAACGAAGCTCATCATTGAAGTCCAGATCAGATCCACTCAATCAACAATTTGGAGTTTAATCAGTTCATCATCTCTACTGCCGTTTTGTTTTATTTCACCCATCTCCCTCCAATAACCGCAGAGCTCAATTCAACTCCCCTCTCCTCATTTTCTGATTCATCTCCTCCACTTTCCTTGGAGGGAAAGACGCAGACCTCCCTAGTGAGCGTTGGAGGGCGGAAAGTAGGTCAGTCGGGAAAGCAGTCTACCTGCTTTCCTAAAGGCTGCACACAGTGGAGCTGATATTCTGCACCGCTGAACAGAACTGATTTTTGCACCAGACAGTAATGGATCACAAGAATCCATCGCAAGGTGAAAAGCCTGGTGGAAGACGGAGGGGGAATCTCAATCTTTCTGAAGGCAAAGCAGATTTCAGATTTTATTAAAACATTTGTAAAACACGATGCAGAACTTCACTTCCAAAAAACACGAGAAACGCAAGTTAAAACCGACAACAACAAAAAGCTCTGGAAAAATATTTTCTGAACATCGGCGATAAGAACGAGCTGAATTTGGTCACATGAGGCCCGTCAATGACACAGTTAAGAAGTCAAAGAACAGCCGAGTGTTTGCAGGAGAAACTCTGGCCTTCCAACAAACAGCTTTCAGGATTTTTCAGTCAGAACAGAGATCAGACATTCCTGTGGAGCAAGTATGACCGAAAATAACCGCCTAACTAAATAACCACAGACACCAAAAGCATTTGCAAAGTTGTTCATTTTATTTATTCTAAGCAGTGTGAAAAATTGCATAGTTTCACTCCAATGAACGCATCTAAAAATAATCTCCAAACATGTTGTAAGGCAAAGTGTAAGGCCCAACATCACATCCGTTCGTCCTCCTGGTGTTTCCAAGTGTTTTATTCTACAGGCAGAAACATATGAGTCTAACATTCATCTTGTTTGGATGAATTATATGATAAATCTTTGGTTTTGTTCAACATAGCATAAAAAAACCACCATTGACATGAGAGGAAACCTGACTGACATTCAGCTCGCTTGGTGTCAGGAGCTACGGGACGCATCAATATGGAGCAACGCCCTTACTCAGCAAAACGACCCCTGCAACACCAGAACCCAACAAAGTCATCGCCGGGCCTCAGGGGACCAGAAGACTGACGATGCATCACAGTCCAAGGATAATGACTCGCACAGCGTCTGTGATGTGTGCCGTATAAATTACAGCCACATTAAAAGTTCAAAAGCTAACAGCTGCGCCACTACTGCCAACGAGTGTTTTAGATCTCAGTGGAGGGATTTTGACCCACTTTTCTTTGCTGAATTAGTGTGGAGGGGCTTGTAAAAGACACCACAGCTTCCCATCTACAAAATCTTTGTTTAGGTCTTCGTTATGTCATTCAGACGTGGACTCTCTGGTGCGCTGTGCATCATTTATGGGGGAATAAAAGTGCAACGTGAATGTTATAAAAGTCAATAAAACAACATGATTTTTTTACTTACTTGCATATTTACATAATCTATACTCAACTTTTCTATGTCACTTTCTGTTTAAGATTAGTTGAGAAAACTAAAATGACGTCAAATGACTTTATGGCAGAGTAATGGCTGTTAATTTTATTACCTTCCCACTTACCGTTTGGTGGAATTAACTTTTAAGCAATGTAGCTTGATTCAAACATGCCGACATCTTTCGACAGGCTTTGTGAATTAGTTTGCTAATTGGTTTTAAGTGCACCAGTTCCTCCTGCAGCAGAACATCCCAATAACTTAATGCTTCCTCCTCCCTCCTCCCAAAGTAGCAAGGGTCAAAATTTAACTTCAGGCAGGAAATTAATTTGTCAAAAATAGTCAGGATTTTTGTCTTCTTCTCCGCTGAGTTGCATTTCAGTCCATGTTGGTGCAACCTTCCTGGTGGATAACGACACTCTGTGACCAGCTTCCTCCAGCCTCTTCACAAAGAGTTTTGTTTTTGAAAATATGCACTATATATAATACCAAAACTTTGTACAAAACCCGACTTGTTCTTGAACAGAATGATGATCCACGATCAAAACATTTATTTAACAATAAACCAGATTTACTTTGTTTCTACTTCAAAACCAAATGCTTTAGTTAGAGTACGAGGAGATGAAGGGAGCCTTTCATCTGTACAGAAGGCTTCCTTCAGCTCCAATATATGACTCAGCCAGACTTAAAAATCTGATCGGAAACTAAAACCTGTCTGCTGATGATCGCTCACCACCTGTCCCATCCTCCGTCTGACACAGTGGAGGTCTTAGGGCTGTGGAAAAATCTGGCCTGCACAGTGTGTTCCCTCCATACGGTACAGATTTCCCTTCTCACACTGAAACATGGTGCAGTCTATCACTCTGCGCTTGGATTTTTGAAAGCAAAAAAAAAAAAAAAACATTGCAGTGTTTCATATTGCATAGCAACCAGCTGACCTTTCCCATCTGCATCCTGTGTCGCATTCACATGTTCACGTATGAATGCGTGAACGTCTGCATATGTACATTTTGAAGAGGCGAATCTCTTAGAGGAACTGAAGGTTAATTTCACCCGTTTGAATTCTGGGAGGAGTGACCTCAGACATCTTTTGCTAATTCAGGTACAGACACCAACTGTCCTCAAATGCTAATTAAAAGATTCCTTAACTCCGATGAAGACAGAAAGTGAAGCATTCCTCTGAATCCCTGCAAGGCTTCGTCCTGCTGCTGATGCTCAACTCTGCTCATGCTCACAAACCCAACTTCAGTCTGATCTTACGCAGCAGCTGAATAATCATTGAACTCAAGCAGAAAATGAATTAGATGCAATAATCTGAAAAGTGTGGTGTGCCCTTGTATTCATTCCCCTTCTCCCAAACATGTCGGAGAAGGCGCATTAGTCCCGAGCTGAACTTTTTGGCCAAAACTTGATGTGTGGCACAAAACTAACACAACAATAAACAACCCACATCTGGAAGCATGGCGGTGGTAGTGTCATGCTGTGGGGATGACTCTTCTGAAGCAAAACATAATGAAAGTAAAAGCAAACTGGATGTATAGGTAGAGCTGCAGAAGACTTCAAACTGGGGTTGGCAATGACCATAAATGAAAGAAAGAAAAAAGACTTTGTTGCAGCTGTAATTAGGAGGCAGAATGCAAACACACACAAATGAGTTGCAAACTACTTGGAAGTGTTCTTTCTAGCTCATAAACTCTCAATATGAAAGGGTGCAGCTGTAACGGTTTCCGTCTTGCCATTTGTCAGTGTGGCTCGTCAACAAGCTGAGATTGTTGAGCCAAAAAAAACGATCCGACCCAAAGAGCTGAAGATGAGGAGGGGCGGGGTACCTGTGAGGTCCATGGTGATTGGTTCAGGAGCGTCGTCACACAGCAGGACGAGTCTGGTCACTCTGACGTTGGGTTCGGTCAGGTCTGGCAGAAAGAAAAAGGTTTAAGGGAGAAAACAGTTACACTTCAAGATGATGGCACAAGGGGAAACGGTGCTTTAGTTTTAAATTAACCAACAACAGCTTGAAAGGCGTTCTTCAAACAGCAGCCACTGTTTAAATCAGTTTGTTTACAACATGGGTAGTGTTTGTACAAAGACTGAAAAAAGCCTAGATTTACAGCTCGACATCTCCTCTCCTTGTTTTTTTCATTCTCTGATTTACAGTGATGTTTCTGAAATGGACATGTTAAAATGTCATACCCAAATCTAATTCGTTTTCATTAATCTTGGTGTCAAAATAAAGCTAACACTTCCACTAGGAGCATATCTATCACAGCAGCTGTTGTAGTTTCAGAGAACTACATGAATATGAATCATGAAATTATTTAGATTCCCCCCCTATATTAAGTGTATAATAAACCTGTTAGAAATATCATAAGAAAAGCTATAAACTTCTGTAAACCAAAGATCCACATTTCCTGTGCACAGATTGAAGCATCTGAGATTCATCCTCTAAAGCCAATTTTGCAGAGGTTTTAGTAAAAAACATTTTTGCCTTTGGCAGAGGTTGGCAACTTACTAAACTTATTTTTACATGTGTAAAATTGCTTGTTTTTCATTTCTATTTATCATCTAATTATATTAAAACAATGAGAAATTTTCATATTTGACTCCAATTATAGTGAAAGTATTGGAAATCCAGTGTAAAAAAATATAGAAGAATTTAAACAAGTTTATTCACATTTTACTGGAAAAAAATCACATTAAAATCACAGAAATGTGAAAGAAAAATTGGGCACTACTAGAGCTCCATACAATGTCTTTTAGATGGAGGTTCCTTGTCGCTGACTTCTGTCCCTTCCGTACTTCCGTAGCCCTTTTGGCACAAACTCAAAATACTTCCTGCTCAGCTAAAATGCTTTTTTTTTTAAATCAGCTTTTATCCAAAAATCGGATGATTCTATAGAAACCAAAATGTGTCTGCGCCTGATTGAGTGGAGGTCCAAAAGTTCAAATGTGCCCCCATTTTCTGGGGAGAGGATGCTCAGCTCGACTCCTCCGCTCATCTTTGTCTGTCCTGATTCACAGTAACGCTGACTGAATGCAGAGCCGGGCAGAAGAGGTCGTTTAGTGTTGCAGCCATTAAGGATCCACTATCGCAGCCTGGCTCCCGGGTTAGACATGCTGAGGCGAGCAAGTCTGTTGTTGCATTTGTGTGTGCGTGTGCGTTATGCCCAGAGCAATTACCCTGTAGTGGGGGAATATTTTTTTTTAATGAACTCTGCAGTAGAGCCGGACACCAGGAACGCAAAGAGGCTCACTAACCTGGACTCATCGCCTCTGGCCCCAGCAGGGTCTGCTTGTACTTCACCAGACTTTCATCATCTTTGTCCATTTCCTGGATCTCCTGCAGCGACTTCTGAGCTGGGGGATTGTAGTTCAGGTTCCTGTCCTCATCTTCCTCCTCGATGGCCAGATTGCTCTTGTCAGCCAGAAGACCTTTTGAAGATGACAGGAGGATCAATTGTTTTACATCACAGGTTGTATATTTTAACAGTTGACTTATCGTTATCAATGAATCCGCATGCGCTTCCATTTTGTAATTTTTTTTGATACTTAAAAAAAAAAAGGTAGAACAGAAACTCTAGAAGTAAATAAATGTTTTGTCTCAGCTGCAGAGCTTGAACAGCAGAAGCAAACATTATTGGCTCCCTGCTGGTTTGGTGTTTGGTGAGAAACTCAATATAAGACGTTGCCAAATGTCACGACATAGTTGAGGAAAACCGCCATAGTTTAAAGTTTGCAACGAGAATTGTCAGAATTTAAAACCAATTTGTTGACAGCATTTGACAAAAACTGATTTGGGGTTATTTCTGTACATTATTGATTGAAAAAATTAGTTATAAGGTGTCTTTCATTTCATTTTATTTGTAATAATAGTGTGATCCAGAGGACAATCTTTACAGCAAGTGAGTGCCCAAAGAATCTGTTCATCGAGAACCAAGTTGAACATTATGTCATAATCTGCCCTCAATTCTCAGGTCCTCAAAATACAAACAAATGTAATAATAGAAACCCTGCTGCATTTCAGCGGCTCGGTATTCTGGAAGACATCTCGGAATCTGCACAATGCATTGCTTGACGCGAGCTAATTCCAGCCACACTGGATTGATTTCATCTGGGAATCTGATCCAGTGCTCATAACCACAGACATCCGATCATGTGCTCTGCGAGTCACTATTGTAATTCGACGTTTGGCTCCGACCTGCACCGTTTGGGCCCGAGCAGGTCGGAGAAATGTGATCTGACAGCAGAACTCACTATAACGTGCCCGGTAAATTCTGTTGTTCTGGTAGAACTGATTTGTTTTTGACCAGAACGGTGTGATGTCAGCTCAAAGTGAGAACATTATTGGAGATTCCAGCTGCATGTGCAGAAGCTAATTATCTGGAGAACATGAGACACTCTCTGTGTTTTACTGCACTCCAACAGCCCTGTTTAACATCCCCCGGTTCTGTTTTGCAGCTCATAATGAGGTGACACTGTGTGAATCACCCCACAGTTGTGTAGCGAGGTAATTTGATGAGTTGGAAGAGGACAAAGAAAAAAAAAGAAAATGTTTCGTGAACTCTTCTGTGCTTTACAGCACCTAAACCATCCAGTCACAGATGCCTGCATTCACAGACACAGACTGGAACAACGACAAACAGCGATGGCCATTCTTCCTGTCTCTATTAGCGATCCAGCTATGCTGGCCCTGAAGGGAAAAGCACTGCAACGAGTCTCTAAACCCAACTACACATTCAAAAACACAACATTAAGCACAATCTCTCCAAAGTAAGAAAGCACAACTCAAGGCCACATGATCTGGAAACATCAGATTCCATCGTAATCCACTTATTGTTCATCCAGAAAAAACCCCCCAAAACAAACAAACAACAAAAAAAAAACAACAGATGCAGACAACAGGTGTCACAAACACACAGAGACACAAAAACCCACCTTCCAAATTGGATATGGGAAGCACATGACTTCATAAATGATTCACTGAGCCTGTATTTACATATCAAACTCTGCAGTCCTCCCTCGCTTCAGCGTGCAAACGCACACATTTACACACACTGCCTGCTTCAAACCAGTAAGTGTGTGTGTGCGTGTGTGTGTGTTTTCCCATTCTTTGAACTCAAGGCTTCTGACCTAAAAATGAGCAGAATCTGTCACTTCTCGTTTTGAAAGGCAGAGTCTCTCTTTGAGTGCTTTGATACGGATTGTTAAAAAATAAAGAAAAAACATAAAGGATGCACGTCGCAGGTCATTTTTGAAATTTTTTGCAAAATGCAGATGAAGTTTTTCACCTGGACTCAGAACAAAGAAACAATTTCAACCCCAGTCAGAGATTTGATGATACTCTCAATAACTTACCAATATGAGAATAATTTGCCTAAACCTATCTGATTACTTCTTTAACTTCCCAGTCCATCGACTGCATCACTCAGCAGTCAATCAAGTCAGCAGTTTCTATGATAATGGACACAGTAATGCCTCGAAGCACATGGGAAATATCATATTCACAAATCAAGACATTGATACTCCTAAAACGAGTGCTGTGCCCCCGAATGTGATTACCTCCACCTTATTATTTCCTCTAGCTCCAATCAAAGTGAAAAGAATAAATTAGTGATCACGTTTATCCGTCTTCCCAGTTCCACATAAGCGAATGTCATCTCCCACACGTTGTACAGAAGGTGGATGCGATTTTAGCACCACTTCTGTGCTAGACTTGGCAAAACTTATCTACGTGTTGGTATTTACAGCTAAACCAATACATGCAGGGACAAAAATCAACACAGCAATCTGTTCTGCTTCAGGGGACGTCGCAGAGAGGAGGAAGCTCTGCTCACTTGAGAACAGAAGATTTCACACAAACGCAGGAACTCTCAAGCGAGTCCTGATTAGAAGTCAAAGATAAAACGTGGGCATCCAGGCTGGGAATGAATTATTTAAGCCGACTTCTCCGTCTCTGTCCTCCGTAGAGTGGCAGGTCATTATTAATAATAACGCCAGATAAGCAACCCTTGTTTGACTGAACACCAACATGTGAAGCTACAGTAACTCAACCGATGCGTAATGAAGGCATGGCTTTTTTATTTAAAGTGGTCTTTTGAAAGGGAACGTTTTATATTTGCCAGTTATTTGAGCTGAAAAAAAGCCAGAACTCCCCCACTTTTCTAACACGATCATCCCAGCTAAAATCTCAGCTGCCTCCGACTCAAGTAAGTCATTTTATTGTTGACTTCTTTTGAGTCTTTATTGTTTTGTTTTTTTTAAATATTAAATACCAGCTGCATTATAACTGAGAATGTTGTTCCCACAACAATCAAACACACAGTAATCAAAAGGGAACCGCATATCAAGAATTTCCCATTTTACACAGAAAAGGAGCATTTCAGGAAATATCTTTTTTGTGTGCTGCTGTTTTAAATGAGAGAGGAGCTAATCAGTAGGTAACATTATGAACTTTCACTATGCTCAGCATCAAAAGCATGGCAGTCATGTTGGGTACAAAACTTAAGATTTTCCCTAAAAAATAATCAAACCAAGAGGCTGGAGACATTGATAAAACAGCAGAGGACTGAGTGAAGAGCCCTGAGGTACTCCACTTAGGCAAACGTGACACTGATGCTCTGTGTGTGATGGGATCAATAAGACGCAAACCACAAGATGAACGTACAAACTGTTTACACTGTTGCTGTCACCTAGGTTTTAGTGACATGGACACCGGATTATTTCTACTTTAGATTTTAGGATATCTGCTTTATTCAAGTTGGAAGTTAAATCCAAAATCTGTCGCCAGGCAGGAGGATTTCATCAAAACATTTCATCATGTCGATTAAGCAGCTTAAACTTCAACTACGTTTCAAATAAAAAGGCCTTCTATCAGCTAATAACATTTTTCTCCACATTGCTTTAGATATTTGTCACCACAGATCATTTATTTTCTGTTCTTCAGCGCTGTTGTCGTCACAAAATGTGGCTTCCGCTTCATGATTTGCTCAAATCCTGCTATAGACATTTCTGCCACTTCTGACTCTGTCGCTCTTGTGGGGAAGACAGGAAAAAATAAATAAAAATAAAATATGCCAGTGGATCTCGCTTTATTCTCTGTCCCTTCCTCCAGTCCTACGCTACAGTAAAGGTGCAACATGCATTTGTTTGCATTTCACATGTTTGATTATTGCCTCTTTTTTTTTTTATCACTTTCTGCTTTCTCTCTCTTCTTCTTTCGTTGCCTGGCAACAGCTCAAAGCCAGGACGAGTCCCATTTCTTTCCGGTTTTGTCTGCAGGGGGTTTCAGGAACAAGCCTCTGCTTGTCAGCTTACAGTTTCCATCCGGAACCGAGGAGAGGCCAAATGGATCTTGGCGCATTTTTTTCTCCCCTCCTTCATGTCGGGACTCTGTGGGAGTCTGCATGTGTGTCTCTGACGTACTGGGTTATAGTCCTGGGAGTCTCGCTGTCGCCGCTCTGCTCTAATACTTTAACTAGACCTCCGAGACACAGAAAAGGACACACAGTGGAATATAAAGAGGAGGCTTTTAAGGTCTCTGCAAAGCCATTATCACAATTTACAATGAAAGAATCGGCAGTGAGGGAACACTGCCGGCACTGCGGGAGAATACGAACGCTTTGCAGCCGGAACCACCTTGTGATTGATGCGCAACCTGCAGCACATCTGAGCAAATGATCAACCTGGTACCACCGCACTGCTGAACATAAAAAGATGACGTTTTCACTATATTTATACACAGCGGAGAGTTAAGGACACATTTAGCTGAATGCTGTTTTGAAATAAATTGTGACCCTTAAAAAGGCTAATGCAGGAAATAAATTCTGTTTTGAATGCATGTGCGTGTGTTTTTTTTTTATTATTGAGCAGTTTTATTTGGATGCAAATACAAAGCAAACGAGTAAAAATATTTGGTTCTTGAAAGTTAATTTGCTCCATAAGCACCGTGTGATACTTTTGCAGGCATGAAATCATGTTTCTGAAGCAGATAGATCTGTTCATACAGAAGCACTTATTGAGCATTATGTGTTTTTATAGATGTAGAGGCTTCAGGAACATCAGAATTGGATCAAAAAATTATGATTTTTACCACCCTTTTCAACTCCAATCACCAAAATTCACCATGAGTCAATTGCAATGTAAAAAAAAAATTCAAATTTGAGAAATATACTGTATTTAGTGTAAGCTGTAAAGTTTCTTTCAGAGATGTACAATGTATGGCGTGATCGTTATTTTGGGGAGAAAAAAAACAAATAAATTAAAATGTAAGCATGCTTTCAGACATGATAATATAAAACTATGCAGTGAAATTTTACACCTCAAGAAAGACAGTGAAGCAAAAATGCTTTTATAGCCTCGTTTTTGCATCTTGTTTTATAGCTTGTCAAAACAAGGGCTAATGGTGAGAAGCCAGTGTTTGCTTTTTATCAGCCAATTCAGCGCTGATAAAATAGTAAAGAAGGCAAATTTTGCAAAGGAAAATATTTAGTGTTTGAAATATTTGCAATCTGTTGGTGGGAGAGTAAAGGCCCATTCAGAAAGATCATTGGTTCCTGCAGTGATCCAATCTGTTCAATGGATTAAACTGCAAATATATATGGACACATTTTACTGTTTTTACTGCAATAATATATATACATGAAAAATCAATACCTATCAAAAATTGTATTTTTTGTAAGTGAGATGTGCTAACATGTCAAAACAGAGACAAAACCTTTAAATCAATTTGAACCTGCTGGGCACCCATAGATTTGTAGTCTCAGTGTTTTCCAGTCACTATGGACTTTCCAAAGTTTCCAAACGTAGTTATTATCCACTTAGAATCTCGTCAGAATAATAAAAAGTCATAAAAAGCTTCTAAGTATTTCATTAAAACCGTAGAAGCGCTGACATAAAGTGTGGAGGGTAGATTCAAAGAACTTCTTCCCGCTTCATTGCATTGAAATGCTGCTTTCTCTTTGGATTCTTTTCCCCAAGTTCCCAGTCAGAGGAACAAGAACGTTCCCTGGAGTCGGAAACCACAGAGAAACTCAGTCTGGACACATGACAAATATGTGTAAATATTTGGGCGACTCCTGACGAACAAGTATTTGGTAGGTTTTATTTTATTTTATTTTAGTTCCACAGCTGCTGCATCTCCTGACTGGAGCAGCTCAATAATTCATAGCAAGATGGGATGGTGGTTCTTAATATAAAAAAAAGAAGAAGAAATCATTTACGGAAACAACCGTCAGATACAAAAGCGGGGGGGTTTTGTCAACTTTGCGTGCGGTTTGCGGAACGGTGAAATAACTGAGCTACAACACCATGTCCCTCAAATCCAGAGTGTAATGCTTGTTAAGAAACAAATCCTGAATTTAATGCTGCTCTTCACTCAGCCCGCTTTGATTTGAAGACGATGTCAGTCTCCTGCAATTCATGTTGGTGCAGCCGAGCCCAGCTTGTCCTCATGAGACAGCAGGTTGTCTAATTGACTGACTTGATCCTCTCAGTCCACTGTTGTCTGTCAAATGTCCAACGCTTCCCTCTTTCTTCCCCTCATTTTATGACCAGTTATTCTTTTTGTTGTTGTTACCAAACCTTTCTGGAGCTCTGCCCCCTCATTCTCTTCTGGCTTCATCATTTCGCCTCCTACTCGTGTTTAAATCAAAAATATAATCTTACCAGTGTTTAAGTTAAATGCTGATGGTAAGATTGTGGAGATGTACGTTTTATCTTCTGTGAGAGGAAGTTGAAACAGCAACCAAACATTAGATTTTTTTCCCCCCATGTCATTGGTGATCAATAGATGAATAGATCTCCACTATTCCTCAATTGACTTGACAACGTTTGTACATTCGACTGTAAGTATGTCACGGTGGAATATCTTTGCACCAGAATGACTGGATTTCTAAAGTCCTGCTTTACTTGTGGAAAAAAATCTGAAGTGAAATGTGTGAAACGCAAGTCACTGACGATGCGCCCCCGTTTCTTATCATCAATGTGCAACAGGACGGATGTCATAGAAATGTCCAGAGTTGGTTTCTTCTGTCGTGACAATTTAAATTGTCAACAGAGACCCATTGTAGCCTCTTCAAGCATTTGGCATGCTGATGTGAGTCCTCACCAGGGGGCAGATACAGAGGGTGTGCATGGCGTGATATGAGATAAAAACACAGTTGGCTCATTGCTGCAATGTTTGTATGTTAAGTTTTGTAGCAATGGCATCACTAAGTTGTGATTTTCAACAGTAATAGGCGTAGAAAACGGGTCAACTTTACCTGCACAGTCTATAGATGGTTTTTAGTTGATAAAAGAAGATAAGGTAAGAAGCATTCATTTTAAATTGAGTTATTTTTTTGTAGATATTATACCATAGGCAATGAAGCAGCCCCCAGCATTATGCTGCTACCACCATGCTTGGCACTCAAGCACCTAACAGTTTATGACCGGGTTGAGCTTCGGTAACAGTTTCATCGTTCATGAAAGCCGATTTCCACATCTGACACAAAGTGGCAGCTTGGGTCAAATTCAGTGTTCCAATATGATATTGATGCCAATCATGTACTAAACATTAAAAGAACTAAGTGATGCACCTTTCCAATAAATAGAGGTTTATGCACCAAATGTTTAATGTGATGATAAATTAATGTCATGGTGAGTGCATGCAGGCTTTAATTGGGCATTCTCAAGCTGTATTCTGCCCCGAAAAAACCAGATGGCGCTGCAAACATCGCCCTCTCCTTCCATTGCCAAGTCAACCGGACAACCCTCACCTCGCCCGCCCCCCCGCTGTGATCACACAAAAGGCAGGTGGAGAAAGAGAAAAGGAAATTTTAAATCTACCTCGGTACAAGTTGCAACTTCATCCTTCATGAGATCGGTCTTCCAATTCATCCTCGCTCACACTAATCTCCCCTGCTTGAAGGATCTCTCTTCAGATTACCTCAGCTGGGTTTGGGATCGCCCTGCCCACTTTTTATGTCTCTCTCTCTTTCTCATGTCTTTAAAGGAGCAAAAGTCACAGTTTTTCACGCTACATGTAGCGGGGAAACCCCAGCATTATTTCTCCATCTGCTACTCTCAGGATCTGCTGCAGTATATCACACAAACACACACCTGGACACACACACGCAGCTGCCCTATACTGAGTGCAGACACAGAAGGAGGGATCACCGCTAGATGTGAGAGCAGATGTTGGTGACATCATTTGACTACTGCACATGCTGCATCAGCATGCTTACACACACATTTTTTTTTTCTTTTTGGCGTTGTTACATTCTAACATGCAAAATTTCAAATAGAAGAAAATGAGAGGAGAAAAAAAGTGAATAGAAAAAGAGGCAATTTTGGCAAACATTTAGCTGTCCACGCCCTTAAGATGATCTTATTGGAAGCAAAAAGAACAAAACTTGAATTTGAGTGTCTTATTCCATCGCCTCACCTCTGTAGCACATGGTCAACCAGAGCAGCTCCAGCACCTGACCCCCCAGCTCACACACGTCCAGACCCAGCATGGCTCCCTGCCGCTGCGCTCTGCTGAGGACCGGAGAGGCGACGGAAACCTCCACAGGTAGCAGCAAAGCAGGAGAGAAAAGGTCGGAGAAATCCGAGGAAGTCTCAGCAACAGGGTCAGACCAGCATCTCCTCTGCCGAGGGAGCACCAAGCAAAACCAAAAATTATACGTGCGTGTGCTAGTAGTTGGAGAGGGTGGAGGCAGAAAGCGAAAGGACACACACACAAAAAAACTGTGTGGGAAACAGTGGCGGTGGAGCAGTGAGGGGATCCTTGGGTGTGGGTGTGGATGTGTGAGTTGGAGAGAGTGAGGAGGGAGGGATGGAGGGATGGAGGGATGGAGGGAGGGAGAAGGCAGCAGAATCAGCTGGCTCTCCCTGCTGCTTTATCTGAAGTTCAGTAGGTGGAGAAATAAGAGACACTTCAACACAATCAGGTGTCATTTTATGTTTATTTGAACATTTTTTTCTTGGGAGCAAAGACAGGAAGGCAGATGCTGGCTTTGCGGGCAGAGATGTTTGCAGCTGTAGTGTGTGTGTGTGTGTGTGTGTGTGTGTGTGTGTGTGTGCTGCACTCAGACGCCGGCTATCAATTCGCAGACAAGCAGCAACCCCTCCCCTCCTGCATCCCTCCCTCCGCTCCCTGTGTCATCAGCCCAGCAACTGCAATGAGCTCATCCTTTACCCCCTCCTCCCTCTCTCTCTCTCTGTCCACTCCCTAGTTCACTCCTCGTTTTGCTTCCCTTCTTTCTCCACTTCACTCCAAGTCATGCCTTTGTGCACATCTGTTTCTTTTCACTGCTTCTCTTATGCCATCCACTCTCTCCTCTCTTACATCCATCACTGCCCCCTCATCTCTGCATCTCCATATTTCCTCCTCTGTCTCCCTCGACCACACCCTGACAACATCTATGTCTGTCTCACATTGATTTCTATCCCTTCCCCCCCCCCAACTTTGAACATCACATTTCTCTCTGACTTTTTTTCCCGCTCCCCTCCCGCCCCTGTCGGAGCGTCAAGAGGCTGCGGTGCTGCTGAATGCACAATGGGGGTCGCTCTCCTGCCCCCCCCAACCCCGTTGACACCCAGACACGCTCCTTTTCACACACGTCTGCACACACACGCTTCATTAATTCATCATTCAGAGGTTATCCAGCTGTCATGTAGGATGCCAATGGAGGTAAATTCACAGTCTCACTTAGGCTCTGGCAAACAGCAGTCAGACGCCTTAAAACTCCCCCCTCCTCGTCACTCTGCACAACCACAAACTTTGACGTTGTTTTCGGAGGGATTTTATGTGACTGCATAAAATTTTTTTTTTTTTTAAATAAAAAATTATGTGGAAGTGTGATGTTTTGTTGCAGGTGCAACTCTTGGCTGAGATTTCTTCTTTGTGCAAGTTCAGTGAGACTGGATGTTATAGTCCTAAACCCTCACAGTTCTGCCTGTGTGTTTGGGGTTAAAGGTCAAGCTCCGCCTCAGCTTTGATGAGGAATTCAACAAAGATCTGCTCAAAAGTTCAAAATGTTCATCGTTTTATAAACCCCATGACCTGGGAGGTGGAAACTTTTCCACACAGGCTTGAGGAAAAGTTTGTGAAGATGTTGCAGATCTTTGAACTGCTAAGTGGCTGAAGGTTTTTAATTATTTATTGGAGAAAAAGAGCCTTAAATTATGACCAGTATCAGTAAATATAAGATAGGGGCTTTTCTTTCTCATCTGAAAACTCCCTGTGTGAACATAAGATTACTTTAGTTATTCAAATTTTAATTTGATTTTGTCTCTGACAAAAGCAAGTTATTATTCTAATGAGCAGATTAGTTTTGTTTAATTTAATTCTATTAATTGATATCACGGGTCCTAAAAGAGCTCGATGGAGAGGACGGGGACGCCGCAAGTGCTCTTCTTCCTGCTTGTTGAGTAAAAGCCACAAGTGCCTGAAAAACTTGGAACAGAAGATGGATGGATGGATGAAAAAGTCAAAATAACAAAAATTTACCCCCATTGGATTGTCTAGAGCTGCAAAATACCCAAAGCTAATTACAATATTTTCTTCCATATTTTTCCAAAACTTTGACCGTTTGGGAAAAAAAAAATCTTGTAGATGCACAAAGAATCAGGGAGCAGCATAATACTTGCACCACTGCAGAAGGAACTTTCACTACAGTCACAAACAGTCATTAATATTAAAGTGATTTCTTCAGAAACACTAAAATAGAAACACACTTATGGTAATTACTGTCTGTGTAAATGGGTTGCCGCGAGACCAGAACCAATAACTGGATCGTAAATGTAAAACCTACTTTGAGCATAAGCTGCTTTTTATGTGTGAATATATATAAATATATATATATATATATGCATGTATAATTCTTTAGGGAATTTAAAGCTCTCCTTTTCTACTTCCTGTTGCAGAATATGGTAGAAAATGTGCAAATGTCTTCAACCAGTTAAAATCTTTACTGTTCAGATCAGCAACACACCAGACCAGATGTGAAATCCCTTCCTCTCTTTGTTCGACTGGGGGAATTTCTCTCAATAAGATTCATCTATTCAGATGTTGTCACCACTGCAGGCTCCTCTCCTCAGTGCATCGCCATGGTAACTCCGTCGCCTGAGACGTTGCCGCTACCTGTCATTTCCCAAAGCGAGTTGCTGTCTGATGCCGGAGTCAAAATGTTCTCAAACGAGGCTGGACGACGCGGCACACAGCTGATTCAGCTTCCTGCCGGCTCGTTTCCTCCTGCACTCGGCAGAAACTTTCAGGCTGGACTGGTCAGGATGAAGGTGGCAGGAACAAACCACTCCACCGCTGGGTGGACACAAAAAAAACAAAACCAATATGCATTGTTTTTTTTTTCCAGAGGTAGAGAATTTCATTGTCAAACTGGACAAAAACCTTCATTTGTCTTATGCAGATTTGCATTCGGATGAAACATTTTTGTGCCGTGTCATGTCGCACCTCACCACTACATAAAACTGTGGTTTTGAATCTAGACAATCTCAGCCAGCCTGAGTTAACACGTCCCCATTTCCACATAGCGATCATCATCCTCCTCCGCTCGATTCCCTGGCGAGCGAAAACGCAGCCGATGCTGTAAAGTGATTACATTCACGTTGCATTATGAAAACGTAGATCAGCCGACCCGGTGGGCCCCGAAGGGGCTTATTGAGATCTATAAAACATGTGCTTGAACATGCCAGCTGCAGATGGTGCTCTAAATAGTGCCTCAGTGTAAAGGCCCCCCAGGGTTCATCATTCATAACCACATTTCTCTTTAAAACGGTGAAACTCAGACGAAACCCTCGGCTGGATATTTAATGGACCGCTGTCTTCATAAGACAGTATAGAGCAACAGCTTTGAAATTGTCTTAAAACATCAAATGTGCTGGTTATTAGTGTGGCGAGTCAAACCCGTTTAAAGCCAGCCTTAGTTTCAACCATATAGATATTGCTGTGCAAAAAAGGAAACTTGCAGAATTTTGTTCCCTCCTTGGTTCTGGAAAATCCAAAAAGAAGCAGCTGTTTGATCAAACAGCAGCTAAAAGAAATGTAAGTAAACAGAGGAAATTCAGGCCTCCTGCATGATGACCTCTACGTTAGTGAGGTCATGATGCAGGTTTAACCTGCATTGATTTGGTGTGGTGTATTTCCATTAGGCTCACGTGAGCTACGGTCATTGCTTTTCATTTACAGAGTGAGGAAATGCATTTCTTTGTTTATGTGGAAAGCACGACCCGACTCTTCGACGAGTCAAAGGCTCCACCCAAGAAAAGCATCAAACGTTTCAATCTTCACCAGAAAATCCTGCAAGAGGGTGGCCAGCAAAACCTTGAACCCAGTAAACTTCGCTGATGTAAGAGGGCAATGATTCAAATTAGGCTTAATAAAAAAAAATGCTAAAACAAAGTCTGGACTTGAGTCTAATTCAGACCCTGCAGTATGTACATAAATATAACTCATGCATGAAATCCCTCCAATGTGGTTGAATTAAATGGTTTCTGTAAAGAATATTGGGTCAAAATCCATCAGTAGGGGTTGATCCCAGTTAGGCATTTTATTGTATTAATTCATTCATTCATGTTTGGTGAAAATTTTAATATAAACAAGCTGTTTGATGTAGTAGCTCAACCATCTAAATTTTGGAATCTCACCTGCTTTAAAGCACAATATGATATTATTAAGTTTGTTATTGAGAATTACATTTAACGTTTATGGTCATGTTTTCATTTTGAAAAAAAAAAAAAAAGTCAAAAAAGATTAAATAACCTTAAGCTTCAGCAAACTATGGAAAAATCTTTAGTTGTTTCTCATAAGACATGTGGCTCTTGTGCGCCCTCTGGTGGATTGATGAGGGATTAAAATAAATCTGAACACGTAAGCAGAAATAGATGATTCTTCACAAACGCCATTAATATCTCCATTTCACTTTTCGTATTTACAAGAATGATTATCATTTATTGTCTCCAATAAAAGTATTCCAACTTTATTACCTCACAAAAGTCATTGTTTTAGTAGTTATAAAATAGAGCTCAGTAAACATTTTCATGTTCTATACATTGAAGAAAAAACAAAGTGGTTTTACAGCAAAATGCTAATACTGAAAGGAAATGCACAAACTGACATAAAAATAAAATACAATCAAACATTGAATTTTCTGGTTTTGACAATATTCTTCCAAACAACATTCACATAAAGCTTCATGATGCAGATCGTCATACTAAAATGTCTTTCACAGAAGAAAGGTGAAAGTGCAAACCTTCAGAGATGATTTAACGAAGACGAGTTTAGCTTTCGCTCTCAGTAGTAATGCAATCTGTGCATGTCAGACAGAAAAAGAGGCAATAATGGGACATAAAGGTATAAGGCCTTGGACTTTGCACGAGCCCGGAGTATTGTCTTTAAGTTAAAACAGATCTCTGACATGAATAAATAACATCGTTCGCTCAAAACACGCAATACATCACTCAGGATCTGTAATCTGAATTTAAACAAACAAACAAAAAAAAAATTTAAATAAAGGATTTCAACTCTGGGATTCAACAGCAGGAAATCCTTCAATGTTAAAGTGATGGAGTGAAAAACAAGACAGAGAGAAACCGGATTCATGATTGACCCCTTTAGCCAAACTAAATCTGAATCTAAATCAGGTTTGGTTACATTTCAGCAGAGGGGAATAGAAATAAAGCCTTTTATACAAACAGCTTCAATTTGAAGTGATCCGGTTGTTCTGGAGCTACCCGGCATAATAAAAGAAAGGATGATTTAAGTTCAGAAAATTAGGTAAAAGGAAATAAATCTAACCACAAACAAGTGAATCATCTTAAGAGTCTTAAATACAAACCACGGTCATTTTGCTGTGCTGAAGAACAACACATCCCTCAGGCGTGCAGGTAGGCTGGTGGCCTCTGAGGCTTCAGGTGTGTTCATGTCCATCAGTGTGTGTGTGTGTGCTATGTCTGAGCCAAATGGAGCTCCTCCAGTCCGTGTTTACCCATGTGATACCTGGCCAGGTCCTTCCGGGTCACCAGTCCGACCACCTGTGAAGCAATAAAAATCAAGACGTTAGATCTGAACGACTGATCTCAGCAACTGAAATGCAATTTAATGTGACAGAGAAACGTAGTGAAGACATGGTTTCCTGTGTTTAGCACAAAAGCATGAATACTACTTTTTAACATGTACATAAAGTCTTTAAAAATCTTGATTTCTCTTCTGTTCCAAAGTCATTTATTCTTTGAGTTGCTCTAAAATCCTGATAAAATGCTGATGTGAAAAGGTTCACATTAAAATAACCAACACACTTACTCTGTTGTCGTCATCCACCACCACTAGATGTCTGAGTCCGAGCGCTCTGAACAGCTTGAACACGCGAGGAAGTGACGTATCCTGCAAATGAAGGATTTCAAGTTAGGATTCATATTTCGTGCATAAAACGCACACGTAAGGGAGGTGTGTTTCTCGCCTGTGGAACGGTGTAGGGAGTTGGGTTCATGAACTCGGTGAGGTCCATCATGCACTCTCTCTCGTCCTGAGAGACGTGGATGCTCTGGATCGGGGGAAACCTGGGGTAGGCGTCCCTGAAATCCTTGAGCTGGAGCTTCCTCTGAGTGAGCCGGGAGCGGGCGAGCTCCACAAACACCTGACACAAAAGACGAATCACAGGAAATTTAAAGGACCTCTTCCGCCTTATTCTCTGCACAGCGACATGCGTCTCTGACTTTTACCTTGTGCTTGAGGAGAACGATGAGCTGAGAGCGGAGTATGAGACCGCAGAGTTTAGCCGGCTGAAAGACACAATTTGTAACTTAGAATTTAGCATCTCAGGGTTTCTGATGGTTTCAACAACTGAAAGTTAAGACTTAACATATTTCTGAATGAAATAGCAGACCTGTGACATGTCAGAAATGTACAAAAGAAACAGCCTTAACCCCCGCAAGTTGTTTTGAACAAAATGAATCAAGCAATACCTCGTCGTCACCAGAAACCTGCACGACGACGGGGAAGCCGTTGTGATTGGTGGAAGTGTTGCTGAGCGTGTCGACGATCCTTCCGACCTTCTCTATTCTGTTCAGGCAGGTGACCGGTGAGCTCATCACCTCCCTGGGTGTGAAGGGGGTGGACACAGAAAGACAAACAAATTAGGAGAAGAGCACAAAGGCTCCTCTGAGAAAAGAATGAAAAGAATATACAGTGTAAGCCAAAGCATTCGTCCATTCGGAACTGTTTTTATTCAGTCACGCCGCAACCTCAAACTTTATTGTTTATCATTTTTTGGCGACATACAAACAGAAAATGGCATAAAAGTAACAAAACGTGGAGGGAACAAAACGTGGAGGGAAAAATCGCAAAGTTTTGGCGTGAAGGAATGAAAATATTTGCAAGGCAGCGTGAATAAAAAGGAGGGAGGATGAGAAAACCTCGCATGCTTCGATGTGTAACAGATCAGTGAAGAGTCATTCATTAGCAATGTGTTAACAAGCCTTCAAGAAGTCAGACAGGACCTACCTGGCGGTGAGCCAGTGGGAGGTGGCAGGCGCCTCCCAGTGCAGGAAGGGAACGCTTCCCAGCTTGATGTGGAGGTCATATAAACCCTGAAAGTTTTGAAACACACTTGAGTAGTTTGCGGTAGCAGAAAAAGGCGCCATGAAAGCTTCCAGCTAAGAATTTGCTTTAAAAAGCACAAGCAGACAGAGAATATGACAAACATAGCACATTTCTCATTATTTTTAGTCGTGGTGTGAGAATCTCTTCCCCAATTGTTGCTGCACATGGCTGGTCAGCTGGCTAAAGGGAAAGTATTACGTCTTTCCCTTCTAGACAGAGAAATGGAGACTTTTGCATTTGTTTCTATACTGAAAAACACAGTGACTGAGGGGAAAAAACATGGAAGAGATGGAACCTGTAACTGTGTTCACAAAGTTTTTTTTTGCGTGAAAATAAATAAATGGCAAAATTGATGTGTTTAATTACAAACAACCATGGATTTTCTGTTTAAAATGCAGTCCAAATTTTACTCAGGACAATCATAATACCCCCCGCTGCCTCGCCTGGAATTAGAAAACTATTGATTTGAGCTTTTAGTCGGATGCCAGCGTGCGTCCCTTCCTTACTTCCTGGAAGTAGTCTCCGACTATCTTGGCTGTCATGAGTACAAGCATGATGGGAAGGCCGTACGTGACGTTGCCCGTGGCCTCCATCATGATGACCGTCAAGCTGAGGGTCATTCTCACGATGCCACCTGCAGGCGGCAGCGTGTTACTACATTTCAACTCATTTCATTTGTGAAGAAGGAGAACTAAACAAAACGCTCGAGTCTCTCACCCAACTGAGCAGCAGCTCCAATCAGGGCGTATTTACCAGGGTCAGCCCACATCTGAAAAGACACAAACAAAAAACAAGGAAGCAAGTCAAGCCTCCTCCTCTAGTGACTCAGCAGCATCTGTGGTAAAGATGTGTAAAATAAACATATTTTATTTATAGAATAGTGTTTCCCCCCCTCACTTATTCAACCTTTGATACAAGCAGAGGCCATCAAAAAGTCCCAGTAAAACTTAGCAAACTATACGTTTGTGATAGTAGGAAAGATTAATGGTTTTTGCACATCTTCAGAGGGGGCAATAAATATGGCTGCCAATAGAAAAGCTGTGCTTTAACTGTTCCAGCAGACAAAGAGGAGGTGTGTTGAGCACTAACTGAGGCGGTGGACGTAGTGGAGGCCAGCAGTATTCCACACAGCCTCCCCCAGGCCGCTCCGATCAGGAGAGATGGGATGAACACCCCGGCAGACACCGCCAAGCCGTAGGTCCAACACGCCAGGAAGAAGTAGGTCACAGTGAAGAAACCCAGCGTCAGAGAGTTGTAGGTTCCTTCAAAGCCAAGAAACCAGGAGGCAAAGCTTTGAAATAGCACAAAAACAATCCAGATAGAAGGAACAGTTGTTTTATATGATGATTCATAAAGTCTCATGGGAATTTTGATCAGTTTTTCTGACTTGGACCACTTGGATAGAAAACACCGTTTTCATGCTGCATCATTTATATACTGCATGGTTCAACAAATATTTAAGGCTTGACGTTTTTATCATTATTATTCACACCACTGCATTATTCAACATTCACAGAGAGGAGTCAAAATAATTTAAGACAACTCAATGAAACATCACAAAACTTAAATTTAATTGCTACAAAAGGGAAGAAAAAAAACACATTGACTCAAATTATAGACATGAAAATCAATTCAACTTTAACGTCAGTGAATCTAACTGAAGGTTTTGCTCTGCAGAGGATCCACAGCGTCTCAATGCAACTGATAACATTGAATTTTTATCAAGAGTTTATGTGACCAACAAAAGTAGTGGATGATTTTTAAGGATAAAAAAAATTATGCAAGGTAAATATATATACGTATATATGTATATATATATTTTTATATATAAAAATCTGAAAAGTGTGGCATGCATTTGTACGTAGCCCCTTTACCCAGGAGCAAACATCTCATGGAGAACTGTTCGATTGATGGAAGAACTGTAAACCCTAACACACAATTGGCCGCCTGCGTAAAAAAAGCTAGACGAGCCAGGAGAGTGATAACCAGAGAAGCAGCCAAGAGCCACATGCTAACTCTGGAGGAGCTGCACAGATCCGCAGCTCAAGTGGAAGAACCTGATCTGTATGCACACCCCACATACCTGCCCCTTATGGTAGACGCACATACCAGCAGTCTGCTGAACGCTGTGTAATCATATATAGATTAGACTTCACCTCAACAACAACTAACGTAAAAGCTAAAAGAGAAACCATGTTACAGTACTGCAGTTACTGCAGCGAGCTGGTGCGTTTTTTACCTGTTGGATTGTGGAAGAGACTCCGCACGCTTCTCTCAGGAGTGTTGAAGAAGGCTGTGGCCATGGAGTTATATTCCCCATCTGCACAGAACAACTGGACAAGAAAATGAAGGAATTGAAGTAGAAAAAAATTTATCGGGAAAACATTTAAAATAAATAGGGAAATGAGGGGAGGAAACGGCTTTAAATCTCCACATTTATAAATCGCTGAGACATCTACCACATCAAACAGTTAATTTGATGTGAGAAAAACTCTTTACTCTTCAGTTCCTTCTCCAACGTTGCTCTTGTAACAACACCGCCGATGAAGTTTAATGAAATGAAACTGGCAAAAAGGGAAACCGCAGAGATTCACTATGACAGGAGCAAATCTCATCTTAACCGACGTCAGACGGTGCAGAAATGAATGTTCTTAAATCTTCAGGAAGCTGAAGCAGGGTTGTGTGTGTGTGTGTGTGTGTGTGTGTGTGTGTGTGTGTGTGTACCTGCAGTGGGTACTCCTCGCTGTGGTCTGGACCCAGAGGCTGACAGTCGGTGGAGAAGTAGATCATGATGAAAGCCACCGTCGCGGTCACTGCGGCGACCAGCATGGCCTCCATCACTTGCAAACATGGCCGATGGACGTACCTGACAGAGACGCAGAAATCAAAACGTAAATCGGGCTTCTAGAAATGTTCCCACACCAGTTTGGACTTTCCCGGGTCAGGAGGAGCTGACAGGAGAAACAAAAGCTGGGCTGCAGTTTGACTGGAGGCGATCTGGCAGAGCATCCACTGGAATGTCAATTAGATACAAACTCACTTCCTTACAGTCACTGTGTCAGAGAGGAGAGGCTATTTTTAGAAACAGGTTAACCCAGTCAGGTTAAAAAATATATATATAATCAATCACTCATTACAGGAACAACACAGAACAAAGACACTATTGACAATTGATAAATTATATTTGAATTTCTGCTTCATTGAGCAACAGTGAACTGAATATCACTTCTCCAACTTTATTTGAGAGTAAAATGGAAACATTATATTCTTTTTGCAACAGAGGACATTGCATTTGAACAATTACTGACAACTAAGGGTTATTTCTACAACATTTTGTGCTCCACCAGATTCCCTTGGACACTGAATAAATGTTTTAAAGTTATGATAGAAATATCACATTTTCTTTCCCATTTTTTCTTGCATAGATCAAATTTTCTGAAAAGTCTGCCTAATTGTGCTTATGTTTTTATTAAACGGAAAACTGTTGCACCCACAAATAGATAATATCAGGGGACTGAGAAGTCCAAAATAGTCAGAACTTGCGATTATTTTTCTCAATTTGGTAGATGCACAGATTTCAAAGTCCAGTGAGTCGTCCATTATTTTCGTCTCAGTTTGAAGGCTTTATGCTGACATACACCATTTTATAAATTGAACAGTTCAGTTGTAGTTTTTTAAATGACTTAACCACATTTCCACTTCCTTATCTTCAAAGACTAACAGTAATCATTCGAGGCCCATCACAGTCCAAGCAGCTCCACACCATGTGAATACTGTATCCTGTGATAAATTACTGTGTTGACGCATTTAGATTTAAAATGTCCAAAATGTTAAAAATTAGCCACTGATGTTGAACTGGTTTACTCAGGCAGCTGGGTTTTATGAAACAGACACAAACCCCCTTAGTGTCATTTAAATATATAAACCATAATCGACATGAAGACAAAAAAATGTATATTTACATTATATAGATGCTATGGAAGGTTTTTTTGTGGATTAAAACTAAGATCTGCATCAATTTAATGAATTCATTGTCCTTTTTTATGTTTGTTAAATAACTGGTTTTCACTAAAACCCCCAATTCCACAAAAAAATCACAAAGGCAAAAGTACAGAAAATCAGCCTCTGCCATCATTTTCACAATCAATTCATTTGCAATTATTTAAATCCTTCTAAGCTGATAAATCCTTCAGCTTGTTAAACCGTCCAGTTTTGGACCAGGAAAGAGTTTTACTGGGAGCTTGTAGTCGCTTGAACACTTTATTTGTGACTCGCTTCAGTCACAAGATGTTGTTGATATTCTGAGCAGCTCTTCTAAGTCCTCTATTCAAAACGTCCTCGTCTTTAACCCACGCCCTTCTTTTTAAAACAATGCAACCGAACCTCCCAGCATGCACGCGTTATCCCGATTGATGCTGCGATCCATACCTGATCCTGAAGATGGTCAGCCAGTAGTTGAGAAAGTTAAAGAAAGCTCCCAAACCTCCACCTGGACGACAAAGGAGCAAAAGGTTTAACTGGGTTTGTTATTTTAAAATCTAAGACGAAACCGATAGATTTAGAGTTGTCACTATTCTGGTTGATTTTCATGCAACAGTAATATAAGCAAAAGTAATTTTCCCTTAGTTCGTTTTAATACAACCCCATATCATCACACTTCCACCTCCTTGCTCCACTATTCAGAATATTAATTACCTCTTGTCACAAACACATTTCTTTTAATGCAAATTACTAAAAAAGTTTTCAAATCAATCCAGCTGATTATTGATCAAAATGTCTTTATGCCGATTTTCTGACAAGCATTGGACTCAACATTTAAATCAGTCGATCACCAGTCGGGTGATCTGCCAGTCAGAAGCTCAAAAACCCAACCCGCTCCTGATCAGTGAATGCACCAGAACTTTACCACCAGGTTGTGGACGACTAAACCACTTTCAGAGCCTGTTATTAGTAGGTGTTGGGGATAAAATTTGATTTTTCACTGGATTAAGATTAAACAGAAGGTTGGGAATTGATTACAAAGACTCCGAACTTGATTTTTCTTGTCAATTTATTACCTAAATTTGATTTCTGATCATTTTAAAGCGATTTAAGATTTCCCAAAGCATTCTTTTAAGAGTTTTAAAAGGAAAGCATGTTTTCTATGAAGTGCAGACACAACTCAAGAAAGACAGACCTGCAGTGGATAATAGCAAAAAACTGTTTCACGTTGCACTTTTTCCTGTGCAAAAGGCGCAACATTACCTTAAAATTACTTATAAGTAAATAACCTTTCATCAGCAAAGCTAGTGATGAATATTCTGAATGTTATTCTTGTGTATTACGTTAGGGTTCATAAAAAAAACAAAAAACAATAAAATATCTAAAAATCAGATAAGGAATCAGACAAGCCTGTGCATCTTTCTTTTTTGTAATTTTGCTTTTCTTCAGGTAGAAAAAGGCACTGGTGGGTCAAAAACCATTTAGATAAAACCTTCATGCTGTTGGGTTCAGTATTTACATTCACCATCAAGCTATTAAAAATCCCACATAGTGGCAGAAACGTCAAACATTTCTCACCTATGGCTCCCATAGCAATAAACAAAGGGATCTCATAGAGGTTATACTCCATCGCCTGTGAACAAGACAATGTTTTAATATTTTACACTTAAACTTGCACAAAGCGAAAAATAAATAAATAAAAAATACAGTAAAGTATTAAAGTTTCTCACTTCGCTCTCAAAGCGTCCAAAATTGATGAGACCTGGATTGGAAAGGTCTCCTGGTTTGTTGTGATAGATACTGAGGAAGAAGTTCAGCGTGAAGGTGGAGATCATGGAGGCAAAAAACTGCAGGCAAAAGGAAGGACGTCACCAACCAAGGAGATTTTTTACTTTTTTTTTTACTTTCTGGTGATGTGATTTATTCAAAAGCATCATAGGAACTACGTGTAGCGACCACATGACTTACAATCCTCCATGTCAACATCTGGTTCCAGAAAGAGGCTCCTTCCTCCAGAGAGAACAAAACGCCGCCTGTTGAAGGGAAACAGAGGAATCAGTCAAATGACATCAGCTCTATAAATAAACCATTTGTCCCATACAACACACTCAATATATTAGCCTAAAGGTTTCAGGCATCTAATGGCTGGTTTTACTCTGTGAGGGGCCATCAAGTAAAACAATATTTTACACATGATGATGGAAAGTAATTGTATACCTGACTGGCGAAGCATTTATATGAATGTTTCTGTATTAATGACGCACAATCAGTGAGCTAAACATAAAATAAATCAACGTATAAGAAATGTCACTTTTTGAACTGAATTACTTAAATATGTGGGTATTTATCGATAGCATATTTTGGCTATACAGCACAAGCAAATGTTTCAAGGCAGACTGAGAAATCCTGACAAAATATACATGAAGTGAAATATACATCACTAAAGGAGAAGTATGGGAAGGAAAAACAGGAGGCAGGAGAAAGAATGAAAAAAAAACCAAGCTAACAAATAAGGAAAGACAGGAGAGGCAGGACAAAAGGGCTAGACATAAAAAAAAGAAAAGAAATGTAGGTGGGGTAAAATAAAGAATGAAAGGAGGAAAGTTGGGGGACAATGAAGTAAGGGATGAAGTACATAAGGAAAGAAAAGTGAAATGGAAAGAAGGCCCCAAAAAAGAAAAGATTTAAGGAAAACAAAGAAAAGGAGAAAAAGAAAAGAAGCAAGAAAGGACAAAACAACACAAGAAAAGAGGGGAAGGAAATCAAGGAGACACCAGGAGCTTATTTTCTAACTCATAACAGCAAATGAGAGAAAAGCTGATTAATTAGAAAGTATGTGTATTTTTTTTTTTTACCAACTGGGGCTCCAAACGCAGCAGAAACTCCAGCAGCAGCTCCGGCGGAAACAAAATCCCTTTTTTCTGTGTCTCTCCGGAAATATTCAAATATCTACAAGTGCAAAGACGCCCATCAGAAATCAACTAGGATGTTCATGAGACCAATTAAACTGAATAGAAAAGGTGTGTTTTCCAAAACTACAATGGATTAGCTTGGAGAATCCCACAAGTCCTGACCTTAAAGTCTCTTTTTAATGAAGTGCTTCTGCCCTGTGAGACGCCAGCTGCTAAAACGGCACCAGAATGGATCATTGGGCCTTCCTAGAGGATTGTGGGTAAACAGCAGGACAGAGAAACAGCATTAGATTATGTAAAAAAAAGACATTAACAAGTCTAAATATTTAAGAAATAAGAAAGACTCAAGCTGTTTACCTTCCCTACTGCCAGGCCACCGACCACGGAGAAGATTACACCGACCACTTTTACCACCAAAGTCTGCAGAACCCAAACAACACCCCGAAAAAACACAAAAACAAACAAACAAACAAACAAACAAACAAACAAACAAAAAAACACATTAAAACACATTGCCCTCTTACTCCAACCAATAAGTGCAGTGTGTGTTTCTGGTGTTCGTACCTTGAGCCGTACCACCCTGGGAATCTTGACTCCATTTAGGAAACATTTTATCTGAGGAATCCCACTTCCTGCTGCGATGGGCTGCAAAACACAGAAAGCTATGAGGTACAACTTGAAAATATAGTTTCCACAAAAAAAAAAAAAAAAAAAGGATTTGGTTCCCCTTGTCAGCATGTTCTTAAACGCACTTCTTCAAGCTAATTTTCACTCTTCAGGAATCCAATAAGACATCTCAATTACTTCTGAACTCTGAATAATTTTCTGCTTTACCTCAATGAAGGCGACTATGATGGCCCCCCACATGACACAGAATGAGTTCAGGGCAGCCCAGAGGAGGAGGGAGATGGACAGTCCACCTGCTTCTGTAAACTTCACAATATCTGTAAAGGTTCCGAGTCAAGGAAACTAAAAGCTGGCTTTAATTGACAACACATTATCAGAGTGAAAAAAAAACACCAAAAACATGAAAAAATCATTTCAGTTTCACTACAGAAGGGATAAAATTAAATTCATAACACAACCGACCGTGAATTATAAACAAAAGGGTGAAGTGGAAACAAAAATGGCATAAAAATGTTCATCGTACTTCTCCATTTAGCTACTTCCCTTCTCATCACCCTTCTTCTGAACTAAGTCGTCAGGATACTTTCTTTAATCAATTTGTATTTGAGTCCAGCCAGCTGTTCCACCACGATGTCTATAAAGCAGGCGATGAGGCCCGTCAGGAAGCCGATCAGGCCGCAGATCACCCAGCGGCTGATCTCCAGACAGCGAAAAGACTGACGGCGAGAAAGAGAAAGCAGAAGTCACGAACCAGAGGCATTACACCAGAGATGAAACAAGCATGCAGAGAAAACCATTCTTCTGCATTCACCATGAAGCTCATCCTCCGCTCCTCCTCCAGAAACAGCTGGTTTTCAATGTTATCATAGTCGAGACTCTAAAAATAGAGAAAGCAATAGAAAGTCAAATTTAACCCAATGAAGCACACAATGATGTGCAAATTTCTCCTTGCATGGCTTCCAAAACTACATTTTAAATCACAGTTTAATGTTTTACTGGGATTTTGTATGAAAGTTGAAGGAAAACAGGACATGGTTTTTGCAATTATTTACAAGAATAAACTATTAAAAATTATCATTTGTTCTCAATAATATCAATCAATTTTATTCACAAAACCCCCTTCATACTAAAAGCAGCTCTAAAGCCATATTCATTAATACTGTATATGCTTTGATATATAAACAGAAAAGATTGTCTATGCTCTTGAGTTTCTATTAAAAACAAAAAAAGCAATATATTCGTAGACTTGCAGCACATTTCTCCATTTATGTCAATTTATGTCAAATTTTTCAAATTTTAGACAAGTGAAAGGAAATCTGAAATAGGTCAGGTCAGGCAGATTAGAGCTCAAAAAAATAAAATAAAACCCAGAAACTGATGTCAGCCATCAAAACACAACCAGTGCATTGTTGTGTTTTGTTTTACCTCAAACTTAAGTGACAGCAGCTTCTCATTGTGAGGGATCTCTTTGGGTCGCCCTCTCACCAAATCCGGCTGGATGTGGGAAATAAAAAAACAAAGAGGTCATCAGATCTACACTGACCTCTGACCTTTTGAAGGGAACACAGAACCAAGAGCTGAAATATTGACATTGAATATCCTACACAGAAAAGCTGCGAGACAAAAAAAACACATCATAGACAAACAAAACAGACAAATTAAACATTTAAAAGTCATTTCTAGTAGAAAATACTGCCAACGAAAACTGTAAAGATGACGGTGCAAAAAGCAGCATTTCCTCCAAACTGTCTGGTGTGAAAATATTCAGACATCATAAAAGCTATGCGAGCAAGAGAGGATTTATACAGCCATGTTGGATCTCCAGTTGCATCCATATATATGGGTTTTGAAAAGGAGGAAATGCTGATTTGTTAAATGAAACTTGCATGCATGTGAACAAGCCAGTCACAGCTATATGTAGATTTAAAATGCATAGGCATGCTGGCCCCTCAGGCCTCAGCAAACAGGTCAAAGGTTTCATTCACAGGAACAGTGGAGACAAACAAAACACACTGGAAATAATGTTTTGTTTACAGTGAAGCACATCACATGCTTGGAGTCACATTCAGCCAGAAAAATGAACGGCATCTAATAGTGAAAGAAAAACTAATAACCCGTCCTGTGACTGCTGATTGATCCCTGATCGGTTTTTGTTTTTCCCCTCCTCTCTTGTCAAGCCAAACACAGACTTTTAGTGGAAAATGTTCATGTTGTTTGCATTTACGGAATAATTTAACTCTTTGTTAGACATCACTTCAAAATAAATCATTTAATGTTTAAAGAGAATATCCAGTGGCATATTTTTTTTTCTCCTAAAAAATGTGCCCAGACAATAAGAGCAGCTTTTGGTTACACGGAGTGGATTTCCGCTGCAGAACCTCACAAAATAAAGAGAGAAAGCGTCGCTAGTTCTACGTAGTGTTTACTTGGATTGATGACATCACAACAGGTGATGTCATGGTGGCGAGCTGGAAAAGCAGCCATTACATTGTAAAGATTTCAAGTCTCATGTGAGTTGCAAGGAATTCAACCGGACATGTTTGTGTCAGAGACGGCCAAAGACGACATCAAGAACTTTCCTCAAAGATGTTAAAGCACCTAAAATCAATTCCTCTTACAATTCAATCAGTATCGTCAATGTATTTGTTTAATTCCTACACTTATTAATAATGACTAAACTGGAACAAACTCCATCAGTAACCACTTCCATATCTTCTGTAGCTGGAGCAAATCGAGACCAAGAGGACACTGATAGTACAAATCTTTTTAGATTCGTCTGATCTATAACTTCTCTCTTTCTGACAGCTGGGTGATGTTTCATCTGCTTCCTCTCGTTTTTTATAGACTGGGGTAATGCCGAAAGAAGCTTTACTGCAGCTGTGTGCATGGTGAGGCCAAGTGGACTCAGACGCATCAAGAATTTGTTTCTAGATGTGAACTGAGCATTTTCCAGTAGATAGAATAATTTCAGGCTGCAAACAGCAAGAGAGAGCAACACTTTCAAAAGCTAACAGGAAGGATGAACAAAGTTCAATAAAGATGCTCTGTTTTTATCCTTTTCAACTTTTTACCTCTACGTCAATAAAACATTTTGAATTGAGAATTGTTGGCAAACGTCTTGAAATCAGAGTTAATCCAATGAACTACAAGTTTCAAAACATCTATGAAGGAGGATTTTTATTGAAAGACGTGAATACGAAAAGAGAAAAAATACAAACGGATTAAAAAAAATAATAAAAATAATCAGTTGCCTGATATGATGTTAGAAAAGAAAAAAATCACCTTTGGAAATTTAACAAAAAAGCAAAACTACAATGGCCAAGAAAAGTCAACAAATGAAACAACCACAACAGAATTTATGCGAAGTCGACAGCTCTAGCTTTCTCAACATAACGAACCCGTTCTTTATTTACTTAGTTTGACCCCTCTGGGCCACCATACAAAGCCAACAGGAAAAACTTGCGACATAAAACTATCTAAAATGAGCTTGAAATGCTTAGACATAATGTGTGACCAGTTAGATTAAAAATGAGGGATAATTTTTTTTTCTTTTTTCCAGCTGGATCTTGATTGAAGTGACCATTTCAGTGGCTTTATCTGCTGGATCTCTGGGTGGTCACAGTAAGAAACACATGCCTTGCATTAACTCAGCACTCAAGGAGCTCCACAGTGGAAACCATCAGACATGTGCCCTTCAAGCGCGCAGGATGACTCATTCGTCACTGGGCTGCCACGGTGTCAGCTGTTCCAGGTTTCAGTCCAACCAGCAGCTGAGACCAACAATAATCTGTGTGAAGTGCACCATTTATCTGAGCTCCCTACTTAACACCGCAATCAGTTTTTTCTTAGGTGGCAAAGATGAAGCCAGGACTTGATGAGTGGGAACGACAGACACGGAGAAGGGAAAAAAAGTAATGGCGACCGGATCTCAGACTTTACCTCTTCCGTGGTTATCTCCTCGTCCAAATCCACCGTGCTCAGTCTGCCTATCTGAAATACAGTGCTTCCGCTTGACATCTACACACACCACATACAGCAACAGAAAGAGTGATGGTGTTGTGTGTGAATTTGAAACTGAAGTGACAACATACAGCTGGCTAAGTTAGAACACTGTTTAAACGTTTCTCTATTTCAGTAGTACAATTTTAAAAAATTTCTAATTAATGAATGATATAGATTCATTGAACACGGAGGACAGTTGTTGACACCCTCAAGAATGACGATGCACACTGCTAGAGAAGCCCATTGTGCACAAAGGCGCAGCCATGAAGCTCCGTGGAAAGTTAAGTGGAAGGAAAAAGTGTGGTAAAAATGTGTAAAACCTGATTCTATTCATGTACCATACAGTATTTGCACTCGGCACTGAGATGTTAAGCTCAACTTAATTTAGCATCAGCACTTAAAACTTTAATATCTAATTAAAATATAAAATTTACTTTTAACTTAAAAGTGGCTTTTAAGTTAAAACAGTTTCTGATACAAGTATTTATTTTTTTTTTTTACAAAAACAATGATGATCACTGATTGTGTTTTTAATGTTTTTCTTCCACTAAACTTTACATTAACACACCTAGAAACAGCAGCCATAGTTCTCAATGAACAGAAACAAATGCCGTGGTAAATTAAAACTGTGTGTAAATAAACTATATGTGAATTTAAAGTGGACCACTGAAATAAATTGACTTTTTGGTGATTATTAAATGCTTTTTATGACTTGTCAACCATTGCATTTAGATACTGGAACTGGCTACAGTAAAAGTTATTATCTATCAACATACAGCAGGTCTAATAGCCTAAATGTTTTATTAGGATTGATATGACTAATATTAGTGACTTTCATGTTTCAACCATTTATTTTCATTAAACTGTCTTAGTATAGGGGCAATAGCAAGGACAAACATTTCTAGACCCTGTCATATGGGCCACTTCCTGGTAACTACATCTAATTATGCACCGTAATAACATAACTTAATTGGCGCTAATCTGCTTAGTTTCTAGCTTATTGTTGCTTGCTATTGCCTCCAAATGCAACCAAAGCCATAACGCGTCACAAAACAGGTTTCTTGCTGTTGCATTCCATTTCCTGCTAGCAAACATTTCCCCCGTGCAGCGGTCAAAACAGGCTTCAAGAGAATCTTAAAGTGCTCGTCAACACTTGACTTTGCAGCTGAAGCAGCTTACAGCCGTTAGCAGCCGTTAGCCGCCGGCTAGCTGTACCTGTCTGAGGGGTCTGGACTGGCCGGAGCCGTTCAGCAACGGGGTTTCCTCCCCGGCCGCCCCGGACTCGTCGTCTCGGCTGGACCAGGACACTTTCTTGGTGATGTTCGCCATGTTGGACTCTGGCGGCTCGCCGCTGGGAATGTAAACAGACGCTCTACCGGGGCTAGCTGACACTTTTCCGTCTTCTCATGATCACTCCCGTAACTCGTGATGCGCCGTAAGGATCGCGTGCAGGGTCAAAAATAAATGTTGTTTTTATTTTCTGCGTTGCATGCCGGGAACTGTAGTGTTAGGACAAAGGCGACCGTTGAAAGTTGGTCTAGTTGTGTCTTGAGGGCCAAACATAGTGAATTTTTTTTTCTTATGAATAACTATTCATATATTTTTAATAAATCTAATACAAATGGAAATAATTAGTGGTTTAAATAAGTGGGACATTTGTCTTCTAGTATTAATTTTAGCCACATTGGACTGCATTTGGGTTCAGCCAATCAGAGATAGATACATAGGTAGCAATAAAGTAAGTCACCTGCTTTTTTAATTCAGGACTTGTCTTTCTTCTTCTTCATCTTTTTTTTTTTTTTTTTTTTTTTACCAAAATAAACAAGGGCAGAAAAACACAGATTACATATCTAAATTTGATTAATAAATTTGGATATCAGTTTTATTGCATAATATTATTATTACTATTATTACTGGACTAAAGTCTGCATATCTCAGGTCCAAGATCCATGGACAATATAAAACAATATATGGAAAGTATCGTATCGTTATTTATTTATTTTATTTTTTTCAAATCCGGCCTTTAACGTCTTTGTTACAGTCTTGCATTTATGTTTGTTTCCCAAATACTTTAGTTTTCTGTGTACATTTCTTCTATAACTTCTAGCTATGTTACTGTAGCTCTTCTGTTCAATAAACCGACTTTGCATGTGTATATGAGTAGGCATGGGACTAATTCAGTTCAGCTAGTTTGTCCAGCACAGTTCACATCAAATGCAATTTTAAAGCACCCAACAAGACATCCCTGTACAACAATTAAAGTTTTTTTCCCCCCTTTGGCTTAGAGGAGAATTGTTTTGTTGTTTTATAGCACAACAAAGGGTCCTTTGTGCGCTTTAACTGGACAGCCTAAGTGCAAAACAGCAGTCAGTTTGTCTTTCTTTCAAGATGAATGAACAATAAAAGAAAGAAAAATGTTTGAAAAACCCAATAAAATCTACAATCAAATATTCACAGTTGTAAGGCGAGCTTGCTTTCTGTAAGACATTTCCTTCATATATTCTGATTCTCCACTTGTATAGTAGATACTTTTAAAAAGTCAGCAATTTAGAATAGAATCTATTAGGTTCTGACTGCAGCTAACTTGTGAAATTTTGCAGTGTTTACGTTTTCTGACTAGTTTTGGTTTCACAATTACTTCTAGTCGACATGCAGCAACCAGTCAGATTAATTACATTACGATATGAATGATTTTTCAAGATTGTGCAACACTGTCTGACAATCGTATCTCCACCTTCTTTGCAATCAAGAAGGGGAAACACAAGTGAAATCAGCCACACCACAGTTAACATTTCCTCATTTGGGAAATATCAGGACGTATGTCAGCAATTTAGTTAATAAAAATATAATATGATAAAATCTGGAGTTTGCTGCTTTTGGCAATAGTAGGTTTTCCCTTAAAATTGTAAATGAGAACTAGTATTTAAACTGTTTATCTGGTTATGTGACTTTATGTGATATAAACTATAATTCATGGTGTAAATTTGGCTCAAAAATCCAATTCAAAGCTATTCATATTTGTAGAAAAAAAAAAGTTTTTTCTGTTTCCATCCCGTTAAATTCAAAACTCTCTGTGTATTTCACAGCAATTCTGTCTTTTGATTAACCAACACAAAGCTGTTCATAACTGTGAGGTTTAAGTTTGAGATCTGAAAAGTGTGGCACACACTTTTAAAGTGAATATCTAAATACAGTGGAAGATGCACCTTCTCCATCCAGTCTGACCGCAGCTCAAGCTATTTTGCAACAGAGTATAATGTTGATAAAGTGAATCATTTTGCCAAACGCTCAGTTTGTTTTGTGATGCGGTTTTTAACCTCATGATATGTGGGTCGTGGCTGAAACAGCCTGTACTTTCCTTGTTCCTCCTCTCATTCGGTTAGAGGAGGATCCTGAACTCTTCTTCTTCTGCTTTCTTTCTGAATGGCCCAATCCGGTAATCACATGGCTGATCTCGCCCTTCTGCTTCCTGCCTATGATCACTGACGTGACTTGATCTATATGCGCAAAGTGGAAGTAGAGGATTTTGCTCTTTAATTTATTGAGTCTGTGCAATACGTATGAAATGCTTTCAGGTGACAGCTTTAAACAGTAATATTTTGCGCATTTTTTTTATTTGTTTTTTCTTTTCACTGCAGAAGAAGAGCAAGAGTGTGGTCAGTTCAGCTTCCCTTCTAAAAATCCTACATAAACAGATTTAATTCTTTTTTTTTTACTTTCAGTTTTGTTTTGACCAGCTGTGATCTCTCCGTTAGACTGAGTGATTTATGATCTGCAGGAGAATCACAAAAAGAATTAAAGCGCTTCAGGAGGGACATATTATCTTTTTATCATTATTATTTTGCTTTCTATTGTTTTTCTAAAGTTGTTTCCAAGCGCACAACAGGGATATTGTGCGAGTGTCAGGAAATCCAGTATAACTTAGTTTTTTTTAAATAAAGTTATGCAATAGCTCATTTTCTCACAGGAAGGGAAATCAAACGGTCACTTTTCTTTTTAGTATTTATTTATTTTAATCTATCAAGCTGGTTCTGAGACAAAGATGAACTCCGAGAATACCCCTTTGCTGCGAAGAACTGCATCATCTCTCTCCCAGGTTGGACATTTTCATTTTCAACTCTTCTTCCGATAACTTGAGTTATGCTTTGCTTCAAACTTCACCTGTCGCTGTGTGAATTCTGCAACTTTTTGCTTGAGTGGTTGAAGAATTGTGAGGCAACAACACAGCCTCCAACTTTAATGTTTCAGGTTTAAGTCAGGTTGTTCTGACATCATTTCAGACTATTAAAAAAAAACAGATAGGAAGAAAATAAAACATCACCCAGTAAGTCAGACTGATGAGTTCACACGAATGTAAATAGGTTCGTAAAGGTCTAAGTACTTTGCAGTGGTCGTAGTGGTTGTTTCACCAATTGTGAAATCAATAATGAACGATTAATTCTGTCAAAAAGGAGTTTGTGGTAGAAACTTGAAAAACACATGAAAGTTACTGGGATCTAAATCAACTATAGGAAACTGTGAAGTGAAGTGGTTCCAAAAGAGAGTACACAAACAAGGCTAAAAGTGTATTTTAACATTTTTTTCAAGCGTTAGATTTTCAGGGAAAGCAAAGAACAAGCTGCAAACTGGTATTGTTTTTAACATTTTATAGATACTGTAGAGCAACTTTATTAACGACACCCTGTAGTTACAGTTTTATGCTTGAATTGTGCAAAAATACAGAAAACCAAAGGAAAAAAAAACATGCCTGTTTAGCATTGATCCATGTAATTTTAAATTTTTTTTTGTTGGTTTTTTTCCTTTCCACCTGCTTTTATTTCAGATCAGTAACTCCAGATTGTATCTAGCCGTGTTCTCAGCAGTTCTTGGTAACTTCAACTTCGGTTACTCCCTGGTCTACCCGTCCCCCGTCCTGCCGAAGCTCACAAGTCCTGACGCAGACCCTGGACTCCGGATGGACCCGAACCAGGCGGCCTGGTTCGGGTCCATCTACTCCCTGGGTGCAGCAGCCGGGGGTCTCGGGGCGATGTTGCTCAACGACCTGATTGGACGGAAGATGAGCATCATGATGTCAGCGGTTCCCTCGACCGCTGGGTGGGTCCGACTGTGAAACCAAAAGTTGCTGACATGCAGCTTTTATGTCTGTTATGAAGTGAGCATAAAAATAGGAACAGTGAACTTGAGATTACAAGCAATTCATTTCAGTAAGAAGGCCTTCATTGGCCCATCGTGCAGATCTGACTCCTGGTATTTTGTTTCCTGGAGAAAATTGATGATTCTCTTTCACATTACAGTAAATCCCAAAATTAGTCGTACACCTGATATATTTAAAAATAATTTCCAATCCAATTAGAAGTTTGTTTCTAATTGGAAATGAGATCAAGATCTGTTGACAGATAATGAAACAATGTAAAACGGCAAAAAATTTAGAAGATTTATTTTTTTATCTATATCTATATACGTATTTAGATTTTATTGTAAAATTCCAAATGGAGAATTATTATAATCCTCCTGAACAAACAGTGGAAAGGTCTTATTACGAATTACAACATTCAAACAGTTAAAGCTGTTAAAGTTATAGCTGAGTAAGATTCTGAGACTGCTGTGTTTCAGTAACAACGGTGTCGTACATTTGTCTTTCAGATACATGCTGATTGGAGGAGCCATGAACTTGTCGATGCTCCACGGGGGCCGATTCTTGACCGGTGTCGCCGGGGGCATGACGGCCGCTTCAATTCCAGTAGGTTCAACTGTCCCTCCAGTTTCCCTACTGGTACCGGATCCAGTACCATCGCAACACTCTGGCTCGTTCTTGTAGCTCTCAAACACCTTCCACACCAGAAGGAAGTGATTTCTGATCCAAGTGGAAAATCTCAAATCTTAATGTTTATACACCGACTGCAGAATAACAATAATAATAAACATTAATGCCTGGTGCGCTGTACCATATAAGGTGTTTTGTGTGTTTATGCAACAGGTTTACATCTCAGAGATCTCCCACAAAAAAGTCAGAGGGGCCCTGGGCTCCTGCCCCCAGATCACAGCTGTGTTTGGCACCCTGACGCTCTACGCCCTTGGTAACGTAGGCCTGTATATAAACCCACATTGTCCACACTAAGCTGCTTTAAACAATTAAGAGATTTCAATCAAAAGAACGACATATTTGAAATCTGAACAAGACACAATACAGGTCATGCTAGATGCATTTTTTTTATTGTTCTTTTTTTTGCTTAGTCACACCGGGACACTTTCGGTGACATGTCTGAAAGCTATGTCTGCTATGTGCTTTTGTCGCTCCTCCCTGCGTTGCTTTTGTTGACACACACAGGCCTGGTGGTGCCGTGGCGGTGGCTGGCGGTGGCGGGGTCCGTGCCCGCCGTGCTGATGGTCGTCCTGCTGGTGTTCATGCCTTCCTCCCCCAGGAGACTCCTCTCCCTCGGCCAAGAGCAGAAAGCGGAGAAAGCCCTCCGCTGGCTGAGGGGAAGCAACTACAACACGAGCATAGAGCTCAACGCCATACAGGTGAACAAGTCAAGTTTCTCTGTGTTGCATATTTCAGCAACAAGGAATTTCAAAAACCATGTGGACAAGCAGTGTTACATTACATCATCAAAGTCAAGCAAATACACATCAAATGTGTTGATCAATGTTCCTCTTTCTTTTAAGCAGCTGTAAACAGATGGGTTTTTAGCCTTGATTTAGAGGATCTACGTTTCAGCGTAGTCACACCGGGTTTGTGGTGCATAAAAACTAAATTTTGTTTTGGTTCTGCTTCTTGAGATTTGAAGTCGAACATATGGAAATGCGACATTTTGTTTTAAATCCTTTAGGTTTCAATATTTAGTCTGAGCTAAACTGCCAGCTCAAGTTTAAGTGAACTGTGTTTTTGTCTTGTTTTGTTTCCACAGCACAGCATTAACACACAGGTGAAAATCACCTGGACTCAGCTGGGCAAGCCCACCTATTATCGGCCAATCCTGATCTCGGTTGGGATGCGTTTCCTGCAACAGATGACGGGAATCACGCCGATTCTGGTTTTCCTGGAGCCGATCTTTGCCAAGAGCAAAGTCTCCCTGGAGCCCAGGTTGGGACACCGTAGAACAACAAATCTGTTAAAAAATGTTGCTTTTGTTCTGTCAACTCAAAGCAGAATCCCGTCCTACTCTGCGGCCTTCAGGTACGATGCTGCCATCGTGGGTGCAGTCCGCCTCCTCTCTGTCGCCGTGGCAGCCAGCCTGATGGACAAGGCAGGACGTAAAGCCCTGCTGTACACGTCCAGCATGCTGATGTTCCTGTCCTCTCTGACGCTGACCATGATCTCCCACACCACACCTTGCCCTTCTATAAATATTACGGCGCCAAACTCCGAGCTGGGCACCACGTTACAGGCCAGCCAGGAAACGGCTTTGAGCTTCGTCCCGCTCATCTGTACAATGGTGTTTATATTCGGTGAGTTTCGACAGCGGGCGTTCTCTAAGATCACAGAAAAACAGGAGCCAAGCTTGAAATATGACACAATTTGACTTCTGCAACCATGTTCAGGCTTGAATAAAAATTAATACATATATTTTTAAGTCTGAAATAAAGCAATGTGTGAAGGCAAGGCAGCTGAGAACACAGGTGAAAGTTCCCAAGACTAGAAATCTACCTATTGCCAAATAGATACCACAAAAATGTAATGAAAACAAAGTTTCTAGCTTGAATGTGAGTTTAAAATCTCAAGGTTTAAAAACCAATTTAACAGACAGGACGAACAGGACAGGGATATTCAAATATACAACAGTAATATCACTGTCAAAACAACTCTGAGGATACTGTCACTCTATAAAAACTGTAAGTAACTGTACCATTTGGCACTAAAAAGCCAAACAATGTCATTCATTTGGCTCAGACACTGAGAAAAGGTGCAGCTAATTATCGCAGATGAACAAGCAGGAAAAACATTCAAAGAGTTGTTTTAGATAAAGCAAGCAACTCTTTGGAAAGACATATAAAAAGTAAAAAAAAATTTTTTGTAAATCAATATTAATAGAAATGTTGCTGCATCAGGAACTTTATGCTCACAAACATCCTTCTGATCTGATTGAAATGTGTCGTATTTGGAGTACACAAAAACAGAAAATACAAGGGATTATTTTGCAGAGACCTTCACTCATGTGAGACGCGTTGCTTGTGTTCAGTCACAAGTCGATGTTAGCGACTGCATGTCTTGCTCCACCATGTTCATTTTTCTCATTTACTGTCACTTTTATATTTAGCTTCTCGGGTTAAACTGGCTGTTCACTGTTTATTTGTCTACATTCATAACCTCAAACTCATTAAACCCTGGCAGGTAGAAACTGTTCAGCATGTGGTCACACCCATTTCATTGAAACAACACACACACACACGCACACACACACACACACAAAAAACATTATGTGCATATATTTTGTGCTCTGTCATCACATTGTTGGCTGTCTCCTAGGATACGCCATGGGATGGGGACCAATCACATGGCTGCTGATGTCAGAGGTGCTGCCACTGGTGGCCAGGGGCGTGGCATCAGGCCTGTGTGTCACAGTGAGCTGGGTGACGGCCTTCGCACTCACGCACGCTTTCACCCTCCTGGTGGACGCCTACGGCCTGTACGTGCCCTACCTGATGTTCACGGTGGTGTGCGTCTTCTGCCTGCTGTTCAACGCCGTGTGCATCCCAGAGACTCGCAAGCGCTCGCTGGAGGAAATAGAGAACTATTTTAGGACTGGACGCACGTTCACCATCAGGCAAAATCATCCCAGCGTGGTGTCCAGCTGAAAACAAGAGGGCAATCCGATCAAAAGGAACCGCTCTGAAAGTGAAGCAATAAACGCTTAATGTGGCTCATTTCAGATTAAGAACCCAAGATAGTAATTTTAGGGTTTTTAACATATCATTTCTAATCATTGCTACAAATCCTTGCAGAGGTATTCATCTCCCTTGAACTTTTTCATATTTCATCACTGTACAATCGCAAACGTCAGTGCATTTTACTGGGATTTAATGTCAAAAACCATCACTAGATAGTGCAGGATTTAGTTTTAAATTAAATAAAAATATTAAAGTCTGCACTAAATATGTATTCATTCTCATTAGTTTAAAACTTGACAGAACCTTCATTCTCTACGCTGATTGTTCAGTCGTTGTGTCCACCACATGTTTGTCACCTGTAGCTTGTGACAAACAGCTTTTTTTTTTCTTCACATCTCTATTCCACCAAAGCCAAACTTGTGAGTTGTAAGTAATGCAAGCAAAATGTGAATAAGTTCAAGGAGCATGAAAATGTTTCGGCCTCACTGTGGCCCAAAGAGACGGATCAGATCGATGACGGACAACAAACAAGAACCCGATGATGAAGCTCTTTCACACAGATTAAAGCATTTGTACCGGACCAACACATCTAATTTCTATAGGGGAATTTAAACAGTTACATCGACTCAGGCCAAAAACAGAAAATCATGGCCTTGTTAGCTAAATAAAAACTGAAGTAGATACAGCCTGAGAGCTGCATAAGAAAATTACTGACTTCTTTCTATTCCTTTACACCTTTACATCATTACTCTAGAGTTTTACCTTTGTCTGCTAATTACTGTTACATATAACACTTGAGAGGTGTGACGTAAATTTGCCAGAGCAACAATTATCACGTTGACTGTAGATTTTATTTAACTACACTAATAAAAATTGTAAAGAAAACTCTGTATAAATATTTCAGAAAAAACAAAACTGCAGCAAATGAAAAAAATGCACTATATTATGGTTCTACTTATTTGCAACCATGAAAGTTGGAAGTCTAAACAACTGAGCCAAACCGGATCATCTGGGCCGGCCAGGTCTGCCTAGTCACTTCATAACTTCTCTTCTGTGAATTATAATCATATTGGCCAATCACAGCAGCTTCTGTTCTTTGTAAATGTTGAAAATGTTGTTTGCATGAAGATATAGTTTATAAATGGCTACCGTAAACATTTAGACAACGAAGACGGAATATGTACTCATGATATGAAGTGATACCAAGTTTGGTTGAAAGATAAAAAACAGTTTAATCAGTTTTTATGTTAAAATGAGAAAATAAATGGTCATATAAATTGTTATTCTGTGAAGTAAATATCTAATTTCAACTGTATTTCCGTGCGTTGTTTAATAACTGCAGCAAATCCAGATTTCTTCAATGTTTGCATTGCTTCATCAAGTTGTTCTGCATAAGCTTAATTGTAGAGTACATTTTGGGATCAGTGTTGAACAAGAGTTGGTTTATAGTAGCCAGATGTTAAGAGATTACATTCACTAACAACAACATATCATATCTGATGGAAGTTATCAATCAACTACAGCATCTTTTTTTTAGAACACATTCTAATTGAATAAACAGGACATATTTCTGGAATATCTACATCCAGTACTGCATGCAAATCTGAAAACTGGTCCCGCAGAAAATACGCATGTTGCAATACCACATTTGAATTCCTTAAGGTTGTTGGGTCTGTGTGCGATGTTAGAAAGCTGATCTTTCTGTAAGACTTTTTTCGTTTTTCCCTCTTCTAAAGGTCACCGGTTCAAGTCAGCCTCTTTGAAATATGTCACAAAACCAGTGAGTTGGTTCAACATCAGACCAGTAGAAGCTAAACTGGTTACAACAGTGACATTGGCATTCATTTTTTTCCCCACGAATCCTGTAAAGCAAAAAAAAAAAAAAAAAAACTATTGAGTTAATTTTTACAAAATGTTGCATCACGTCACATGTTCAGCTTCAGTGTTATCTCAAACCTAGGAGAAATGTACCTCTGCAAACATGATGTGCAGATAAACAAATGGAGAGAAAGAATGGCACAGATGCCAACAAAAGCTGACAGAAGATAGACAAAGAGATATTTGAACTGGCACTTCCTTTCCCGCAGCACCTGCTGAGTCAAAGACTATTTTTATACGTAGGTGTCCGATCACACCTACCGACCTGCATCTCCCTCCACCAAGACAGCGCCTTCATCAGTCCTTACCGGTTGATGCCAAGAACATGATGAACGCTTCCTGTCTGAGAACACGAAATGAAGTATGTGACAGGAAATGCACTGATAGTTTGGAATATTTTCTTCACTGTCAGTGAACCAGTAGATTGGCTAATAAGTTGGCAGTAAACTCTTACAGAGAAGATAAGAATGTTGTGAAGATGTCACAGCAGCAGAAAACAATAAGTTCTCTGCCACTCCCTAAAACAAAACATCTCACAACAAAGTTCATGTTGGTCTGACGCTATGCAGACGATACTCTGCTGTGCCTTATATGGGAATTAAAGAGGGAAATTCTGGATGAAAAACTGGTAGAAGTGGCAAAAGATTTGAGACTGGGTGCTTCCAGAAGAACAACAAGCCTGAACCATCTTCCAAACTGTATATTTCACAGTTATGTACTACTGATATTAAATGTTAATCAAATACACTGAAGGTGTGTGGCAGCAAAATGCCAAAACTTTCAAAGAGGAGGAATACTTTCACAATCCACTGTGATCAAGGTACTGATCAAAATAGTCATAGTAAACAGATGTTTCCAACTCTTCAGCATTATTTTGTCAATGTTGATACATTTATGTAATATATATTACTTCCTTTTGGGTTCTTAAATTAAAAACATTTTGTTCATCTTCTCTCCTGATGCTCTAACCAGCTATTATGATATGGCTAATTGAAGATTTCAGTCTCCAGGGCATGTGCTGGGGTTTACGTGTTAAACCTGCGTTAAAAGTCAAGTGGGGAAGGAAAACGTCTTCTATCTTTCAAGAATGCTGAGATTATGAGTATCCCTGGTTTGCTGTCAGACATCATTTTTATCTTGTCAACACAGCACCAGAACATATGTGGAACTGAAATAGAATCAATTTAAAAAATGTTCTGTCACTGTTAAAGAATAAAATGTACATAACCACAGGAAGCATTGAAATTGATACCACAATTATTTGAGGAAGTCAAGAGAAAAGGAATCTCTCAACAGGAAGAGAACACCTGCTTTCATAATTGCTGCCGTTGCCTCCAGCACACAGACTGCCGCTTGTTTGGGATTTGAAATTTGGGCCTAAGAGTGAATTTAAGCTTTCATTGATAACTTGAAAGTTATCAATGTAAGTTTTACTTTTGAGGGCCAAAAGTCAAACTTACACAGGTTGGCGAGGAATGTGGTCCATCTGGCTCACCGAAACAAGTCACCAAAACCTCGCCCTGTTAACGTCACGAGGAGACAACACTTAACACCACCTTTTTACTGTAGATCCTCCACAAAGTGATTTGAGGAGATAGAAGGCAAAATGGCATAACCATTTTGACCTTACGTACAATTCATTGGCTTAATTTCAGTGCTTTCGGGTGGCAGTGAGTGACAATAACGCAACGACAAACATGTTTAATTTAAACATAACAAACATCCTGCCTCCCAGTCAATGTTCATATTTGGAAACCATTGAGGTTTGGATACGGTTGGAAAACTGGGCCCCAGATGTATACTGTTATATAATGTTCATATTAATTTGTGATTGTCAAAATTGAACCCTCAGAGGTTGGAGAAATCCTGCACGGTTTTAATTAATTTCCCTTATACATACTGGAGACATAAGTGATGCACAAGTCACCCTTCTGGTGTTTTGCTCTGGGTTTTATTTAGTCAGTTCATGTGGGTCCCACACAATGTGAGCCATGACCTTCCTGGAGCTCAGAGTCAAAATCAATTCTCAGTTGGGGGAGGATTTCATCAAAGCCGCACGAATCCCTTTTGTACTCCTAGAAATCATCAAGTCTGCATTTTCATTTGTACCGTTGATCCTAATTTTGGGAATGAGACTGCAAAGCTAAAAGACTGAACTTTGTTCAAATGAAAATAATATAGATAATAATAATGACGGTTTTGAAGTCATTTTTTGCTACAGTTCAGTGGCTGTGCTGTGTGACCTAGATATTGTTTCAGTTTTCCCAGGGTAATGTTTTCAGGCTGTAACACTGTCATAAATCAAAAGCAGTTTCTCTAAACACACCTGTAAGCTGGAGCAGACAAGATGTTCAGTCCAAGGACAACAATAATAACAATAATGTATAATGCAGAGACCAATGGATAAAAAATGTGGCAGAGCTGGCCTGGTCCTTTCAGCTTCCAAGAAACACTAATTGTCTCAAGTGTCATGTAAGCTGACATTAACACACTCTGTACAAATCAAATTACAGACACCAGAAATGCTTTAACAATCAGTTTTATAAAAATGTTGACACTTCAGTGAGTTTCCTGGTGATATTTTTGCCTCTCACCTGAAAAGTGGAGTTTCCTGTCATATATGACAAGACAATTGAGTTTTTAGGTCTTAAGATTTCAGAGGGTTGAAAGATTTCCGGGCGTTTAGATCGAAGCTGCCACTCAAGGTGGGACTGTAGATGTCACAGTTCAACATGCAAAATATTTGGTTGTCAAATCTTTTTTATAAGCAGTCATTTTCATAGCTCTCTTTTAAGCGAATACCTTCTTCCTTTCCATGCTCAGACAATATGTCGATGAAGGGAACACCATGGCTTAGATCTGACTCACTGTTGTTGCACACTTGGGATTGACAAAGGAACAATTTTCACAGAGCCTAAGTATAGAAAAATCTGCATCTTAGTTGTTTTTTTTTTGACACACAAGATATATTTGGAGAGCTGTCCTCCTAGTTCACCATTTTGAAGCAGTGATGAACATAATTTGAACATAATTTACCTACAGTGCTCCATGAAACCACACACCTTTGGTTCTGTGGGGCACATACTGACGCAGGATGTGGCTGGGCGGATCGGAGCGCCGTGATTAATCACAGACAGCACAATGAAGGGCTTGCAATTGTTGGTGAATCACAACCTGGCAAAAACACAGCTATTCCACCTATAAATACTTTTCACATTTTTGGACATTATAACCACAAACTTTAATGTAGTTTCCTGCCTCATTCAGATTGGTAGCAGGACATCAGGCATAAAAACAGTGCGCACTGGGAAGCGTCAATGGTGAGCAAATTTGGGCTGTAATCCAAACTCCTTTCAAACATTCAGAGGTCTACAGTGGATCCTACCAGACGTTGACCAGGCGCCATTCCAGCTGGTGTATGATAAGCGGATGCTGTAAACTGATTTGTCTTCTGAAGCTTCAGCAAGGGTCTGAATGGGCTGATCAATGAGAAAAATGATTACAGAAGGTGCAATGCTGAAATATGCAGAGTGTATTGTTGATGCAGGAATGGCACCATGGTGTCAAGGATGACAACCAAGGGAAGGGAGGGGCAACAGTCAACTGAGAGAGACAAACTAACAACTCCTTATAAAGTCAGATTTACTCGCTAAGAAAAGGTTTTATGTTTTGCCATATCTTTATTTAAAGCGAAGTAGATTCACATTTCATATGAGAGATAAATTAGACTTTGAAATTTTTTGTCAAAGGGATGAAGCGAGGTAATGGAGAAAAGCAAACTTAGGGGCAAAACACAAATAAGAAGCTGTAGTGTGTTTTTCTTTTTCTCCATAACAACTACCCCAAATTTTTACTGACACCCTCCCATGATCTTAACAACATGGAAGGGTGTCCTTCCTGTCCTAACAATAAGGTGACTATCTGGCGACTGAACTCAGGCTGATGGGGAGGCACTGCTAACTAAGGTTTTGCACTGATTTCTTGGGCAACTTCCTTGAGCTGAATGGGTGTCAAAAGACATCACAGGTGCTGATTGGTCTCATCAATGTTCTCTTTGTTTCGGTGCATAATTTGTATTTTTGAAATTACAATTATATTTCTTTTCATTCATACAATTTCAGGTAAGCTCACACGATGGAGCTGGTGTAAAACTCTAGTATCCTGATCAAACCTCCAGTACTAATTTTGATGTTTGAATCATTTATCATTTCCCTTCAGTGCTGCTCCTCTTTAGGCCTGCACAAATGTAGCTGATCCTGTTCCATAAGTTTGGTACAACTTAAAGACAAGGAATCAAATCAGTTTGTTTGTTTTTGCAACAGCTGGTTAAACTCAATATGTAAGTTGTGGAGAGAGTTTGCCTTCAGTCATGAGCATTCTCTGAATTCTTGAGTAAAAAACATGCAAGATGTGTCTCGCTTGGTCTCTCCGTCGCCTTTGGGTGGAATTCCAGATCAGCATCATCAGCAGCTCTGATCTCTTTAAGCTAAATCACCCAACGCCATCGGAGAGAAAAACAGGTTATTCCCACACGAAGAAAGCAACAAACGTATGCACTCGCTCAATAATCCTTTGGAAACATCCAGCTGGTCATATGAAAAAAACACAAAACAAAAAAACGAAGACCAGTACAGGTGGTTCCATCAGCACTACAGAGTGAGTCACTCGTGCTTCCAGTTCTTTGTTGTGGCGAGGGTGGCGCCGTGGGCGTGTTGGAGGTGAGGCTCACAGAGGTAGAGGTGAGACAAGCTATCAGCTCAGCTTCAATCCTCAGAAGTCACCATCCGCAGGAGGAGCTCACACACACCTGCCTACACACACCTGTCTGTAAACTCACTGCAGCACAACTCCGAGGTAAGACTGTAGGAATATTTGCACTTTACTTCAAATTAATTCTTCTTTTTCTTCTTTTTCATTTACCAATTTAACTGCTATAATGTTAGGAAGCCACATACATATATGCATATTTTTTTATTTTTGCTTTGAGCTGCCGGATTTTGGATGTTGTGATAAATTACCTTCAGATTTCTGATTTTTCTGCCAGATGAAGCTCTCAAGAAAATTGAATGCTTTTTTAAATTTTTGTTTTTCTTTGTTGAGATATTTAATTGTAGCAATTTGTCACATGCACTTTGTTTGGTTTGATCATTGGCTCTCTTTCAAAAAAACAAAACAAAAAAACCCCCGACAAAAAACGACAATATCACCAAAGTTTAACATTTAAAACATGAATTCTTAAAACATATATACATATATATTAAAAACTTTGTTCAGCATATTTAAAACTTTTACCAAAACTCTTCAACAGAATCAGTCAAACTTGGCATAGACATAGTTTCTCACCCGTAAGATCAGATTTTAAGTTTGATTCATCATTTCATTGTAAAGCGATCCATTATGGACTCACCCAAGAAAAAGCATCCACAGGCGTTTTCCTCTGATGACGTCACCAAGTGGTTATGAACGATTTAAGACTCAAGTGTAGCTCGTCTACTTTAGCATATCTGTGAAGAATGTCTGGAAGTTTCTTGTGTGGCTTAGTCTTTACTGATGCCAGCTGATCAGCTTGATTCTTGTACCTCTTGTGATGTCATCAAGCCAAATGGACAAAAAGTAGAGTCTGAAGGTTCATTTTGGGTTTAGGATGGAAGTCGAAAGCCTTGCGTTTCACACTTTACTATCCATCTGTGTTAGACTGGACATACTACACATATTAGACTGAAAAATTAACTATTTGATAGTAACTTTAATTTTTACAAGCTGGGTAAAGATCACAGGCAGCGACAGAGGCACTGACTGGAAGTTTGATTTTATTCACTATTCAATGCTGTTAAGCACCCTACATCAAGGTACACACATTTTTAAGTTTTAACAAAGAGCAGGAGCAATAAGAGAGGCAGTCCTTGTTTTTGGAGGAACTTGAGATGCTTTCTTTGGCCCAACTGCACATTTTGATGAGACAGACTCTGCAGGGGTGAGAGGTGAACTGGGAAACTTACTGTTCCACTTGCCTCCACTTTCATCAGATGATGAATGCAGTCAAAATGCATTTACAGGCACCATCACATTCAGGTTGGACCAGCATGGGTGCCACAAACTGAACAGTAAAAGGCCACACCTGATGCGGCTCGTGGGATTACCATGAGAAACAGGACCGTTCACAATCACAAAGACAGAGTTAAGAATTTATCTCCTGGCCAAACGTCTCATCTGGTAATCACCTAAAAACCTGCTTGGCTAGAATTTGTTTGTTTTCCATCTACCATTGTTTTTTTTTTTTCTTTTGGCAAAACTCAGGGCCACAGCAAATTTCACAATGCACTTATTTCACACTGTAAGCAGCAATACCAGCAGATTTATCACACAATGTATTGTTTTACCCTTCGACTTTCTTCAATGGTGGCTTGAAAGCATCTAAGCAATGTGGTTGATGAGATTTTCTGAATGCCACACCTCACCGTTATCTCCACGACCTGTCAGATTTCCCATGTGTCGACAAGCGGCCTTTCTGGAAGGCAAAAACTGTTTCACTTGAAAAACCAGAAACCGGTGCCAAGCGCGAGGGTGACGAGGGAGCCGGCCTCGTGCCTTCGCAGCCGGCATGCGTTCTGATGAACGAGCACACAGAAGTTACAACGTCGAGATTTTGAGCACATGCAAGTGGACCAGACAAATTAAGACCTATTTCTTAGAGATCTAACTGTGCAGCCTGACTAGAAACGCACAGTGACGGCGTCAGGGTTTGTCATCGCTAAGTGAGAATGACACACCCTGACTTAGTCTGACACAGAGAGAAGCATGCTGCTCCGTAGCATTCCTCTGCCGGTTTGAATGGTGTATGCGGGCGGTCTGCATGAGACACTGGGATCTTTTACCAAGCCACACCAGAGTGAACAATTGTTTATGCTTTTAAGTCAAAAAATATCATGTCATTTCTTCTTGAACAAGACAGCTTGCTCATTTTTAGAGACCAGATAAGGGAGCTTTTACCCTCAAAAAGCACCAGAATTACCAGCAAAAACCCATAAAATCCAATGGACACTGAAAAACGTTTTCACATTGTGATGGCATTTTATGTGCTGGAATGCATTTTTCTAAATTATTCAGGGAGAGAAACTTATCAAATTAAATCAAAATTGGATTGTTTTTGCAGTCATTTCTTTGAATCTGACAGCAAAAGAAAAATATCTTATTTGGGGCACCTGTGCCACCCCTGGTGGAATGGCGCCCTGAGTGGGGAGCCATACTACCTGTATTAAAGACTGCCACTACTTCCCATAAAGTGTTTTGCATGTCATCATTTTAACAAAAGCACAAAATATTTGAGAGTAAATGGCAAATTACAACACTAACATCATACTTAAGTCTTGCTTAAAGTTGACATGAATAAAGATTTAACCATTTGCTGAATGTTTCTGCACAGGTTATGAAAGTTAAAAGGTTCAACGACCAACTTAAAGGAAAAATATATCTTCCATAAAAGACACTGAACCAAAACCGTGTAAAACCTTTACTAAATGCCTAATAACGTCAGATTGTTTTTCCGTTCCACCATTTATCACCAATTCCACTACTTTGAAGTAATGGTTGGATCATATGTGACAATTAGTGATCTAGTTGTTATTTCACACACACACACACACACACACACCCCCACACACACACACACACACACACACACACACACATATATATATATATATATATATATATATATATATATATATATATATATATATATATTTTTTTTTTTTTTTTTTTTTTTTTTTTTTTTTTTTTTTTCTTTTTTGGCTCCAGCGGTCTTTATTGGAGCCACAATAAAGACATGCAGCAAGCAGGCATGTCCTTGTTCCGAAAGAAAGAGAAAAGAGTTTCAGTCAGTGGCCGCACCTGAAGCCTGAAGGACAAGACACACCCAGGCGTTTCCTGTGGATTCAGACACAAGGGATGCACACAATGCAGAGCCAATACTGGCCCGGGACAGTTTAGTGGATGACAGATGTTTTAAACGAAGAGCAGAAAAATGGTTGTCAGCGGAGCAGCTTTTGGCGCCTCCTGGTGGCGGTTGTTGGTGTTGTGTCTCTTGATTTTTGAAGATCTTCATCTTCATTTCCTGTATTTTGTTTCTGTGTAGCGACATGAGCGCCAGGGATCCTCCACCCTACCTCAACCAAGGTATGTCAAACACACATCCTCCTGGACGTTGCCTTGCAAGACTTCATCCACCATTTCACTTTTTCCACATTGTTGCAATCAAAAACTTTGGATGCAGCACCACCGTAATTGTGAAGTGAAAGAAAAATCACTTTTTTCAGCCTCATTTACTTTGATACTCCTAACCAAAATCCAGCGCGAGATGTTGAAATGACAAAAGTCATTTAGCTAATGGAGAGTCCACATGTATGTATTTCTTACTTTCTATAAACTCCAGGGATTGTAAGCTTGTGCATTCCCACAATGCTGTGGGAATCATTTCATTGGGAAGGCATGGAGAAGGGACAGTCAATGAAAGGGTGAATTCAAGTAAATGCAGTGGGGATTGGCCTAGTCAAAATCCAAACCTTGGAAATGACCTTTTCTCACATAATGACTGGTGGCAATGTGACAGAGAGTGAAATGGTTATTTTTTGTTAATTCTCTCCTTTGTTTTTGTTTATGCAGACACTCAGGGGGCAGGAGTGAAAGTTTACCACGTGCACACCCCATTCACCCCTCCTGACCAAGAGCAGGTCGGCGCTGCCTCTGCCAGACCGGGTACGGCGCCACTCAGTTAAACACAGAAAAACATCACTTCCTTTGTTTTGTTACTCCTTTTTTAAGCCAGAAACTTGAGCATCGGAGTGATCCTCTAACCTGGTTCCCTTCTCCCCTTCAGTGTACACCAGTGGAGGGGGAGGCGGCAATGAGCAAGACAGAAAGAAGTTTGTGAGCTACAACGTCGGTCTGGATCGTAGCCCGGGCATGACGACCTGCACGGCCTGCCAGCAGCAGGTCATGACCAACGTCCACTACAAAGCAGGGACGTATGCCTGGCTCATGTGCATACTCTTCATCTGCTGTGGGTGAGTGTCTGGATTCAGCCATTCAAGGAGAGCAGCTTTCTCGTGATATTTTTAGAGTAGTCTTTAAGAATAATAATTATAAAAAAAAGATTCTCAAGGCTTATCGAAGCTCTTTGAAACTGTTTCTCAGGGTTTTAAAGACTTTTAACTTCCACATCCAAGTGGAACAGTGGAGAAGCTGGGAAGGCGTTTATTATTTACTGTGCAGCACATGAAATATTGCTATTATGTATTTTATATTGTGCAAAAAATGTGAATTCATTTGTTTCCTGTTTAAATGCATGCACGTTCCAAATGATCAACTATATTAAACACACTATTTGTTTAATAGCTAATCCCAGTATTATGCACGTTTTAATATGAAATTAGAAAATCAGAGCATTGTTTTTTTTATTTATGCATAAATGCTAATAAATATGGAAAATATACACTAGATATTAGCTATTTAAAACTAATATTCATTCACTATTAATTTATTAATTATTACATTTTCATCACCAATTTTTGAGTGTTTTCATATGAACCTGCTTTTGAAAGACAAAAATGATCTTGAAAATATTTTTTAAATAAGAGAACAAATTTAAAATGTAATCTGGCAAGACACATTGAAGATCGTTATGAAAAGGTGACAAAACCTGAAAGAAAAAAAGAAAAATAATGATCAAGAAACATTCATACTTTTGCAACAGGCAGGATGACTCTGCAATGTGCCTGAATGAAACTCAGCCTGTTTGTGTTTTTTTGCAGATTGTTCCTGTGCTGCTGCTTGATTCCATTCTTCCTCGACAGCTTCAAGGACGCGTACCACACCTGCCCCCGCTGCGAACGAGTCCTGCACGTAGAGAAGAAGGAGTGCTGTAAATGATGCACAGCAGGGAGAGGTCAACCCGTAGAAAGAACCAGCCACCAGCTTTGTCTGCCTCTGGTTTCCCCCCTCCGAGACCCAGAGAAGCAAATCGAGCATTTTATTGTTTTTATTTTATTTTATTATTTTGTTTGTTTGTTTTTTTCTCATATCGGGACATTGACTCGCTTACTGGTATTTCTATGGACAAACCGTAGATTTTTTTACTCGAGGCAAAAATGAAAAGTACAAAAAAAACTTTAAACAAGTTCTGCTATGCTTCAAAAACATTAGCAAATTTATGGAAAATTATTGTATTGTCAGATATTTAAACGGTGAATAATAAAAACCTCTGGTAGGTTTACCATGCCCTGCATACTTTTTTTGTTTTTTTCTTTACAGATCTGTTGTATTTTTCAGTAATCCTTTTGTTTTTTTTCCTTTTTTTTGCTGAAATGATGCTGGTAAAATGAAGAATTGTTTACAGATCTCGTGTTTCAAAATGCTGTTTGAAACCTGAACCGATCATCTGGCCTCTCGGAGGGACATTCAAACAACTAAAACAATAAAACAAATCAAGACTCTGAAGAAGCCCTGCAGGGTAGAGGCGACCACACGATGACTTTGTGTTGGCATGTTTTGTTGAAGGATTCTGCCACTGAGACTCTGCTATGAATGAATCTCTTCGTGAATGTTGTTAGTCAGGAAAAGGACACTTTTATTTTGTTTTATCACTGTGTGAAGAGCAGTTCACCCGCCACACCATCGTTTTGATCTGTATCTCCAAACAGAACAGCCAAATCAAATTATGTATTTATGTATAATATATCTATATGTGTAACCTTCTGTCTCTGAATAATAATAATGAAAACAAACTCGCTGCTTACCGACACACTAATATGCTAAATCTCAGATTCATTTCTGGGAGAAACTGATGATGCTTGGATCTCCGTTATTTTCTACAGCTGCTGGAATCTGTTGCACTCCAATAAAAACCAGTACGTGTAGATCAGGTGGCTTGTCGTGTTTCTGAATGTGGAAACAATTGATTTGTGTGAAATGCTTGTTACATGAACTCTGCCCTCAGTTACGGAGGCTGTTTAGGCTTTTTATAGGCAAGGAAACTGGACCTCCACAGCTGGAAGCAGATGTTTATGCATCTTTTATTCTTATGTCTGACCATACAGAGAATTTGTTGAGTATTCACTTTTTCCACTTTTTATGTTACGGCCTTATTCCATATCGCGCTGCCAATTAATTTCTGTCCTTAAATTCTACACACAAATACTGAATACTAAAAAAAAAAGGTTCTGAGTGTTTTATAAATTTATCCATTCATCCATTTTCTTCCGCTTTAGCCGTGGTCGGGTTGCAGAGGTAGAAGTTTCAGAACAGAGGCCCAGACTTCCCCCAGCCACTCCTTCCAGCTCCTCCAGGGGAATCCCAAATTGTTCCCAGGCCAGCAGGGAGACATCGTCCCTCCAGCGGGTCCTTTATCTTCCCCGGGGCGTCCTCCCGGTGGGACGTGTCCAGGAGGCATCCTGACCAGACGCCCGAGCCACCTTCTCGATGTGAAGGAGCAGCGGCTCTACTCTGAGTCCCTCCCGGATGTACATTTATTAAAGATTAAAAATCCAGAAATCACTTTAATGTAAGTTTTCAGGTCAGAGGTCAAACACCAAGCCTGAAATCAAAAGAATTGTCTGCAGTCCCCTGAAACAGGATTAATGTATATTGGAGCAGGGATGCAACTATTCAAAGTAGCTCTCAAGAAACTGGACAAAAGAAGCAGCAGGATCAATACGTGCATCTTCAAGATGACATCTTCACCGAGAGCTTTCTGCAAAACCTTTTCTCAGTGACCGGAGAAGGTCCATGAATATTGGTTTAAGACAGAGGCGCTCAAGTCCTCGAGAGCTACCATCCTGCAACCTTCAGATACATCCCGGCTCCATCACACCAGAATCAAATGGATGGCTCGACACCGGGCCTGTTCAGAGCTGAGTGACTGCTGGTGAGGGAATTCAGCCATTTGATCCCGGTCTGTTGGAGTGAGGATGCATCTCAAAGTTGCACGACGGTGGCTTTTGAGGACTGGACTTGAGCTCGTCTAAGACATGATCATAATTTGATCTAAGGAAGATGAAAGTCCACCTTGTCATAAGAGAAAGGCATCAGACCTTAACAGGTTTTCTTCCCAGATCGGCCTGCATTTAGCGCCACCTATCTTCACCTTTCTTTACTTGAGGAAAGCATCAAACACAGGCTAATGTAGGCACTACTGCAATCCGCTCTAAGGATGTTGAGTTTTCTTGCCCTGGTGTCGCCTACAAGGTTCAGAGCAATGACTCTCTTTGCTCCAAGCTTTGGATCTCATCCTGTAGCCTAACCACCAGCTACTGCTTCACCAGCGCATTGCCCCATACGGACCAGTAGCAGTCGAGTTTTGTTTTTTTTTTTCTTGTTTTTATAGAAAATTTTTATTCAACATACATTTTCCAGCAAAAAGGCAATATACAGGAATAGTTGTCGTACACTTCTGCTACACTGATGATTTTCAACCGGAGAAGATCAAATCAAGGTGATTCTGCAGGTCATCTTTGTACGCAAGGTTTTTAAACAAGACAAACCACTGCAGTTAGGTTTTTCCAAGAAAAAACAAAAATCTGTAGGTAACAGAAAAAAAAAGTTGTCAATGGTACAACAGGAACAAAAAGAAAATAAAGGAAAAAAAATCTACACACAAGAAATATGAACACCTGGCTCCTTCTGTACCCAACAAGAAAAGGCGTTTCTCTTAAATTTTACACGTTCATATTTTTAAATATACAATTCTTAAATGTCGTCTTTACAGAGCCAGCTATGCGTTTTTAAGGGGTGCATTCCATCTGTGCTTAAAAAAAAAATAAAATAAAACGAGACAGGAGGGGCTTAAAGTGTTTCTTACAATGCTGGTTTTGGGCTTTACAACCAAGCAGTTCCTGCTTTTAACCACCGGAAGGCGACAGAGTGGAGCGCGATGAGGGCGAGTGGGAAGGCAGGGAGAGAGGAAGGAGGTGTGTAAAGAGGAAGGAGGTGTGTAAAGAGGAAGGAGGTGTGTGCGTGTTTGTGTTTCGAGGAATGACTGACAAACTATTAAAGGGGCGAGGAGGGAGAAAAAGTGTTTTGTGAGATTCGAGAGTTATTAAGCTACGCAAAACAGGCGATCCTGAGAAAGCTGCGACAGTAAGTTCCAACTCTCAAGATTAAAGAGACGATTTTGTTTTTTCTCCATTTATTTTCAACAGATGTCGTTTTGCAGATTTTTTTTAAAGTTTTATTATACAAGATCTGCAAAAAAAAAAAAAAAAAAAACAGATTTACTGTCCTCCAACCAAACTAAGTGAGAAAGAATTGTGTAAACTTGGAAATACTGCTTTTTTTAATTATTATTTTGTTGTTGCACTATAGGATTGTAGAAGGAACTACCACGAAGCTCTGAGAAAACATCTTTTCATCTAATTCAATACATAGCGGTGCAGTTCCTCTCCAAGCAACTTCATTTAAAACAACCCTCCTTAGCCCAGACGGAAAAAGAAAACAAAAAAAAAAAAATACAGAAGTGGGGAGAAAAGACGTAGTTTCCGCTTTTCAAATTCATCTTAAAACCCAATTTTACATCTCCCACTTCAAGACAGGCAACAAAAAGCAGGCAGTGAACAGGTAGAAAAGCCGAACAGCCTCAAACGTAAAGGGAGACGGTTTAAAAAAAAAACAAAACAAAAAAACCCTAAAATGTACAACAAAAATAAACAGTCAGGAGGAAATTGGTGCAGTTTATTTTTCCTTTGAAGAATAATCTGTCAGCTGCAGCGAGATCCTGTGTCGCTGAAGACGTAGTGCCGGTGCGGAGCTGCAGAGGTGTCCAGGCGGGTGTTAAAGAGTGATGAACGCAACACACGCATACAAGCAAGCACGCACACCCACACAGCCTCGCACACAAACACGCACTCACACGGTTGGTTACAGTCTGTGGTTATGGTTTGTTAAAGTGGGAAAGGGGGAGGGAGGAAGGATCTGAGGAAGATGAGGAGAACGAAGAGGAGGAAGGGTCGGGAGGGGGGGCTGGGGGCGGAGGGGTCAGGCTGCTTTAGTTGTGGATCTTGATTGCTTTCTCCAGGTATGTGTAGCGACCTCTCTTTGGAGCTTTGTTGAAATGATCCAACCCTAGCCAGGGCCGCGGGTGGGACATGTTACCTGTGGAGGACAAGATGCCAGAGAGGGTGTGAGGCACCTCGGCTGCCTGCCCGATTAAAAAACAAACAAAAAAAAAGAGACACAAAAACATCTTCTGGAAATACAACATCATGAAAATGTATTTCAGAGCAAAACAAGGCCTCATCACCAGCATCAACTCGAATTAAAGACATTTTAAGACGCAAACAAGACAACTAGCTAGCAAGTGCATATTAGCAGCTACAGCTAGTTAGCGGTAGCATCAACTGCTTGAGTCACACAGTACGTTACGTGCGACTCAAAGTTCTGCCTCACAGAAAAGCCTGACAAGAAAAATAAACTAGATGTAAGAATAAATAGTCCACTTTTTTTTCTCATACTTGCACACATTTGGAAAATCATAAAAGCAAAACCAAGGCTTTTCTAAAGAGTTATTAGCAACCTTTGTCTCCCCCAGGCTCCCGTTTTCCATCAGCCAGAGCCTTTTTCACAAGTTCTGTTAATGCTTAAAATAGGAAGTTTATTGGCAGAGCATCACTCTAAATAATCTCCCAAGTTTAATAAATGACCACACCAATAATTATTGACCACATGTAATTAACTGTTTGAAATCCCGAAATACCGCTCTAACATTTGGTCTCCCTTTCATTATATTTGGGGGGGAAAAAAAGAAAAAAGCTTGTTTAGAGGTCACCTAAAATCCTTTAAACCTATTTGTGACAGAACGTGGTCGAACTAATAACGCAGGGCAGCTTTCAGTTGCTCAAATGTTACTGAGAGTTCTTTGTGGGGAGAAAATCCCCTTTGAACTTTAGTGACCTCAAACCCAAAACTCATGTACATGGAGCCGTTTGTATATTATTGTGATGCTTAACATCCTGGACTGTGGATATTCCTGCACAGCTGCCGGCACTGGAAGAATCTCAGCGACAGGAAATACCTGGCTGTGGCTCAAAGTCCTTCAGGTTGACCTCGTACTCGTCTTCGGTGATGTACTGATGCCGGCCCATCATCACAATCGCAAACTTAAACTTGGAAAAGAAAAAACAAACAAAAAAAAAACAACACAAAAATAAATAACAAAGAAAAAATTATCTTTTTTTTTTTTTTTTCTTAACCCCCCCTCCAAGAAAAACAACATGACACCACACCTTCTCAAATTCTTTCTCCTGGATGTCCAGCATGGTCTGGATCCTCCTCATCACCTCCCTAAACGGCTCCCCCTGCAGGGAGGATGCAGAAGTTTAAGTCACTTGATGAAGGAGAACAATCTGGCAAACATTTGACACGAAGCGGCGCCACATGCCTGTCTGATCTTGAGCAAGAAGGGAATCCCAAAGGTGCCAAAGACTTCCTTGTGGAAGTGAGCGACTGGGATCAACATCTCAGTGTCCTTGTCCAAGTCCACCTGGTCCAAAGGAATCTCCTAAATGTACAAAATGGGATTATTATTCTTTTGTGTGTGTGTGTGAAATAATTCCGGGTTGTATTTATTCTGCAGCTGGAATATTAGAAGAACCAAAGCAGCACTAATGTGATTCTAAAGAAGCAAACTGAACCGGGCGCATCAGGGCTGACAGCTCTGCAGCGGAGACGCAGCTCAAGGAGGCGAAGCGGCTAAAAATACACACACCTCCCAAACACACTTACCTCTATTCTAAAGGTGCGACTGGCAGCAGGAGATAAACATTCTAGCAGCTCGTCCTCCTGGTGAACCCCGATGATTTTATAGCTTACTATCTCTAACAGCCTGCAGGCAGGGGAGACAGAAGAGAGTTTGATGTGAAGCCGCAGCTG